TAACCATGATGTGTCCTTGGGGGACTTTTGTGGTGAGGTAACCCCCAATACTGCTACCCCTTATACACCCTCTCTTTTTCTCTCTGTGTCTCCCTGTTATACAAGATACACACACAAACCCACACCCACACCCACACACACAACCATAATGGGGCAATTATCCTCTCCAGCTCCGATCTGCTCCTCTGATTGTAATTTGCATTTATTATTAGCCGTCAGCCTGCCAGAGGCTGTGAAGCGTGAGGATGGACGCTCATACACAACCTCACACTGACAGACCTGCACAGATGCTCCATAAACACATGAGCCCGAGGACACACAAACACACAACAACAACAGCAAACTTATGGAGAGTGGAGAAAACACACACCCACGCCTGTGATGAAGTCATTATGACAGCATGATGCTGCTCTGTTTCGTTAATGCTGATCCCCATTAATGACGCTGTGGTGGGAACAGTATGTTCAGCAGCGTTCAATCACAGAAACACATGCCAAACGCACAACATAGTGTCGTCCTGAAGCTCTCTGATATGTCTTCTTGTCCCATCTCCTGGTGTGTGTTCTCTTTTGCTGTCAGGACGGCCTCAGGGTTCATCAGATAGAAATTTGTGATGAGGAGGGTCTCTCAAGGCAGGTAGAGTACACACAACCCACCAGCACACTAATAGACTCTCTCACAAAGACACACACACACAGGGGCTCTCACGTGCACAGAAAGAGAGCGAGCAGAGGATCACTGGAGTGTGAAATGATTCTGTTATCATGTCGTCTGTGTGGAATATATTTTCCCATCCAGCCTCTCTGGCAGGTGTGCCTGATGGGCTGCTGGTGCATTGGGTGTGTGTGCCTCTGGTTGTGTATTTGCATTCAGTAGTTCTCTCTGGACGTCTGTTGTTGGGCAGAAGGAATTTTGGATCCTATAAAAACAAAGTGACGATGTCAGAGCAGCTCTGATCTTCTATCGCGTAGTCTGGATTTCTGCATTTAAAGGCTAACTTTCAAAAATATTTAACGTAAAATGTATTAAACTTGATGATTGATACACTGCAGAACAATTAGTGTGTTGACATGTTGTTCTTAATAATAATTTAATTCATTAATCTGACTTAAACTGGAATTTTAAAATGTACTTAAGAGGATTAGTCTACTCAGGAGTTCACATGCATTGACTGGAAGTTAAATAGCATACGTGTGTTGCTGGGAAACCAGATAGTAAATAAAACTCTGATAAAAAAAAAAAAAAAGAAAAAATGATAGGGAGATTTAACACCTACTGTGGACACGATTTCACACAACAGTTCCACTCTTGACCAGTGCATGGAAATGAGGACAAAGAGAGAAGTGCAGTTAAATTGCCAAATGAACCTTGACCTTAGCTTAACTTCACAGTGAATGTAAACGTACTGACAGTGTGATTAACTAGAGAATACAATGCAATTAAAAAGACAAAGTGCAGGATTAATGTGTTTGTATCGTTTGGTTTCTATAAGATGAAACACTGAAGGCTCCACTTTTTAGTCTGTAAATCAAATTTGAAGAACAATAGAAGAACTGTACCATTGGTGTGAAAAGTACATGTTTCTAACAAAAGGCTCATTTAAAAAAGAACAAGCATTTTGTGCTTGACAGATAACTAATTAGTGTAGTAAACTTGCTCAGATCACACACTTAAACTTTAAAAATAAGCTTGATTTTACCTGAAGGACTTTAGTTGTGACAACATGATATTGGCTGAGTCTTTTTCCACCATATGAGCACTAGAGTGAGTCTTGTGCTTCACGCCAATTTTGTAGCATGCAAGCATACATGTCCCTTGTGTTATCATTAAAGCTTTGCTTGGTGTGTCAATTTTGGCACCTTCTGTGGACAACGTAGTCTTTGTTTATCCTGTCCTCTACATGCTGAAGTTGTGTCTTCTGACAAAGCAAACCACTTCCTGCTTATTTTTGACAATGAAACATATTTTCTGGATCATACTTTACGTGGAAATGCACAAAAAATCTGTAACTTAAGTGAAAACTTAATATCTTACTTTCTTCCTCACTGTAACTGTAAAACTGAACTTTTCTTAGACATGACTGATCACTTCACCTTAAAAAATATATACACACACACACACACACACACACACACACACACACACACACACACACACACACACACACACACACACACACACACACACACACACACTGCCCAGGAGTATCAATATGAATACTATACCATACCAATATGAACTGAATACCATTGAGTGGTTGGTTCTGCTTGAGGAGGATCCCGGGGGAGAGCTCAGTCAGTGCAACTTCACTACCCTGCTTAATTTATGTTTTGTATCTGTGTATGTGTGCACCAAAAAGTAGAAGGCATGCACATCTCACAGTCCAAACTAACCTGGGCTTCCTTCAAACTCTGTCAGCACAAACAAGCCTGTCAGTCAGGAGCTAATTTAATCACTGAGGAAAGGCTGAGTCCTCTGCCTGTCACTCTGACAGTCAGTTGAAATCTGCCTGAAACTGAAGACAGCCGTGAAACAATAAGTGCTGAGGAAAACCTATTAGCCACACACACATTTAGAAAGTCCATCTTCACACTCTCGCACGCGAACATCAAGGCTGAAGACTGAAGGCAGCTCTTTCAATGCATGCACGGCTAATGTAGCAGTAACAGCCACTTATTGGATGAAAAATGGCTGACATGGATGGTGGACAGGAGCACTTTTAGCTGCCTGTAGGAGGGGCTTGAGACAGAAACCTCTAAATTAGATCCTTTCTGACCTAAAATTCTTCTAACAAAGACACTTTGTGCTTTTTCTTTTATTGATATTGTTTGTCTTATTTCCATCTTTTCTCACACTCCTTTTGATGTTCTTTCCTCCATGTGTTGAAGCTCCTCCCCATCTCTCCAATGTATGTTTTAATGCATAATTGGCATGATATCTCATATAAGACATTTAATTTTTTGTTTTGTTTGATTTTGTCCTTTGGGTGTACTAGCATTTGCCTTAGTTTGGTGTGTGGTTTGACCTGTGTATTTCCTCATGGCTCTCCGGGTGTGTTCAGTGACTCCTCAGATGTACGGTAGAGCCACTCCTCTGTTCTCGGTTTTGTTTGTGTGTTCGTGTTTTTTCAACTCCTGTGCGGTTTCCTTCTTTTTCACCTGTCCTGCGCCTCTGTCTATTGCCCATTGTGAGTAGCTGCTTTGATGGGTCACACCTACCAAGTGACACTTTTGAGGAAAGTCCATCTTCACACTCTCGCACGCGAACATCAAGGCTGAAGACTGAAGGCAGCTCTTTCAATGCACTTCTGAGGAAGGCGAAAATTTCTGCCCAAACATGTCAAGGTACATGAAAAAGATTTCACATGTGAGCTAAAAGGAGATAGAAAACTATTCCTAAGAAACTGAAGACATAATGAACATCATTCAACTACTGCTAACAAACCACATTTTTCTGGTTTTATTAAATTAAGCAGCCATGGATAGCAGTACATTGATATTTCATCAAAAAATAACACAAGATGTATTACTTTTTTAATATTGCGATCAGAAATATCAGAGAGCTGATGTTCTGTTCATGGGCTTCTGGTGTACTGAGTAAGAAGAGATAAAGGATTTTTACCTATGACTTTCTTTTCCACACATCTACAATTTCACCAAAGGTTCATACAACTTTTGGTGATCGCTCATCTATATGTTTGACATAATGTGGTGTTCCCCGAGGTTCCATTTTAGGAAATGTCATCAGGAGGCATGGCACAATTTTCACAGCTATGTTGATGACACACAACTTTATTCTGCTGTGTCTCCTAATGACACAGGGCCACTTGATGCCCTTTTAAACTGTATTTTAGACATTAAATCATGGATTGCACAAAACTTTTTACAACTTAACCAGGACACAACTCAGGTTTTAGTCACTGGGACTGGGGACAAGGGAGAGAAACTGGTCAGCACACTCAAGGCATTATCTTTCAATCCATGTCAACAGGCTAAAAATGTTGGTGTTTGATTTGATCTGAATTTTCGGGACATCACCAAGGAAACATTTCATCATTTTAAAAACATTTCCCGAGTGCGACTGTTTCAATGCAGAGACATTAATTCATACTTTTATTACTTGTAGAATCCACTATTGTTACACCGATTTAAAGGTCTCTGCATTGGCTACCCATCTCTTTTGGAATAGATTTTAAGGTTGATTTACTGTTTTTTAAAACTCTTTAAAGATTTAAATACCAACTCAAGACCTACCTCTCTGGCCTTTAACAAAATTTTTTATCATCAACCCTAATTTTGTGTGAGTGTTTTAGCTTTTACATATTTCTAGTTTTAATCCCAGAATCTAGAAGTATTTTATCCCCTTCCTATAATGTGTATTAGACTCATTTGAATATCTCTTTTTTTAATCTGTTTTCATTTCATTTTAATTCATTATTTTTAAATTGTGTTTTACATTACTGTCTTTACATTTTAACCTAACCTCCAGTGTTTCCTCATTTTAAAATTTAAGATGGAGTTTCCTCACTGCACCTATACTTGCTTTTACTAAATAGACTTAATAAATGGATCTGAGCTCGTACAGCTCTTTAGTCTAACCGCTTAATACACTTTATAACTTCCCAATGTTGTGTTTAGATTGTAGGTGGGGATGATGGGTTAGGGGTGGGGTGGGGTAGAGTCTGATAAACTTACTTGGTTTTCTCTTTGTGTGTAAAGCACTTTGTGCTACTGCGCTGTTTGAAAAGTGCTTTACAATTAAAGTTTGACTGATAAAAAAGAAATGAGTCAAATATGCTGGTGTCTGTTTTTGTTTTCATCAAACATAGCTGAAGTACTGCAATATGACAGGTGATGGATTAATAGTTTGCCGGAGGTGTTGAAACTAAGCTATTCTTTGGAATGGGGTAGACCACAACACTAATCTAAACAGAGCGTGTGTTTTCAGGTCAAAATTTCCTGCAGCACTTGAAGGCAGCATTTGCGCAGCGTTCTCACGTTGCTATGGGAACGTCTAGTAACCGCAGTCCGTCCTCAATTAGCTTTTTGCTAGGTCCATGTTAACCGACAAAACCTTCAAATTACCGTGAAAACTTGATATTTACTTTGATTCGTGGTTAAACGGCTTTCCCCCGTGGCTATGGACAGGTAAGCAGTGGTCAACTCAAAAGACACCTCAATGTAAGCCTTAAATCATGATACCAACGGTTCTCTAGGGGGACGGGTTTTTCGCTACATGCTAAGCTACAGCTCTGAGTTCAGGTGATATAGCGCCTAATTGAATATTGGAAAATCACTTGTAGGCTATAATTAGATGGCTGTTTTCAGTCCGTCAAGCAAGGGAGAGTGGGGTTAGTTGAGCCAAAGGGTAAGTTGAGCCACCCCCCTTTTGCTTGGAAATGGTAAAAAAAAAAATTGATGATGTGACCAAATATTTAGGAGATGGTCATCAATTCATGGAGTCTGTGTAGGTTAGAAGCACATGAGTGAAGGGGTTAGACATTTATCTACAAAAAACATTTTTTTCACACATGAAAGTGAATTTAGTCTGTCATAAGTTTTATTAGAATTGTGATCAGACCAAAAAAGATAATTTTAAATTTGTTTTAAACATCAATTGTGGTATCAATGAGCTACAACATGAGGTCAAAAACCCATCATAAAAGTCCAACATTTTAGCTTAGAGGACTAATAAAGTCATCATAGTAGTTCTGAGAAAGTAAAGGAGTCTGATGGGAGGTTCAGAGTTTCAGTTCAGAGTGTTGAAATGTGTTACTTTTTCTTTTCACAAATACAGCTGTGAATGTTCAGAATCACTTAAAGACATTCTCGTGTTAAAATGGCTTTTTACAAAACAGCTTTTTAGCAGTTATAATAAGTTAATAATAATAAAAAGAATTATTGCACCAGTTGAATAGTGTATAATAGATAAAAATACACATGAATGTGAAGAAGTGACTGTTATTTAGGGAGAGAGAAGGTGAGGGAGGGCTGGGGTGGAGAGTGGGGGGTAGTAGGGATACGGCTCAACTTAACCCGCTCCTATGGTCAACTTACCCCATACATGGGGTAAGTTGATCATTGGAGACCAATTTTTTTTGGCATGCTATTTTATCAAGACAGTTATGTTTACACTCACTCTGTTGGTTTGCAGGGATGCACAACATCTTGAAATATATGCAGATACTTGTTACAGACAAATTTATGATTGCCTTGACGTAGTGATTCGAAATATGAAAAACAGCTCATCTTACCACACTCTCCCCTGTATTGTATCTGTCCCAAACCAATGAGCTATAAATAAACAGTATTAGTATTGGTTTAGTACGTTAGTATTTCAGGATGACTAATTTATTCAATAAATTAACCTTTATTGAATTGATGAGTCTTTATTTCAATCTTAATAAATCAACTAGCACTTGCAAAACTGAACATGATTTAATTTCTGTTGTTCTGTTGTCCAGGTCAGAGTGTTCAGGGCAGTCCTTCACTGGTTCAGAGAAACAGGTAAAATATAGATAAACAATCCGCTGTCATTTAGGGTTTACTCATACCTGTACTCTAAGGTTGGGGTTGCTTTATGCCCTATGTACAACAGGTTTACATCCACAATTCCATTGTTCAGTGCAACTGCGTGTGTCCAAAAAAATCATTAATGGACTTTTTCTGCCTTTTTATCTCTTTACCTGGTAGTCAGAAGTTACCTCTATCCATGCTGAGAAGCACAAAGAAAGAGGTAAGAAGCAACGTAGACTCTAAATCAGAATTAAAATATAATATTCAGCCTCTTTTAAGTGTGCAGCTTTGAAAGACTTCAGCCTCATGTTGCCAATATAACACAAATAATTACTGCACTGAAGTGTGCAACCTCCAGTTTGGCTGTTAGGGTGAAACTTATAGTAATAAGGCCCTGATCCACTATAACTAGATGATATACTCTGGTAGGTAGTGTGAGTGGAAGGAAAAAATCTTAAACAAGATGTGAAATCTCAAAAATGAGGAGAACATTTAGTAGGCCACACCAAAATAAGACAAAAGATGTCAAATTGATAAAATACTTTGCAAAAATATCCCCTGCAGAGGAAGAAAAAATGAAACATTAGTCCAACATAAGTCCAACAAACTGGCTCTCCTCACAGCCTCACATCACCTAGACTGTTAATTTCACTCAGCTCATATACTCTGCTACCTGCAGCTTTAATCACAGCCTCACAGAATTCAGGTGTGGCCGCTCTCACCTGCAGACAATCCAAATGAGAGAAGCTGCAGCAATAACAAAAGTGGAAACAGATTTGAAAACAGAATTACCCCAAAGGAAAAAAACACACACACACACACACACACACACACACACACACACACCTGTGCATTCAGAGCCAAAAACCTCAAATATACTTTTAGAGTGACTAGAGTGAGTGACTAGCATTAGATTATCAAAGTAAGACTTCACACTTATTGGTTTCTGATTCTGAGTTTCCAAGCTGGAACCTGCTGAAACATGGCTATTCATTTAAGGACTATTCGCCGTAAGGGTGGCGTTGTTTCACACAGCTTTGCAGAACTTTTCAGTTAAAAACTGTTTCTTAATAGGCAGATTGCAAGTTTTGTAATCTAAGTGGGCTCATAATACAAAGTGCTGTATAAGCTTCTGGCATGTACAAACCTGTGCAAATATGAATAAAATGATTGTGAAAGATTTAGAGAGAAAGATTTAGAAAATCTTTTGTACCAACAGCCATCAGGCTTTATAACTCTTATGTAAATAATAGATAACATAACATATTATGTGAGACAACAGAAAATTGAATTTCCCTTCGGGGATCAATAAAGTTCTTCTTCTTCTTCTTCTTCTGATCATTTGTGTTTTAATTCTTATCTGGCACAAGTCCAGTAAGCTGAACGTTTGGTTAATAGTGTTGGGAAACAGACTTTCGTCACACATCAAAGAGAAAAAAATTCACACGTTTCATGATTTCGAAGTGTTAATTGTTTCTGGCTCACCTTGAGGCTGCCTTCTTCAGGAATCCGGTAGGATAAAACCAAGGTCTGTTGTCAGAATTACATTCAAAGTAATAGATGAACATATCATACCCCCAACTCATAGTTTGATATCTGATAAAACTCTGATTTTAGGGTCAAAAAGCAAGAACATCATACTGCAGAGGTGGTTGAAGAGCTGAAAATAAAAGACTTGAGGACAGTGCAGAGCACAGACTCAGAACAAACAAGTAGATTATTGCGAAGTCCTTTAAATTTCAAAGAAATAGACAGGGAGTCAAGACACTTTGGTTTCCCTTGAGTAACAGTTATTTACATTTGGTTGCCAGGAGAAATGCAACGCATTTTTCCTCATCCGAGTGAGAAGGAGAGAGAGCAAACCGAGGAAGAGGATGAAGAAATCAAGAGACCAGTGGAGCTGAAAATTGAGGTGAAGTGACTGACCACTGTCAGTGATTACATATTTCAGGGTCTATTGAGAAAAGGCTTAAGATCCAGACAATATATTTTGTGTATGTCCACAAAATTTTTAATCCATTACCAATGTTGGTCAGAATTCTGCCTTCATTACATTCAGATATTGTGTATTTAAATGTTAAAGATTGACATTTAACTTATGTCGCTCCAGTTCCTCAGAGCTTTGAGGGAGAGAGACTTCGAGCAGGCCTGTAAACTATGTCAGATGAGTGAGTATCCTGCATCCATCACCTGTGTGTCAGTATCTGTGTTTGGGAGTCTGTCAATAAATCAGACAATGTTCCCTCTTCTCTGCTTGTTCCAGTTCTCATCTATGAACCAGAAAACCCAGAAGCCTCTGAGTTTCTCCCTCTGATCAAGAGGAGGCTGCTGGAAGGTGAGAGTCACTGTCTTCACATGCAAACAGAAACACTTCAAACAGTCATGGATGTTTCTTCTGACCAATCTTCTTCATCAGAGCACGAGGCAGAGCAAAGCAGCAGCGAGGAAAATGAAGAGGATGAGGAAGAGGATGAGGATTCTGATGCCTCTGGAAGTGATGAGGAGTCATCTGAAAGCTCAAGCTGCTCTTCAGTGTGCTCCTCTTCCTCACCAACAGATGAGGAAGATAATGATGGAGGAGAAGAGCAGCTGAACAGACACAAGCTGTGTCCTCCCTCTCAAATTTATAAATGAAGCTTTTAAACTGATTCCCCAGAAAGCTCCTAACAATAGATATTCCTTGTTCCTTTAGTGCAGTGGTTCTCAAGTCCAGTCCTTGAGGCCCACTGTCCTGCATGTTTTGGATGTTTCCCTGCTCCAACACACCTGATTCAAATGATCAGCTCGTTATCAAGCTCTGAAATGGCTTAATAACGAGCTGATCATTTGAATCAGGTGTGTTGGAGCAGGGAAACATCCAAAACATACAGGACTGGACTTAAGAACCACTGCTTTAGTGAGATCGGCTGATTGTTGTTATCCACCATTATTTTGCATCGTTAAAATTTTTGTTCATTGTTATCTAGCAGTCAAAATTGTAATCTTGACAGAGCCCATGCCTTAGTGTCATTGACAAATAAAGCTTAGCTTCTACGTCACATTATTCATTCATTATTAAAGAAAATCTGAAGATTTACTGACTGAGTTGTGTGAGGCTATCTCAACATTAGGGGGGCATAAACACCTTTTCTCTACTGTCAAAGCTTCACAATCGCACACTTTATTACTTACAGTCTTAAAAGGAAAGCAGAATGTATTCATAAGTAATAGAAGAGAATATGTCCACGGATAAAAGCAGCAGGTCCTGATGTTTTAGGCGTTTAAAATGAAGCAGCCTGTGACTTCTTATTACAGGTTATTGGTTTTATGGAAACTAGTACTGTGAACAATTCAACCAAAGAGCAGTTTCTCCTTCTTAGCCTGTTTTATTTCAGCATTATGACAGTGTGGAGCTGTAATTGAAGAAGTATATCAGAAGACCCAGATGTCTGATACAAAAATATTCACTGGAGTTTGTACAGAATTAAGATGTGTCAAACCAAGTTTTCTTCTCTTAACATTCAGATTATTCTTTACCAGACTAAAAGGATGTGATGAGGTATGATGGACTCATGAGTGCATGAGAAAGAGCTGACTGTTGTTCTGACACACAGTGCAGGCTCAAATACTGATTGGATATGATCATTACCTCCTGAGAGACAGATTGAGCTCAGCTTTAAGGAAAATTAGTCTGACCAGGGTGGAGCAAGATTACAAACCCGCTGATTCCTGTTTTTAGATTAGAGCTATTCTTCTATTGACATCTAAATATTTGTATTGACTTTGCAGACTCAGTTGTGCCACACTACCCGAGGAAATGTCAAAAAAGGCCTTTCTTACGTCAGACATTTTGGTATACAAAAAAACAGTGGCTACATTGCTTAATATGGGTAAAACCACATTGCAGTAACACCAACAACATTCCTCCATTTTTTTCCTCTAAGCTTCTCTGTACTTATGAGACACTAGCATAGTCCTGACTTGACACATGTTTTATCTGCCTCAATAGAGGAGGCAGGCTTCATGACCTAACCTGCAGCAAGTCGAGAGAGGGTCTTAACATTTTTTTTTCTTTTAAGTAATTTTTGGGTGATTTAGCCTTTATTGACAGGACAGGGTGAATGTGGGGAGACAAACAGAGAGGGGGGAGGATATGCAGCACATGGTCAGGGTTGGACTCGTACCTGCGACCACTGCCGGGACAGTGGTCCCCATGTATGGGATGTGCGAACTTGCTTGGCCATCTGCACGCCATAGAGCTCTAAAATTTTTGGCTTCACTTGGGAAAGCTGATGTTCTGACCATGTTTTATACAGCCTTGAACTCAGCAGGGAGGTCACCTTAACTGTTCTGATAATGTTACATTTTTCTAAAACACTGTTTCATCACAGGGTGTATGACTTCTGATGCATTTTGTGCATCCAATCAAAACTAATTGGGACAATTAAAGGTTTTTAATGCAGGCCCAAAGTCTGAATGGCTTATTCGGATTAGGATGCACTTTTTGAGTTTAAAAATATCCTTACGTTTCTGTGATATTCATACACTGCTCATCATTTTCAAGGTTAATCTAACACGCCCCTTCTCACAATTCCAAACGCTGTCACAGTTTGAAATCTTATCAGATGGTGGAGCTCATCTTTATATGCTGTCTTTATGCATGACCAGTTAGACAAGGATATCTGATAAAGGCAGTATACTTCACAGTGACTAAATGTACATAATGGCTGCTCTCCTCTCGATCAGTGGAGCAGGGACGAAGAAGAAGACGTGAGGACACACAGAGCGCCTGCCAGGCTGGACTCACTGTTATGTCCCAGTGTTATTGTCCATGTCAAGGTTATAAAAAGGGTGTGGGTCTAAAATTATGATGCATGCAATGTTGTCATCTCAAATGTACATTTTACTGTCCATACCTGCCTAGTTCTGTGATTTATTTTCTATGTTTCATTGAAAATTTGAGACATACCATGAAAGGCATCTCTCAAGCATCCACAGGTTAAACAATCTGAATACATATTTGTCAATAAAACAGGGAAAACAGCATCTGTTTTAATCTCAAGGTCAATTTCTGTGTTACTAAATCAGAACCCATTTCACATTCAAACCCTCCATCCTTCATCCTGTGACACCCACACGCACCTGGGGACACACTCACGCACACACACACACACACAAGTGTGTGGGTGTACGTCACTGGTGTTTTTCCCTCTTTCTGTTTGGGCTTCTTAAGGTGGATTGAGGCTGTCGGGGAAGCTTCATTAGTCGTCACAGGGAGGCAAGGCTGTGACTCATGCCTGCGTGAACAGAGACCAATGAGCAGCGCGAGCCTCACGTATAAATAACGATTTAAAAATATTCTTGAGGGAGAAGAAAGGGTCACTGGCGCGCGTCTGGATGGGATTTTATTAGAGCGCTCTGTTGGTATTCCTCCTCTGTCAGCTTCACTGGACTGTTGGGCTGCTTGTCGCGCCTTTGGGTGCCAATTGGAACATCTCTAGTTAGTCTGGACTCGACAACCTGTGAGCCGGTAAGATGCCTCCTAGGTGTTATATTCTTTATATACAGACAGGTGAATGTTGCACGCGTGTCTTGTGATCAGGTTGTAGCGTTGGAGTCAGTTTGAGAAAATTACAGTAACAGAAATTCTGCGATGTTTTGGGGTGTTTTTGAAAGAAATCAGGAGGAATCCATCAGCCTGTCTCTGATCTCAGGATGATATTGACTGATGATGATGAGGACATTCTTCTTCAGAGCGCAACTTAATTGAAATGTCGATTGCTGAATAAATAAATAAAAGTCAAATGTGGATATTACAGCCGCCTATTATCGTGATTTGTCTAAAAAAAATCACATTTACTCCACATCTGTAGTTTTATCGTCAAGGTTTCTCTCACCTATTTATTTAATGTCTTTAAAACCCCAGCTGGGTGTCTTTTCTTCATCTTTGTAGTTAAAGTTCCAGCTTTAGTCTGACTTAGTGGATTGTATAAGTGAAATAATAAATTTCCTTCAGTGGGCTATTATCTATTTCCTACACGCCCATGTCCCTGATAAAACACATTTTCTGCACATTCACGTCAGATACACCATCTTTTATTGCAAACTGACTTCAATAAATATCAAAGCCTATCTCTAAAATAAATGCACCCACAGAAACATTGTGTCATCATCAAAGCTATTTGTCCTGCTGTGCGTATTGTTTGTGCGTCGTGCGCAATTCTCTCCAAATTGCGCGTCTTGATTCACAGCCCACCCAGCTCTCCTCCGGGGATAAATCTCTGCTGGTGAAATCACCATTTTCTGGTTCAATCCTGGCTCACGCTTTCAACTGATACTGTTATTTAAATTTAGGTTGTGGATGTGATGGTCCGACCTACCCTCTTCTAACTAAGCACCGTTTTGTTTGCAGTTGAATCATTTCTCAGCTGGAGATCAGCCACCTGAAGAAGTGATGGCCACGTCTGAACCAAGAGCCAGCGGCGGGGAACAGGACCCTAACTCCGCCAATTTAAGACCTCCGACAGCAAGTACGTCCTCACAATCCTCCTTCCTCTGCCTGTTAAAACCACTGATCCAGTATCGATCCCCCGGGAGGTAAATTCTCGTTAAGGCTGTCCCTCTCCCTCCGGAGCGCTCAGGCTGTGACAGGGACTCGATGCCTTGCTCAGGGACACTCGTGCAGCTCGATTTCTAGCCAACAAGAGAGGGAAAAAGTGTTTCACCCCTCACACCTCTCTGTCTGGCTCTGTCTGCCCCTCAGTCTCTCTCTCCCTCCTTCTCTGTCTGATAAAAGCTGGTCTCGCCTGGGCCATTTGCTGTGTGGGCTCCGTCGTTAATCATTCCGGTTAAAAACAGAGCCATCACAGCTGCCTGTCGCTGCCTGCGAGTCAGCGGAGCGCGCAGAGCAGAGGACCTGGCCTAGATATTTAGATGCGCAATTAAAGCATCTTATTATTTATCACCATCTATAAAGTCATTCAATGTAGATTTGAATGAAAAGGCATTTTCTGGTTCAAAAATTTGGACTTTTCTTCAATTAAAACGCCTCCCTTCGTTTGTCTGCTCTGACACTCTCAAGGTCAAGGAACATATTTTGGATGATTTGACTGAAATTACGCCAAATTAAATTCAAATAGATTTTTCCCCATCATATTGCATTTTATCTTGTTTCTTGGCCCTCGAGGTTGATGTGCTGCATAATAAAAAGCTGCATTTTGGCTGCATTTTTTTTCAAGCGTCCACGCGTATTTACATGAATAGGCGAGTTGATTCATTATTATCTCGTACACAAAATGGAGCTTATTAATGTACGCTTGAGTGGCCACCTGCAGCGGGGAATAATTATAGGGTTTATTTTAGCCGAGTGTCAAATTTCCTGAGGAGTAGTTCGCGATTCATTTTTTATATATTTTTCCAAATCAAAAAAATATATTTTTTTATCTTTTATTTTTGTCCCTTGGGTATCGATAATAAAAAATAACTCCACAAGAACCTAAGAGTGATTTCATCTGTGACTGTGTGAGGCAGCAGCCCATTAAGAAGAAGTTGTTGTTGTGTCTGCCTCGCTGGTGTACTGCTGCTGGATGTTGCCATTATCTCCTCGCCACGCTCCATCTCACGCCTCGCGGCTTGTGCTCTGCCTCTGTGTGTGCTCTGTCCCTCGAGCTGCTCTCTGCTCTCTCTCATCGTGAAATGGCTTCAGTGGATTTGAATACTTGTTTTCTTATGAAACTTTGTCCATCAGGTGTAGCTTCATCCGCCGCCTCGCCTCACTCTGCTTCTGCTCCATCTCTGCTTATATGTGTGTGTGCGTGTTTTTGAAGCGTGTGTGTGTGCATGTCGTGTGTATATGAAGCGCTCTGTTCTATAAGTTTCTGCACAGACTTTGTGGCCTCAGACATTAGCAGCTCGCTGCAGTCACATACTGTGTTTCACTCAATTAATTCCTGCCCTCCTCCGTGAGCTCATTTCACGGGCGTTAACTCCACTCCGCCCCTTGGCTGGGTGTGTGCGCGCGGCGTGGATGTGCCGCGCGGCCCTCTGTCGGCGCCTATTGATTGAACTTAAATCGGATATGTTATCAGGCTCTCCCACTCATGATTAGAGGGTGCTGTGGTAAATAAAAATGTGGATATATCCCCTGTAAACAAAGAAATGTTGAATTAAAAAAATAAGAGAGATCCCCAATTTGAAGCTGAGGGCTCACACACCTGGCCAAGAGCTGCTGTCCGCTTCTTCTCGCTTCCTCTGTGCTCTGTGTGCTCCACCATGCTGCTCTTTTCTCCATCACCGCCCGTCTTCGTTTCTTCGCGGCCTGCACGAACACAAACTCAAACGTTCATTCTGTTTTAGCAAACGATTACGCGTGGATGCACGGATGCACACGGAAACTGGGAATGAAGATTTGTGGTAAGTTTGTTTCAGGCGTAAAAACATTTCACTCAGTCTATTGTGCAGCATTTTCTCTCTTCATTTTACACTTCAGTGATATGCTGACATGTCTCAATAAAAGCCCATCGTAACGTAGCTACACTTCTACCTCCACTCCTGTGGCATTTTCTCGTTCTGTAAAACATAAAGCGGTGTGGAGGCCTGAAATAGGCCATAATAAAGGCTGCTGGAGCGGGACAAACACAGAGACTGTCACTGTGTGTTTCTATCTTCTAAAGGTCAGTGGACATTAGCCTGTAGGTCTGATGATGAGAGCCCCGTCTCACCGCCCCCTGTCGCCCCTCAACCCTCCCTGTCTCATCCATTTCAGCACCACGAGAGAAAAAAGCCTGCAGACAGGCCTGGAAAAAATACACAGAGGTTCCCATAATATAACCGGCTCTTTGTATAGTATTTTCTTTCTCTTTCATATGAATATATTCCTTGAGGAATATCGTTTTTTTTCTTAGAAGGCTTTTTGCAATTTCAATGCCCGGCCGCTTTTGAGGGGGAAAAAGCAGATGACGCTGCAGAGACGGCGTCTATGGTTTGTTGTAATGTGTTTTTGTATTTGATCAAATATTAAAATACACGATGCAAACCCCTTTTCTGCAGCTATGCAAAGAAATGAATGTCTTGATCCAGCCAAACAAGGCCTGCTCATTGAGGCGGAAATCAACTCAGACCCAAAGATCGAACATGTTTGCTATTTCAATCTCTGAGGATGAGAAATTGACCGAAAGATTTGATTGGTCTCAACGACTTTTTAATAGACTGGAATGGAAGTTGAATGGAAATATTGAATGGAAATATTTCTGCACAGAGGCCGTGGCAGTTAGAGGGTCTCGCATATTGATTTTAAATGTGTAATTATGGATTTAATGAGCAGAGAATTCGGACTTTCCGCGGAGAAATATAGGCGAAGACTTCATATTTTATAGGCGAACACACAGCCTAACAATGATGTGTGATGTCCACGTTTTTTTGCGCGCAATTAGGCCCGAACATTATCCCACAGACACGTAATGGTGCAGATTTAGAGGTCTGTGAGCAGAAACTGATCAATCATGGAGTTTGAAAACACGCAGGCCCTGTGGGTTTAGACTGCCGTGGGGGATTTGGTGCTTCCTTCATTAACCCCTGTTTATCGGCCCTGTGGGGTCATCACCACCGTGGGGTTTCCTGCCCACCGGGCCGGTTAGTCTGCGCACGGCGCGGGTGCATCCTGGCAGGGGTGGGGCTATGACGTCATCGGACAATACGCGCACTCTGATCTGGCGTGCGTGTTCACATAAAATGTGTAAACAGGGATCACTTCCACCAGGAAAACGGAGTTAATGAGAGAGTGTTTATGACTCAGGAGCTGACTTTGGACTTCATCAGATTATTTTTAAAAAGCTGCTCTATATTTATTTAAAAACAGCTGATAGAGTTTAACTTTTTATTAATTTTCATTTGTTATTTGTGTTTAGCTTCATAGTTTCATTATTTTTTCCTTTTCCTGTGATGGAGATGTTTGGTGATAACTCGTGCCCCTCGACGTGTAACACTTTAGGGTTCCTGCAGAAGAATAACAGCCTGGATGAGAAGGGGAGGCTCGCGGGCCAGAAGAACCTGCTCTCGTGCGACAACAGCGACAGGGACGCGCGCTTCCGCCTCACCGAGACCGACTTCTCCAACCTGTTCGCCAGAGGTGAGACCTGACCCACACCTGCGACACTCTTTCCACACTAAAGCCACACACAAAAAAACAGCTATTTCTAATTTACTGATGACCGATATTTCCGTGTTTTCTTTTCCAGCTGTGAGCTTTTTGGTAACACATTCACATTAGGATTATCTTAAATTTGGGTGAGTTTTGACAAGGGTCTCATAGGGAGTAAGAAATAGGCCAACAAATACATCAAGTAGGGGAGACCGGGGAAAGCTGCGACATGTTTTACATTTTCTGTGTAACTCACAAGTTGTTGACAAACACCAGTCATCTTTTATTTGAGAAAGCCTACATATACTTACACCAATAAATAAAATGCTTTGCTGTAGATAAGAAGAGAAAAACTGTTGTACTCAATTTATTTGAGGAAGTCAGAGTTTTAACATTTTCCCCAATCAAGGGAAAATAAAGAAATATATCATTGTGTCACAAGTTAAAGCACACCTGAATGTAAATACATCTAGTAGCATATCTATTATCTCACAATGTAGCTTAAAAATCATATTGTGGAGGTTAGAGGTCATTTAGATGTTGAGTATTGTAACCAAAAATCCATCCATTTATGTTAACAAGGCTAATATTCTTGTGCTTATATTGGATTTAAATTAATTGAACTGAGACAAAATTAAATCTTAATCAAACAAATTGATCAACTCATCGGTCAGTCTCTAACCAAACTTTTGTGCAATGGTGTATGATGGACAAGTTGACAGAATAACACAGTGAGATCTTTTGGAGGGAATATTTAGTGCATTTATAAAAAGAGTTTTTTAATGAAAATCAGTTTTTAGAACATGTGAAAAATGTTATAATGATATAACATTTTTCTTAAAAATAGCATGAGCAACCTTTAGCAACAAAAAAAATGTAAAGCACAATTGCTTAGGATAAAATAATATTGTTTAGATTGTAAAACTATTACAGTTGCCACTAATACTACTGCTAACATGGGTTATCCCATTTTTAATAAACAGCTGAGACTTACAACTCTTTTAAGCTTAAATTCACTACTATTAAACTTAAGACAGCACAAAAAAATTATGTACAACTGCATTTTTTACTCAGCACCACTTTTTTTTTTTTTTGGTGAAAACTGTGTTATCCTCGAGAGCAGGCAGCAAGAAAGCTAACTGAGCATACAGAGTTAGTGTCATGACTTTAACCCATAAATGTGTTTCAGTGGCCTTGGTCCATCCTACTCTATTGCACCTCCAAAAGAATCTCTTGTTATTGTACCACTCGGTAATTAAAACCACAGCAACATCAGTGTTGCAGCGTGATTTGTGTGATGTTGGCTGATAGTTTAAGACTGAGCTGTCTTGGTGTTCACTGCAAACCTAAAAAACCAAATCTACCTTGGGGGTAAAGTAAGAGCACTGATACAGCTTCATTGCTAATTAATCTCTGAATCAAATCAAATCAAGCAAACTATCAGAATCTCAGTAAAGTGAACTGACACAAATGTAATCTATGACGGCTGCCTGACATACAATGGCAAGTTTCTATAGAACAACTGCTGAAGTTAAATTGATATGATAATGAACTTGGCTATGTTGAGTGTAAAAACTTAAAGCTGCTTCACTTTGTTTGGTCCTGATTCTGGTGACTATGAGTAAACTTGTCCTGGTGGATCTAAGGTGTCTGGCTGCCACACAGTGAACCATCAGATCTGATAGCTGTTTTTGTGCTTCATAATCCAGGAGAAGGATTTTAAACTCCCTCTGTCAGGGTTACTATTAACTTAGTTTATCTATATTGAAATTCTTACTTAAATATACCTTTGGGCAAAGCAAGGCCACATAGATAACTTCCGCTGGCAAGATACCTGTGACAGCTTTAACATCTGTCTTCATCTTAAGGAAACTAAACACCATCTTGCGCACTATATTTTACTGCCTGGTATGAGAAAAGTCCACCCTTTTTCTCTGTGATTAACCTTGGAGGCAGGAAGCAGTGTGTTATTGTTGGCTTCTCTAAATTAATGAACAAAGCGTACTGGAAAGACAGAGAGATTATCAATCAATGAACAGATTTTTAAAAATCAAACCTGAAGATAATACGATGATCAACCTATTAAATCTAGACAGTAGGAACTATCACTTCACATATTTTTCTGACTTCGGATGGGATTCAATCTTATCAAAGATTATGTGAAAAAATTTAACATAAATGAAGTTAATTTATTGATATATATGTAAGACAAATGCAAAGTCAAATCAGGGCTTAAAGTAATAACTAGATGGCCTACATTTTGGGGTTTCTAAAGGCTTCTTAATGAAGTGTTTCTGTATGAGATTCTCAGATAAAAAAAGAGGGCCTCATGAGTGGATTCAGGATTTTAATTTTTCTTCCCCTCTCTTCTCAGACCTGCTGCCAGCCAAAAATGGAGAGGAGCCGACCATACAGTTCCTGCTGGAAATTGTTGAAATCCTCACCAATTATGTGAAGAAAACCTTTGACCGCTCAACCAAGGTGCTGGACTTCCACCACCCCCACCAGCTGCTGGAAGGCATGGAGGGCTTCAACCTGGAGCTGTCAGACCAGCCCGAGTCCCTGGAGCAGATCCTGGTGGACTGCAGGGACACGCTCAAGTACGGTGTCAGGACAGGTAGGCTGGGACACCTTCAGGGCAGAGCATGATTAAAATGTGTAGCCTTTTGAATTATTTATGAGGTGGAATATTATAATAGAAAAAGCAGAAGGACACTGAAATGTGAGGCTGTTTGAGACAATCAACCCAGAAATCTCCAAACTGAATATACACTTTTTAAAACCTGCAAACAACATTCAGTCAAATACACTATCCTCATAAAACTAGTGCTTTAAAATCATTTTACAGTAGATTTATAAAGTTTAAATCTTTATAGGTATCACAGTTTTTTTAAAAAGAATAAATGTCTCATTTTCATTACTGTCATACAAATTTCTATGCAAGACAAAGTCTGATCTCAGTGCTTAAAAATTATTTTACAGCGAACCTATTATATGCAAATGTCCAAAGGTTGTTTATTTTACATGTATTTTTTCAACTAATTTGTCTTTTTCTGGAAAGACTGTAATTGAAATTAACTCTGAAGTTTTGTTCAAGTCAAACCAAGAGAAGAGGCTGTTTCCAGTTAGTGTTCAGTCCATTACAATGACTTCTTTATTTATAGTCCCCTTGGTGATTCTCCTGACATCCCCCCTTTTTCTCTTCCCTTTCACTTATTAAAGCAAGTGTGGCCTGAGGGGATCCTAACATGGCTGTTTCAAGCTGTTAAAAACAACAGCGTTCAAACCGTCCCCCTGGGGTTTACAAATCACACAGGGACTGCTGTGTCTACAACTCAACTCCACTTTTTATTTAGACATGGGAATTGTTTTGTTTTTGTTCGTTTTTTGCTAATTGAGACTTTCTTTATGAGACTAATTTTATAGGTTTAGACTTGAAGAGCTATCCATGGTGCTGAAATATGAAGCTGCTTTATCCTTCCTGCCTTTTTATGTATATTTATATACTTTGAATATTTGGAGACTTGATTAACTTCATTTGGCCCCTTTTTGATATTTTCCACGAGAAATACAATGCAAGGACTCGTATATATATTAACATGTGAGCCGTACAGCTCTACATCCACCCTGTGCTTATACCCATGGTTGCATTTTGGCTCCAGGCGTGTTGACTTTGACTCTGTGTGTGTGTGTGTAAATGTGTGTGCAGGCACCTTGGAGTCTAAGTGGCTGTCATAGAGTCTTGTTACCAGTGTAATTATGGTACATTGAACTCTGCTACGTCAGATCCCTCAGGTGTTAAGACTGACCAGGGGAATACGAACATGCAATATGTAAGCATGTAAAAAAGCCGACATCAGAACAATTTCCCTATTTAGTTTTTTTCTATTTTTTTTATTTCGTCAGTAAGATTTAGGTGGTCAGCTTTGGCCTGAAGGACATTCAAATCCTTTAATTAAGCTCTGTTTACGTAGAGGATAAGGGGGCCTGTTATAATTTTACTCAATGCTTCCCTTGATGCATGTACAACTAAAAGGCATTTCAGCATTTATAGTATTAGCTATTATGAAATATGAGGGGTGGGTAAAAAAAATGCCAATGATCAACCATGGTCTCGTAAACAGAAAGTGCTGTTTTCAAAATGTTTATTTACGAAAAGGCAACTTGACAATATAAAGGTTGAGTTTCAGATTGACAGATTTAATGAAACTAAACCTGTTAAACTCATGAAAAGCTCTCTTTCTCATTGTCTTAAAGACTAACTCCATAACTTTCTAACTGAAGCCAAACAGCATAACTGTCTGATGAAAAGAATTGAAATCAAGATAGTCTGTTTTATTTATTGTGACCAGGTCATCCTCGATTCTTCAACCAGTTGTCTTCTGGTCTGGACATCATCGGACTTGCCGGAGAGTGGCTCACCTCTACCGCTAACACCAACATGTAAGTCATGAAACATGAACCAGTATAAATGACCTCCTTGTATGTGACTTAAAAATTATGTAAACAAGGGAAACACCTTTTTATTTCAGGACAGATCAGCTGAGAAATGTTTGTAGGCCACTGGAAATAGCCTCCAGTCATTCTCACGTAAACTCCTGGTATTCCTCTTAGCTCGCTCTACAATCGGTCAGTTATATAAAGTGTTTATTTTGTCCCGTAGAGACGCTGTATTGACAGACGGCAGGCTGCCACTGTGTTGTGCTGTATATAGAAGCAGCCCAGCCTCAGGGGTGGTTAGATTGCATATTGATCTCAGGTCACAGTTACATGGTGGTCCAGTCTGATAGAGGGCATGAACCACATCAACAACAGGGGTACACACACACACACACACACACACACACACACACACTGAATCTCACAAACACCTCCTGTAAATAAAGATGTAACCAAGTGTTATGATTACTGCTGTGGGATGGGAGACATGGCGCTCAAACTGCTGTACAGTATTAAAACAATGAACACACACGCACACATGCACACACATACACAAACAAAAATAAACAAACACAATAACATTCAAGTCCAGTAAAGTATTCACTCTCAGTGGAGGATGAATGAATATATGATTTTTTTTTAAGTTCACATAATAATGTTAAAATAAAAACTGATATTTTGATGCAGATGTATGACCCTATTATAAAAATGGCCCGTAAAGTTAACTTCAGGAGACAATGTGCAGCACTGAAAGGCTACACATCATTATTTTGCATTATCAATTCATCTACTAGTTATTGGCTCAAGTAACTTGTGATTATTTTGTCTTTAAATGAATATATATCACAAAATCTCCTTGTAAGACTCACCCAAAAGCCTGCATGTCTTTTTTTGTCAATCCAAACTTTAAAACGTACAGATTACAAATAATATACATTGCTTATATGCAGAGCTGCAACTAATAACTAATGTCTATCCCTCCCAAGAAAAAAAATATTTTCTCAATTAATCGATTTAACACTGAAAAAACTAAAATGAGATGACATTTGCTCATTTTGCTTTCTAAAAGGGCCAAGATGGCGTTTCTAGGTATCCTTTTTTGTTTGGCGAAAAACTTTAAATATCTATAAATTCATTTAAAAGAATAGAAAAGAATTGTGTATTTCCTCATTATGCTAAAGCACCGTGATTCTCTGCAAATAGAGAGAGGCTCTCAGCGTATTTCTATAAAATCCTGATAAAACATTTCAAATACTTGTTTTTTTCACTGTCAAACCCAAGAATAAAACTACAGTAGATGTGATAAAAATAATTAAAAATGTAAGCAGAGTGGATTTTACTTGCTCTTTAAAATCTTGTATTTAAACCTTGAAGAAAGATTGTTTGTTTCTGGTCTAAACATAAAATTACAACAAGGGCAAAGAGATAATGAAGCAACAGACAAACGCCAGAAAATTTTTACAATTTAATAACAGAATCTGATCAATCAAAATCAGTTTCTGGAAAAATGTAGGTGATAAATGTAAGCAGGAGTTTGTGTTGAAAAGACAACATGACCAGCAGGAAGAGCAAACAAGACACCCACAGAGCTTAAGTACCTTTCTCTTTACACACAATTCCAGTATTTATTGTTCTCTTACTATTGAAGCTGCTTTCCTTTCTCCAAGTCCTGCTGCCAAAGAAAAGATCAATGCAAGAATAATAAACCCAGAGCTGGAGGAAAATTGAGACACTTAATTTATCCCATTTCTCAAAACATTAGCTGAGCACATTGCCCCCTCCTCCTCCTCCTCCTCCTCCCAGGAAAAACTTTCCCATCTCATCTCTTGGAAGAATGCCCGAAGAGACAGGGCCATTGAATTCACACACTTTCATAATGACACACTCACACTCACACATACATATACACTCGCACACCAGCTCTGGCTGTCCCAGATACAGCAGCCAGGGTTTCCAGTCCATTGACTGCAGGCTCATTGTGAGCTGGTCTTAGCAGATAGGCCAGCTGGGCCCCACACTGACACACAATGTCCTGCGGCTGCACAGAAAACCCTGTCACTGAGAGGAAACTGGCTCTGCAGCTCCCTGTGGCGCCTCATTCTGGATCTATTGTCCCCGTGGACCCAGACTGACTCAGTACTCCTTTGAGGGGCTGAGAGGAGAGTGTGTTCAGGGGTCAGAGGGTTAGTCACATACAGACACACACACACACGGACACACAATCAAACACAGACACACACATCGAGTGCCCTTGATGATGATAATAAGGGCATTTAGGGGCCGTCCCTGGAGACGGGCAGGTGACTGAGGGGTAATTTTCGCCCTGAAAAGACCAATGATTGGCTCTGATTGTGATAATGATCACCATTATTGTCATTACAGCGTGAAATGACTCACAAGGAGAAGGGGATTTTAAAAAGGAGCTCTGGTTTTGTCCCTTTGCTGCTGCTGCTGTGGCTGACATGTAATTTTAGACTAAATGAAAGTGAAACATGGGAGATAATGTTGCTCTTTTCTGAGCATAATTTTCACAAATCAAAGAAAGAAAATATTTCTTAATTTTAGCTGCTGAGATGCTTCAAAATGAGACATTTATTCTTCTTTTGTGGCTTTATCCAGCACTGATCATAGCAAGAGCCCAGCGGTCACCATCTGATCGGCTGTACTGGTGAGAAGCTAATGTTGCGTTCAAATCCATCCTGTGGCTGAGCTCCCACCATGAACAATTACACAAGAAAAATGTCCTTTTGTTCTTTTTTTTCAGCATCTCCATGTTTCCAGCTCATTTCAATATAAAAACACAGAACTCAACACTAGAGCATGTGGAACAGACTGGTCACATACTGACTGCTTTATTTCAACATTCCCCACAGACAATATGCTCTCTCTCTGAAAACCCTTGATTGTTTAGTAGAAGGTGCTGCAGATGCAATGAGACACAGTGTTGTTGGAGAATTTGTATTTCAAATCAATGTCGTGCATCACAGTGATTATATATTTTAGTCCTCATGTTCTGTATATCATATTAAATGTAGTGGCCGAAAAATCCAGGGATAAAAATTATAGATTTGTGATCTTTTTATGTAGATTTGTTAGGAATCAAATGTGAAAAATATCTTAGACATGTGGGACGGATGAGATCTCTCTCTGACAGATGTATTGTCTTTTTTCTTCTCGTCTTGCTCTTTCTGTCCAGTCCTTTTCCCCCTGTTTTCGCTCTCTTTTTCTCAGTCCTGCAGCTTCGTTTTTTGCATCGTCTCATTTTATTCCCTTTGTTATTTCCACTCTTGCTCTGTTTCCACATCACCCCCTCCCCTTCTTTTGTTTTCCTCTACCATTGCCTCCTCAGTGCTTTGTTTTAGACCCATAATTCCCTCTCCCCAAAGCCTTTATCTCTCTGCCTCTCAACCCAAACCATGAAGTACTTTGATACTCCTTGGACTGAGAGAGAAATGATAAGAGAGTGTAGATACTGTTATTGTGGATATAGGAGGTACTGGTGTTGGTGCCACTGGTGGGAGTGGAAGAGTGTTGTATAACTGGCCTCATTATGAGCAGGACAAACAGGAATCAGTCCTGAGGGTGTGTGGGAGGCGATGAGATGGACTGTCAGCAAAAAGAGGCCACGATGGAAGAGTTGAGCTCTCTGTGACACATTTTATCGACTATTGCCTCTGTGGAAGTTTTGTCTCTCTCTTGGACTTTTATTACTCTTTGTAAGGAAATATTATTGAAGCAAAATTTCCCTAGTGGAATATCTCTCTTAGACAATATGGCAATTAGGGGGAAAATGTCTTCAAATATTGAAGTTTGAAGTTGATTTCAGCATGAACGATTTCTCCACATTGAGGCTTTTTTTCTGAAGTAGCAACTAGAATTTTGTTTCACATGTCTCCATCAATCCTTTATTTTTGCTATCATTTTTTCTCCTTTCTATTCATTGGAGACTTTAATTAACAATAATGGTGTCATCCTCAATTTCAGAATTTTGGGGGTCAAACAGAAGCTGTTATCTCCTAAAAACACACTCTGTCTTTCTTTGTCACACACACACACACACACACACACACACACACACACACACACACACACACACACACACACACACACACACACACACACACACACACAAATACACACACACACAAACGTCCTCTCAGCCATCGAAGCCCACCCCATTCAGGCTCACAGCAGAGATTGGCAGGATTGACAGATAGCCATCAGAGCTTTGTGTGCTTTAATTAAACTTCTGAGTGAATTTAGGAGGCATTTGAATATGAATGTTTGCCGCTCCACTCCTATCAGACACTTTTTAATTAGCTCAGTCAGCACAAGCTCCGGTTTGTGCTCTGTGGATAGAATTATAGATAAGCTAATGAAAAACCAATGAGTGTGTTTTGCTGCTTTCTAATTTGCAATTATGTGAATGTATAAGAATGTTCTGTGATTGTTTGTTCTCACCAAGAATTTTATAATGACTCTGCCGCCACTGTAATTTTGATCGACATGCTTTATTGATGGCTGTTGTGATGTGATTGACAGGTTCACCTACGAGATCGCGCCTGTGTTTGTCTTGATGGAGCAGTTGACTCTGAAGAAAATGAGAGAGATGATTGGCTGGCCTGATGGAGAGGGAGACGGAATCTTTTCTCCAGGTGAGCCACAGACAGCTATAACCTCTTACACAATGCAACCTTGCAACAGTGCAGAATGAAGTACTGCCATCACTATGCATTTGTACTTACACACTGCAACCTCTGATAGAGTAATATGAGTGTTTTAGTGTGAGATTTTTTTTTTTTTCACATTAGGAAGTGCATGAGACGTAGCTTGTAAAGGCTGAGTAGGAGCACCACGTAGACACACACTCACACAAGCATATACTGTACATACAATGCTGTTGGATCGTATAGAATCCAATTGTATCGTATTTTATCAGATAATATGGAATCAAATCAAATTAGTTCATTTTTTTCTATCCTTTCATATCCTATCATACTGTATTGTATCATATCCAATCAAATTACACTGTAATGTACAATTAAATTATCATATCATATCATATCATATTGTAACGCTGTACTATTTTATATTACAGCATATTATGTTTCATTATGTTGTTTTTCATGATATTATAATTTACAGTATTATACTGTTCAGTACTGAATTGTAATACACAAAACCTCATGTACTGCATGTGCTACATCCTGTTAAATCATCCATTGATCAATCAATCAGTCTTTATTTATATAGCACTTTTCATACACAACCATGTAGCACAATTCATACCACATTCTACCTACTCCTATTACACAGCATCAAGTTTCATTGAGTAGAAGTGAACACAGCTGTGTTATGGAATTTTTTTCCTGTTATGCTGTATTGCAATGTTTCGTATTGACTTTACTCAGGTTGTGAGGTTTTTGCTATTTCATCTCTTTCTCTATATTTGTGTTATGGAAAAATGTAAAGACAGACTGACCTGCTCTTATAGAAACCTGCCATTAAGATAAGATAAGAAGAAATTACTGATTAGATTAAGAAAACAAACAAAAAAACAAAAAAACAAAAAAAACTGTTGAGCTGATTTTAAAATGAGCTAATTTTGATGCTTCATTTATGCTCTGACCAATCTCCTACCAATGCAGCTAACAGTCTTTTGCCTTTAGATGAACTCATTTCAGTGCTGTTTTTTTTAATTTTTTTAAATCTTTTTTCTCTCAACCCTACAACAGAGTTATTTGATGTTAAATAGCCGAGAAATTACAGGGATTTTTATTATACAATGATGGTGTGTGCTGTCCAAGGTGCTGATGTGTGTGTCTCTGCTCAACAGGGGGCGCCATCTCTAACATGTACAGTGTGATGATTGCACGCTACAAGTATTTCCCCGAGGTCAAGACCAAGGGCATGTCTGCTGCTCCTCGCCTTGTCCTCTTTACGTCTGAACACGTACGTCTCAAAACACACACACAAGTAGCAAGTACACCTGGAAAGCAAGCCAAACACCTCACTGGCTGTAGCTTGAGGCCATTGAATTGGTCCTGTAATAATCTATCATCAGAGATGTTTGAATTGATTCTCGATTGCTTGTTTTTTTTAAAGGGTACTGCTTATATCTCAATACAAAATTGTGATCAAAGCTGTGACTGTGGCAGGAAGAAAGCAAAGTCTAAAGAAGAACTTAGCCTAATAATTTTATCCTTCCATTGTTTCAATGAAAAGATTAATCATTATCTTTTATTTTGTTCATGTAGAGCCACTACTCCATCAAGAAGGCTGGAGCTGCTCTGGGCTTTGGTACAGAGAATGTGATCCTGCTGAGCACAGATGAGAGGTATGACAATCAACTTCTTTTCATTTAGATTTTTGTTTCTTTTGACAAAACAAAAGCAGCCATGAAATGTACTTTGCATGTAGTGCAAGTAAAAGAAGATAAAAAAAAATTAGTACAAACAACTCAAAATTGGATAAGTTATACAATCCAAATGGAAAACAATAAACACCTCATACATCTGAAAACAAATGCATATTTGACCTTGAAGGACAGTCAAAAGTAAATATACTTCACAAAGATATTTACTAGGACATTAACCACCAACCAAAAAAAATCAAGACAAGCACTGATTTTTATAAAACACCTAATTTTAAACAACTCCTGAAAAGAAGTCAGCTGGAACAAACACAACAAAGACAAAACGTGGAGATATAATACCTGATGAAATATACAATGTACAAACACGAGACGCACAAGTTTGAAGCTAAAACGACTAAAACTTAAATGACACGTGCTGCCTAAAGCTTGTCCAATCATGATGGTTTTAAGCTGTTTTAAACTGATACTTTCCAAAGAGTTCAGGTTCATGAAGAGATTTATTTAAAGCTTAGCTGCTTCTGACTTGAAAACAAGACCTCCTCAAGTTTTAAAGCTTAACCAAAGTACATTTGGGAAACCCTGGAAAGAGGACCTGAGAGTTCCCCTTTGAGTGTGCTGGTTGCAGGATATTCTCAATATATTTTGTAGTCTGAAAATATCAGGCTATCAGACCATAAGCACAGGTATTAAGAAACTACTCTTGAAAAGTGCAGCGGACAGACTAATGTGACTTTGTGTGGGACAATGCTTGTAGCACAGTGATATTTCATTAAGGCAGGTAAAAACAATGATAAACTGGTCCAAATTCAACAAGCTGATACAGCGAGTAAACTAAATACTGAGCATGAAAGGTGTCTTAATACTTGTGATTCTTGAAGACCTTAATATGTTAAATCATGGTGATTTATGTTCTGACAGAGGCCGAGTCATTCCTGCAGATCTGGAGGCAAAGATCATTGATGCAAAACAGAAGGTCAGCACCAATCTTTATTATGATATTTCTGTATTTCCTTTTATTTTTTCCCCCATAGGTGTATGCTTCTGGTTAAACATGGGTTTTTTTCCCTACAGGGTTGCCATCCACTGTTTGTGAACGCCACAGCTGGTTCCACCGTGTACGGAGCATTTGACCCAATCAATGAGATCGCTGACATCTGTGAGAAGTACAACCTGTGGCTCCATGTTGATGTAAGTACCAAACATAGGATCAGCTGTTGGATTGAATTTATAATAGTAGAAATACAGTATTATTAGTATTTACACTGTGTCCTCACCTCTTCAGGGAGCATGGGGCGGTGGACTGCTGATGTCCAGGAAGCATCGTCATAAGCTCAGTGGGGTGGAGAGGTAAGAACATGGAAACAGATAAGAATACAGTGTTCAGTGTATTTACATGATGCTAAAAAGCTCAATTCGATGCATCAGGCTGACTAAAACTGGACTTTTACAATTCATGATGCCAATCTGATTGAAAGCTCAGACTCACATAGGCATGCATAGAAGAAAACCCTCGACCTTTGCATGCAATCACAAACCAGAGAGTTAGCATGCATCTCATTTGTAATAAGAGTGAAGTTTAGAGGATGTATGAAACGTACAGCGCTGTACTGTCATCCAAGTTTTGATAAGTCCAGAAGAAAAAGTCAAAAACTGACAAGCAGAAAGGGAGCCTAATCAAGCTTTGACTGTAGTTTGACTTCAGTGTGCATGTAAACGTGTTGATTGTATTATTATGTAAATATCTTCAGTGACGCTACCTCAGAACAATAAGATTCAAATTACTAAACTTAGCTGACTAAGTATACATACAAACCAAATCAATTTTCCAATTACCACCTTCCACAGCGCCAAGCTTAGAACAATAAAGGAGTCAATCATATGTAATTATTTTTGTGAGACCAGCAAAGGCCTGTTGCTTGGAGCCAGTCTCTTTTTGATTAATTTTTGCACCCTATAGCTTTATAATTTACTCATGTCTATTTGAAAACCATCAGAAGTGTCTGAAATTGACTTTTACCTAAGAGTAAAATTGTGATTCATGCCATGTTTCAATGATAAACAAGCTTATTTGTAATCATTGATTTGTGATAATTAATGTATGTAGCGACAGTTCTGACAATAAAATAAAATAGAGACACCCTCTATTTATAGACATGAATCAAGGCTATTTTGGGTATTGGTATTTATCCTTCCAGTAAGGCTCTGGCACAGCAAAGTTAAGTCATCCTTGAACTTAAGAAAACATATTAATTTTTGCAGGGCCAACTCTGTCACATGGAACCCCCACAAGATGATGGGAGTGCCACTACAGTGCTCCGCCATCCTGGTCAGGGAGAAGGTACAGGAAACACACACACACACACACACACACACACACACACACACACACACACACACACACACACACACAAACTTCAGGTGCCCGCATGTGATAATAACAGGGCTTCGTCTATTGAAAAGTCACCTACACATGCTGATCACATGTTGAGTTTATTGTTGGTTTTTAAATCACTGGCGGTTTATGAAACATTTACAAGGTGATAGCACGCCTTGGGACAAAGAAAGGGTTAAAATAGGTTAACACTGTGTGTACTTTGTGTGTCTGTAGGGAATCCTGTCTGGCTGTAACTCCATGTGTGCCGGTTACCTCTTCCAACAAGACAAACAGTATGACGTCACCTACGATACAGGGGACAAAGCCATCCAGTGCGGCAGACATGTGGACATCTTTAAGTTCTGGCTCATGTGGAAGGCAAAGGTGAGATAGCCTAACTGTGTCACCTACTCTCATCACAAGTAAAAATGTCCTCTGGCTCATTATAATTGAAATGGTTTTATTATCACAGATGCTCACCCTTCATCATTATTGCCAACTGAGTTTATGATTTTAATTCTGCAGGGCACCATCGGGTTTGAGCAACACATTGACAAGTGTCTGGACCTGTCTCAGTACCTGTACAACAAGATCAAGAACCGTGAGGGATATGAGATGGTGTTTGATGGAGTGGTGAGATTTAATAGATTTCTGTTCTAGTCAATTTTCTATTTTACTTACAAAAATACTGGTACAAAAGAAACCATGGTAGAGATGGGTAACCAAGAAATCTATGTCTTTTCAAGTGACATCAATATATTTGATAGCATTTCTCTTCCTCATTCTCCTCCAGATCTATATTTTTGCATGTATCTGTGTATTAACTGTGTCTATCTCTGTTCGCAGCCTCAGCACACCAATGTTTGCTTCTGGTACATCCCACCCAGCCTGAGAGGAATGCCTGCCGGTGATGAGCGACGAGAAAAACTCCACAGGGTGAGACATCTGTGAATGCTGTCAAACCATTTATAGCCAGTGAATATAAAATGATGATTATACTAACTTTATTCATGTGGCATTAACAAAGCAACAGAAAACATGACAAAAAGGCAAAAAGGGCATTTGTAATGCAAGTACTGCAGGGGAGTTTTGAAATGTGCATAGACAAGTTGGATGTAAAAATGAAATGCAAATGTGTGAATAACCTTCTCAATATCACTGAAAACACACCCACACACACAAAAAAAACTTTGGTTAGAGGACATTCCCCGGTTCACAAAAAAATGGATTAAGAAACTGAAAGAGATTAAATAAAAGAACATCTGGTACAATAATTTCCTGTTGCATTTCCAAAGGTTGCATATATATTGAGCACATATATCAAATATCAAACATGTCGTCACCAACTTGGCTTTGCACATCTTTCAATTAAAGCTCACAAGTTGGTTTTTTAGTCAAAATTATTTCTTTGTGGTGTATGCAGTTGAAGCACATCTAGAGGCATGTTTCTATACCAGTCTCGGGGGAGCATTTCTAAACCTAAATCGTCTGAAGCTTGCTCCCCTTGTCTCGTACGCTAAGTCTGCTGCTAAGATAATAAATATAAATCATAATGTGTTTATTTGATGCTGAACACAGAAAACATTGTAAGTCCTATGCTTCAAAGTGTGTCACAAAAAGATCTGTCATTGTTCCAGCTCACAGGCCACTGGGGGCAGCAAATTATCAATCACACCAAAATCACACATATTTGCTGTCTTTTAAATTTCATAATTTACTTATTAAATATTTTTTTATTTTTTTTTTTCTTTTTAACTTTTGCAAGTGCTAAGTGAAATTTTTGGATGTCCATACTAAACTGGGAAAAAGTTTCAGATTGTGAGGCAAATGTGTATTGGTGTAATCTAAAGATGAGACTGCAGGCTGCTCTAAACGGCTTGTTAAAAAACTTACAAAAGAACTAAGCAAGAGCCACACAGAAGACGTTTGCTTGAGTCATGGCAAACCAACTGGCGAATCTTCCTGCAGAGGCAAGATAAAACCTTCCAGGTCAGATTAGGACAATATGTAGCCTAAAAAATGAGTATCATACCCACTCTTTAAACGTCACAGTGTGTCAAAAAGGCCTGAAGGAGACAATCTTTGTTTTACTAGGAAAGTAATCGGCAAAGACATAAAGCTATTTTGAAAAATGTTTCATGCAGTTTTTCCTGAGTTCCCCCCTGCTGGCCATCAGAAAGATTGCAGGTTTGAGCCACTTTCTATAAAGTGGTTCCTTCCACGTCTGATATACAGTCATGTGTGTTGCTCCTGTTAAAATGCTTGTTATTGGTCTTTTTAGGAATAAGAGGCCCTAAATAGTTGCTTTATTTTCTCCACCAGGTGGCACCAAAGATCAAGGCCATGATGATGGAGTCTGGGACCACCATGGTGGGCTACCAGCCTCAGGGACAAAAAGTCAACTTCTTCCGTATGGTTGTCTCCAACCCTGCCGCCACCCAGTCTGACATCGACTTCATGATAGATGAGATTGAGAGGCTGGGTCAGGACCTGTAAAGCTGTGAGACAGCGCCGCTCCAGTGGCCAAACAGTGAAAGCACACGCTTTATCAGTTTTAAATCCAAGCAGGTGAAACACTCTCAGTGCGGCAGGCAAAATGGTATCAGGACATAGTTTCTTTTTATCCTGGATATTTTTGCCTGAAGCATTCTGGCTGTTTCTCCAGCCAAAGAAAAACCAACAAAGAGAGAGAGAGAGAGAGACTGTGAGTTTAGTACTCGCTCGTCCCACATAGTCCCTCATATATATAAAATATTTAAAAGTATCTGAAGGCTCCAGGTACAACAAACGCACTTAAACGTATGTGTGTGCTGTGGAGTCTTGTACTGTGTGTGTGTGTGAGATGTAGTTTCTTGTGTGATGTAGTTTATATTTTAATGTATGTCGGTAAGTGTTGGAGTGTGAGTGTGTGTGTGTGTGTGTGTGTGTTTTTGGACAAACACTTAAAGGTAGAAAAGCACAGATTTAAAAGAAACAACACTAATCACAAAGTTATTCTGCTGTACCATATGTTTGCCACACAAAATTGAATGACCGGTGCTTTCAGCTGTACATTATATTTAATCTCAGTGCACATTAAGCTGTGTACAAACCCCGGCTGCTGTGTGTGTGAGAGTGTGTTTGAGAGTGTGTGTGTGTGCGTGTGTGTGTGTGTGTATCCTGTCCTGTATTTAAGGCTAGCAGCGTGATAAAGTAAGCTTAGTATGACCTCATGCGCACACCATAGGTAGCCAATGTGTCCAGCTGTGAGGTTTATGAAGACCTGTCAGAGAAATTTGCAATATTTTCCCTCGTAGGAGATTTAGATAAAACTTAAAAATGTCTTTGAAATGTCTGCAGCTCTCCTAAGTCTGTGACAACTGTAACGTGTAAAACGCTGGCTCGTTGTCTGTTTCATGCAATCATGTGATACCATGTGTGTTTATAACAATGTTAAGATATTTGATTATATAAGAAAGAACCAATATTTAGTGCATTTCCACCATTTACAGATTCAGGTATTTTATTGTAAATGTATCTTTATGTGTATTACACTGTAATACATTTGTAAATGTAATCACAGGAAGTTTATTTATAGTGAATTTGTCAGCCAAAGAAAGAGAACCGGGAACAGAGCAATCCATCATCCTTCATATAGACCTTCTTATAAACTATAGGTGTTTGTAAAATGTGACCTATTGACCCTGACTGCGATGCAATTTCTATATTGTGTTTCTTTCTGTGATTGTGAGTCTTTTTGACTGAATGTTTTGAGACAACTGACAGACTGGCCTTTTGATGAGATTAAGATTGAAGTCTGTGTAATCCTAATGGCAGTCATGCCGGTCTTTTATTTAAAGGAAAGCACACGGTTGCGAGAATGTACTCTCCTACAGAGACTGCGAAGAAAGGGTTGTTGTATCTGTCTGGATCCTAATGCATTTACTGTAACATAATATATACTATTGTAATACATATTACCTGTATTCTCAGTGTCATGGGAGCTCAGTGGGATATCTTGTAAACAGAGTTCCTGTTTGTGTCTTTGCACAATGTTCACCTTTCTTTCTTCCATTGTAAATGGATGTGTACTATGGCAGTAATATATAAAACTTATAATAACAAAGTATTTATGGTATCTAGGGACCATATGTGAATGGCACAATTGTATAAAACATATTTAAGGTAACCTATGTACTGTACGTGGCTTCTGTATGTGATCTGGTTTTCTAAATAAGCCAGCTGCAAGGGAATGAATCCCAGGAGGTTTCCAGTCGGCACTTTAACAGAATCTTCTGGAAAAAAAGATCTTTAAATAAAGTTTATTAAAGGGAAAACTGATTATGGCTTATTTCAACACACACACGAAATCTCAGTCTTTTACACTCCAGAGATGTTCTTCCTGAAACCAATTTACAATACACTAATTCATGACCAGGTTTTACAAGCCCTCCACAATGTACTTTTTTTCCCTTTTCTTGATAACAGAAGTGAATGCTGTCTTAAACTGAGACACTTAAAGTAAAAAGTGTGTATAACTGTCAGAAACCGGTGTTTGCTCATAAAGATTTCAAGGCTATTTCTCTATTCATTTGTTTAAGAGAGAAGGGTAGATGAGTAGAAGCACCAAAGGGCAATAGCACAAGAGAAAAAAATTACTATGTTACATAAACTGAATCCTTCAAAAATGCATTTTTATTCTTCTCTGCCTGTGCACCTCCTGTATAAGCAGGTTTCCACTGAAACACACACATACACACACTTCTATACAGTATTGCCTTTGCGTAATTGTCCTGTAGAAGGCTTTGTTTGGCCTCCAGCTGTGTGTCGGATTGGCTGTTCTCCAGCGTGAAACCTTCCTCTCCTTCTCCCTTTAATCTCTCCTTCCCCCTTCACCCCCTCTTACCTCTTTATCTCCTCTCCCTTTCTCATTTACTTCTTTGTTTTCTGTCATTCCCACATTCGTTTCTGTTTCTTCTTAATGTTGCTCCCTTCTCTCTGTTTTCTCACCTTTTCTCACCTGTGAGTGTGATGTGATTCAGCCACCATTTCGTGGAATCACAAACGCATCTGTTACAGCGTTTCATAACCTTTACATGGAGGCCATAAAAATATCAAAGAATGGGGTAGAAGTGAAGCCAGAGAACCAGAGAGGAATCAGTTGGAGGATGTGATGTACTACCACTGCCCTCTAGTGGTGAATTTCTGTCCTCACAATTCTCCAAAGTTAACTAAAAAAAAAAAAAGACATGAAGTTTTAAACATGCAGCTCAAACTTAAAATGAAGATGTAAATCGAATTGATGTTAGAAAACAGGCCAGATATTTGCTTTATGTCTGCTCTGTGATGCAGTAAGATAACTCACTGGATCAGTCATGAGGTTTCACATAAGTACCAAACTGTTTTCTCTTCACTGGCTCCCTGTGGCTGAAAGGTACAAGTTTCCCCCTCACTTTCACTTTTGGAGCTCTTTGTGGTCAGGCCCAGAAAACCTCACAGATCTTATTCAAGCTAAAATGGCAAGCTGGATAATCTCTAAGCAAGCAAGAGATAATTTACAGAATGAAACTTCACCATCATCCCTTGAAGTTGCTGGTCAGGGCAGGTGCTCATAATTCTCAGCTCCATGAGAAGATATCAAAGGAGCCCCACTGCCACAGCCCAGGACAACCTGGCACAGTTATTAGAACCATTCTCTGATTTGCATGAAAAGTGTTGAATAACTTTTTTTTAACATTAGCAATTAGCAATTAACAATTTTTCCTAACAGTAGCAGGTTCGGTTTTAAGATTAGTGCAACACAAATGATGTCAGAAATTTTAACCAAAGAGTCCATACTTGTGTCCATTTGTTCTGCTTATCTTTTTAAAAATATGAGCCTTTGGAAGTCAGTCCCACGTTTCCTCCCATTATGACACCCCTGCTGTTTGTGGATCAGCTACACTTCTGCGGTCTCTTTATATATATGCAGAAACTCTGAGGAGTAAGTCCAATTTAAACATTTTATGTTCTGTTGACTCTGTGAAGTCTTTTTTTTAAAAGCAGATCAAAATGTATCTGTTTAGAAATGGGTATTTCATAATCACTCATATCACCTTTTTTCTGAATTATGTGTCTGTAATGGAGTTTGTAGCTTGTGATAAAACATACTGAAATGAACACTGATGTAGTTTTATGACCTAAACAAATGAAAAGACCATAAGGATGAAGGCAGACTACTTCTGTATTAATATTTTACTTACCTGTCAGCCCCGCGGCAGGATAGATGTCAGACAAGATTACTATTGACACTTTTCAAGGCAAAAAAAAAAACCATGATACTTTTGATACAGAGAAAGCCACACAGACAAAATGTATCATCTTATCATTATACATATTTACAGGACAAAATTACCTGTGAAAACTGACACAAAGCAAAAGCTCTCAGGAGCTCTAATTGTATAAAGCTCATCATCATAAAACTGATGTCTGAAAAGATTTTCAAATGTCTAAGATACATAAACTGCAGGAAAAGAAGAAAGCATTTTCTGTGTTCAGATCAAGGCTAATGTGTGTTTTCTCCCCAAGAATCTGGTGTTACTTTAAAATCTGCAGGTCAACATAATCAAAAAAGAAAGTGTGACCTCTCACAGCTCAACTGCAGGGCTGTCATCTGTACAGACTGATTCACACTGTTAATAGGTAAAATAGGTCAGATGTGAATAGGCAAATTATTGAACCACAGTGAATAATAACACTGAGTCTTCATGCAAAGAGCCTCTCTATATATATATTTTTTCTCAAGAACTCTGCACTCTGCACTCTCCATTCAGGAATAAAAAGCTCACATTAAACACTCCAGCTGAATTCAACAAAAACAGAGTAGCTTCAGGGCTGAACGATGACCTCACTACAGAGAGGTTGCAACTATACACAAACAAGTCAGCCAGTCATTAATCCAGAAAGGGCTGTGAAATCTTGACCCATGACCTCCTTTAAGATTTAAAACAAAAATATAAGTCTGTGGTTTTGATTATAGATTTAGAGAGGATCTAACCTGTTTCAACAACGAAAAAGTGCATAAGAAACAGCAGGGTCTGAGCAATCAGTTTTGTGCCAACACAGTGCAATGTAAAGGAGAAATCCCTAAACCAGCAAAGCAGCACCATAGTGTGATGGTAAAATCTGGTACCTCTTGGTTCTTGGTTTGAATCATGGATTGGGATTTTCCAAATGAGGCTGAAATAAAATGTTTTCCTCTCTCTGCAATTAGAACAGATTTTTTTTTCTTTGGTCAATCAAACAGAAATAGTGACCCCAAAGGGCAAGTGCTGCAGGACAGACCAATGGTGTTTTGGTTAGAGCTACCATACTTAAGTAAAACAGGGGTGGGTTTAGATACTCATTTAGGACTTAATGAAATGCTTCACCTACATTGAAATCTGCTCTCAGCCTTTAAAAAACACAACTAAATGGTTAAATGACAAGTCCAGCTAGTCCAGAGGCAGAAGAGCTGGAGCTGAAGTTGTCGTTATCACAAACCGACCTGAAACAGGAACTTTCTAAAGCAGCACTTTAAAACACTTCTGAAGACACACTTGTTCACTTTAGTTTTTGGGGAAGTATAGCTACTTTTATTGGGTATTTTATTAATGTGCTATGTTTATTTATATTGTTGTTGTTTTTTTATATGTTTTATGCTGTTTTTTTTTTCTGTCTCTGGCTATTTACTGTAAAGCACTTTAGTAGGCCACTGGCTGTTTTTAAATGTGCTATATAAATAAAGCTGACATTGACATTGACAGCAAGGATTTATTACTTTCCTCGCAACATTGACAGAACTAAGCTCTTGAATAGCTGTCACTGAATGGCTAAATAAAACCACTTAAAATATCAAGCACAGGTATGCAGCCCTTTTGTGAGGTGGTTTGAGCACCTTCCTTTGAGTGAGATGGTCTTGGGTTTAAATCCAGTGCTAGGCTGAGGAAGGGAGGAGAAAACAAATAGAAAGGGGGAGTGGAAGCAGAAAGAGCAATCAATGAAAATACAGGAAAAAAAGATAAAAAAACAACAACCAACCAAACAAAAATTAATAATCAATTAAAACCAAACTCGACCCGGGGGGGTAGAGAGAGTTTTTGTTATTTACCCACTAGAGTCTCAGCTGCTTTGATATTCAGTTACAGGAATGCTGACAGAGGGCAGAAAATGAGCCCACGCTGTGCCCATTTGCACTGGCTACCAGTACTGTGTTTACGCCTCTTTTATTGTGTTTATAAAAGGCTTTATGCTCCAACTTATTTTTGTAGTTTGCTTTGACTTATGAGCCAGGGAGAGTTCTAGGTCTTCAGGTCTTTATTGGTGACTTAAGTCTGAACAAAGATCCCAGGAAGGCAGTCTCTTAATTTTACAGTCAAACTCAAGACCCACCTTTTAGTCTTAATTGAGTTTCATTCTATTTTGTTTCATATCCTTATTCAGCTTTTAGTTAAGATTCTAGTGTTTTAACAACTCATATAGCCTGCTGTATTATTTTAATTTCATTCTTATTCCTTTTTAGTATCATTAAATTAAGTCAAGTGATTGATCAATTTATTTTAATTATTGGACTATCTTAATGATGATAACTTGATTTGTGTGGCACCTTTTAAAAACAGAGGTTTATAAAGTGCTTGACATTAATAACGCACAAGAACATGAGTACAAGGACATGAAAACAAAAAGTTGAGTCAAAACAAGGCCTCTGAATTGAAGGCCATTTTCATGTGTCTTAAGGAACCCAGACTATCTTATTGCAGCTGATTTTGATGGACTACCTTATTGTGTGTGTATGTTATTTAAAAAAACTTTCTCTATTTTACAGAAGTTTTTATATTTTTGGATCACTATTCATTGGTAGGGTTGTGATGTTGGGTTTCTTGTTTAATAGACACACCAAACTACACATTGTTGTAAATGGAGTGGATACACCAATTTGGAAATTGACCAATATTGAAAATCTTTCCAGTATTCACAAAGCTGCTTTAGAAAAGATGTTCTGTTGTTTCAATAACTACAGGAATGATGATCCAAATGCCATTTTTGTTATTTCTGCCCCAGTACCGTAAGAAATATGTTCATTTGCCAGGACACAAATACCGCCAGTAATAAAACGACGTCCAGGAAACTGGCTGAAAATGATATTTTATTTGCATTGTTGTAATTCATATGGTTTTAATGTAAATTTTTGTAAAACTGTTGTCCTGGCAACAAGAAAATGAATTGTAAATTTCGGAAAGGCGTTATTTCCGGCCACGTAACAGCGCATGCGCATCACCCCGCAACTCATTTGGCGACGTGTACCCGGTGTGTGTAAGAGTTCAGGTATCTCACCTCTGCTGGGCAACAAACTGCCTTACAAACCGAAAGCTTTGAGAAAGGAGAGACATGGGAGGCTCGCAGAGTGTGGAGATACCGGGAGGAGGCTCTGAGGGCTATCACGTCCTCCGGGTGAGTTTTTTTAACCTTCTACAACCTGATGTTAGCAGTTAGCTTAGCATTGGGGTAAGAGGCGGATTCACGGCTCTGTGTGCAGGAGAGGCCCGGGGATGAGCGTTTAGGCCTCTTGGCCGAAAACACAAACACCAGGTCAAAACAATGACGTGGACCGTAGAGTTGTGTTGGAGTACCCTGTTTTATAACGTCATGTTTTTGTTAATCATTAGACTATTAAATATCCTGGTGACAGGCTAACTACCGCAGCAGTAGCACGTCAGCTAACTGAAGCTACACGGATCTGTATGACAGCTGGATCTGTAAATCAACCAGATCAGGGTTTTTCCTCTTTATTATGCAGCAAATGATGCCCTGATAATAAGATGATACTAGACAAGTAATGTCAGTTAATCAAGTGAAACGGTTAAAGCTTTTTCTTCATGTACCAGATATAATTAGTCAGGGGTGGGAACTGAGGAATTTCATTGACTCGGGTTGCAGTTTTTCTGTGTGCAAAATTCACAGATCTCACAAAGTGACTGACTCTGTTTTAGTCAATAAAGCTCACCACTTTGTTCAAAAATAAATCTTTTTATAAATATTTCTTGGCAACATCTTATTGATAAGGTTTATGAAATATGTTTTACAAATTGTTTTACGAATCTCATCCAGAAAATTGTTCAAGCTGCATCTGCAGCCATTTAACTAATGAAGTCCTTCCTTTTGGCTCCAAACAACAAGCCTGTCTGCACAGCCAGACATGACTTCAGTGTGCAGGGACAGTCTACAAAGTGCAGTACTGATAAAAGGGGCTGCAACAATGTTTGTTGAAGCTCAAAATAAAACATTTTTTTTTTATTTTGTTGATCGAAGATAATTAATAGACAAATAGTTTTACTTTTTTGCATTAGTTGGTGACTTGTTCATCAGCACAGTGTAGCACAGGTTTGGGTCGGTTAGGGCTGCCCTCGCAGGATGAGGGTAGTGAATAAGAGTGATGAATAAGAGCCAATTTGGCTGCCTGAACAACAACAACAACAACACAATCACTCCTTTAACACTTGGAATCACTTCTTCTCTCCTTTTTGTCTCATGGCTTATTTGAAAACCTGGCATGACATTTGCTTCCTGTATTTGGGTCCTCACAGGTTTGAAGCCTCAATGCTTTTTATACAGAGTATGTCAGATAGCCTGGAATTAAACTACATCTGGTTTAAGCAATGGTAATAATATCAATATCATTGTCTAAATAGCACCTCTTGTCATGCAAAGATGCAGCTCATAGTTATGAACAAAACAAAACACAGAGAAACATTGATGTATGAGACATTTTAAAACAGACAAAAGTCCAACACACCAAAGAAAATAGTTTTATATTAAAAAAAATAAAGCTGACATTTATAATGAAAAAAAGTACACCCCACCTTACTAATTTCCATGTTAAAAAGATGTCTTGAGTCTCCTATTTTTAAGGTCCAGGGGGTAGACTGTTCCAATATTTACAAACATGAAAACCAAAAGCTGCCTGACTTGAAATCTTTTGCAACACTCTGAGAACTTCTAAAGAAAGGTGTTTGGAGACCTAAGAGTTCCAGTGCAGACATAAAATTACTGGCAGTCAGTGCTTTGAGGGTGCAAAATGATGTAGGGCCTTGTAAATGAATGAAATATCTCAAAAATCCATTTTTAGAGAAACAAGTTGCCAATGTACTAATCTGAGCTGAAGAGTAGTGTGTCCTTTTTGCTCTCTGGATTGTAATAAGACAACAGTTGCAATGTTATGACATAAGAAGTCGTATTAAGCACTGTTTACTAATATTTTTTTAATGCATTATATAATTTTTTTGGCTGACTGATGATCTGAAGTAAAAGAACATGTTGCCACCAGCAGCTCAGACTATCTTTCTGTGTTTGCAGGTTCAGGAGAACTCACCTGGACACCGTGCAGGACTGGAGCCTTTCTTTGACTTCATTGTCTCCATCAACAACACAAGATTGGTAAGAGAAGCCAACGACGATTTACTGATCTGATTAACTGTATTTACTCACAGAAGCTAAGATTTGAAGTGGTAGCTAAACCTCTGGCAACTAGCAGCAGTTTATTTACTTTGTCTTCATGTACTCAACTTTCTCACTGTGGTGTTAGGATCATGACAGAGTGAGGGATTGTTCCAAATGTAAATCAGAAGAAGACAGGGCTGTGAGACGGGCTGTGCTGTTAGAACATACAACAACCCTGTAATATTTGGTGTCATTCTGAATTGAGGGTTTATTATGGTGTTATGTGTTTAACAACTACATTTGTTCTAGTATCTAGTATAGGACCAAACGGCAGTCACACCAAACTACATGGGTCATATTTCCCCTCTGCTCTTCTCCTCTCTGCAGAACAAGGACAACGACACCCTGAAAGACCTGCTTAAAGCAAGTGTGGAAAAACCAGTTAAGATGCTGGTTTACTCCTCAAAGACCCTTGAGCTGCGGGAATCCACGGTCACCCCGAGTAACCTGTGGGGGGGTCAGGGCCTGCTTGGCGTCTCCATTCGTTTCTGCAGCTTTGAGGGAGCCAATGAGAATGTTTGGCATGTGCTGGTGAGTAACCCTGATGATAAGAACTGTTCATGCGGTCCAGTGGGGCTTTGTTGACTGATTTTCCACTCCTTACTCCCTGACAGGAAGTGGAACCTAATTCCCCGGCTGCCCTCGCTGGCTTGCGGCCGCACACTGACTACATCATTGGAGCCGACACTGTTATGAATGAGGTAGTTTATCAGCACTTTAGATGCTTGAAGCTGTCCCACCTGCACAAGCTCCACCTGACCATAATGATTGTGTTTCTCCTTGTTTTGTTCTCCTCCCCCACAACTCTGTGTCTTTATCTGCAGTCAGAGGATCTGTTCTCTCTGATAGAGAGTCATGAGGGGAAAGGACTGAAGCTCTACGTGTACAACACAGACACAGATAACTGCAGAGAGGTGATCATCACGCCGAACGGTGCATGGGGTGGAGAAGGAAGGTAATGCAGATTTAAAGACACAGATTCGGTTCTGTGTTTGACTCGGGTCTTTTGAGTTTGCCTTACCACAAAAAAATGAACAGATTGATTCTCACAAACCTGGCAACACGAGTGCATTCAGATTTTCTTTTAGGAGGGGTACTTTCTTTGAGTGTGCATCCAGTGGATGCTGACAGCAGCTTGAATTGTAGGAACAATAACATAACATCGTTTTAATTCAAGGAGGCTTTAATGAGCCTTTTTTTACAACAACAAAATGAGTGCAGAGTCATGCTTCAGTTTCTGCATTAAAGCTGCAGTCAGCAGCTTCTTGCTCACAAATTTTCCACATTTACTTCACACTTCACAGGTTTTTGATCTCTCCTAGGTCTACAAAGATGTTTCTTTCTGAGTTGGCATCTGTTTCACTTTTCTTGTGCTCATGTCTGAGGATTCACACTGTGTTACTGAGGGAGAAATGCCGAAAAATGAGCTTTGAAAATGTCAAAATAGACAGTACAATAAAACACATTGTCACGTAAAGCCATATAAAAGTCGATTACAAACACACTGGTAAGATTTTTCTGGCCAACAAAAACATGCAAGTTATTTCATACACTTGATGTGGACACAAAGGACCCTTTGCTTAGAGACATAAGCCATAGACCCTGTTTACCTGGTATTAACTGGGTCATTGGCCACAAGTGAGCAGCCTGAAATATGAGGATATATCAGTGCACTGAATATTGATCTGAATACATGACAATTTTTTCCCTTGAAATGCATAAAAAGGAATGATTTTCTTACAGCCCGTATTTACTAATTAACTGCTAAACCAGTGGACACTGCCACAGTCATAAGGGGTCTCCAGTACCCTTCATGACTGACACCTTCAGTGCCAGGAGGAATAAATGTCTGTGAGGACATGGCCATAAAACAGATCAAAGGTACAGCCATAAAAAGGCCTGTCATCCAGGTCAGGACATCCAGACAGCAGCTTATTTTCATTATGATGGTCTTTGAATACTAATACCTGCTGATGCATTTATATGTCTCAGCATTTCTTACTTCATTACAGTATCAAACTTTAATTTTCAGACTCTAAAAATATCTTTTAAAGGTGTTTAAACAACATCTCTCCTTGTTTCTATTCAATGTGTATGTTTCAATCAAAGAAGATTTGCTCTTCAGAAGTCTTAAAAATGTCTAAAAAAAAGGGGGGGGGGGGCTTAAAATCAAGATTCTCTTATAACTTAGTCAAGTTAAGTATAAACTGATCACTAAGTCCACATTCAGGGTTTAGTTTGGATCACTTTGGCCATATTAGTCTTGCAGCGTGTAAGCTTGTGTCCTGGGCCACATTATGGGCTGCTCACTTTCCCTGTATCCATGGCAACGATCTCGTGGAGTAACTGACCTCCTGTCTCTCATTTATAACTAATTTAAAATTTCTCTGCTGGTCTGGTTAAAAAATTTATGAAGTTCACTTCTCATGTCAGCATGTCCAGCATGCGTGTGATGTATGAAAGATGTATGATATCCATATTCATTCACATACAGTGACCCATCAAATGGAATGCAAGAGCAGAAACTCTCTGTTAATGGGTGTTAATAGAAGCCATTGAGTAGAGATTTAGATTTAAAAATTGTGCCTCAAATGAAGACCATGTTTAGAAAATGAAAAAGAACCTTTTCTGCTTTTTGGAATGATCTTTTTACTCGAGAGACAATTTATCATCAAAACTGCTGTTGATCTTAGCATCCACATTGATATCCTGTTTAGCAAAGACTGTATATTCTATGTAGAGTTAGAGTGTAGAAGGTGGATCATGATTTTATTCTACCAGACTATGCTGGTGAGTATAATCAGGGATTGGATTTCCACACGGTTAAAACCTAAGCTTCTATGTGTAGTCCAGATGGCCATGAAGGACACAGGGAGGACTGAAAACCTCTCCCTCCAGTGAATATATCAGCAATCTGTTATAGAGCAAGCACAGAGTGATTGACCACACATCACACATCTGCCTCTCTGAGTGTGAGCGCTTACCTTCTGGCAGATGATATAGGTTCCCCCCAATGTCAGTTGAACTGCGTCAAAACTCCTCGATAAATCATCTCAATAAAAATCTGGAATAATACTTGTTGAGGCTTCAGCTTCCGTACAGTAGTGTGACGATGAGCTCATCTTTTTAGTTTAAATCCCACTCCTACTATGCTGTCCTCTTGTGCCATACGTGTTGCTCGTTTGATGTGGTAGTCTTGGTTGATGTGTTTGTTTCTCTGTGTTTGAGCTATTGCTAGTTTTTCACATTATTCATTCATTGTTTTACTGATTAATACTATTGTGGATGCAGTTGAACATATGCAACACTTTAGTCCGAGTTTTCCCTTGGGGACAATTGAGTGTATCGGATCGTTACATATTGTAATGTATCGTATTGTATCGTATCGTGTGTTGTTTAGATCCATGCTTAGGAATTTCTCAGGAATTTTTTCCGCCACTTGATTTAGTGGAAGTCTGTAAATTGTTATAGGAAGTAAACGTTAACTCTATTAAAAAAAGCTGGAAAATGTACAAGGTAGTCATGGGAAACATCCATCATTAAGGACAACACCAGCGCTTTGTGAATCCTTGAAATGTGTCTGAAACGAGAAATTGCAAGTGTGTTTAAACGCAAACATCAGTTCATGAAGTTCGGACTCTAAACTTTTTTCTTCTTTTTCGTAGCCTTGGATGTGGGATCGGTTACGGATATCTTCACAGGATTCCCACTAGGCCCTTTGAGGAGGGAAAGAAGTTCAGCTTCCCCGGAAACTCTCCCAGTGAGCCCATCAGCCCGCTGAAGGACGGGTTCACTGAGGTCAGAATTCACCCACACACTGAGACACTGAACTCCAGTCCTCAGTTCAGAGTGGAGACATGCTAAAAGTCAAATAGGGGCTCATACATGTAGATGATTTTTGCAGAAAGACATTTTCACCAGTGTCAGAAGGATTTGACCGTGTTTTACCCCGTAAAGACTTTCTCACTACTCTTCATATCCCTGCACTCTTTAGTCTCTTTCATCAGTCCAAACTTTCCTTATCAGCATGCAGCCTGTGTGCATGACATTGAGCAGGTTGAAGACTCTCTTTCCCACACTCAGAAGGAAGTTTCCTCATTATGTATGCAGCAAAGCAGGCCAAGGGACGGAGAGAAATGCTGATCATTCGGGTTAATTGCACGTTTGGATGGATGTGACCTTTCGTGTTTGACAGCCGCCTCCCCCCCAACACCTCCATCTTTTTTCTTTTAACTCCTTCAGGTCCAGCTGTCAGCCGTGACCCCTCCACCTACTGCACCCGCTGTCTCCACTGGCCTTGAGGATTCACTGTCAGGCCTGTCAATCAGCACAGCTCCGCCCACCATGCCCAGCGAGCTACAGACAGGTATGTGACATGTACACTAAGCAGGTCAGATGATATGATGTTAAAGGAGGTTTGTTTCATAGGTTATAAAGTAACATGCTCCCTCTGTTTTCCTCCAGGTTTGCCCACAGTCCCTCTGCTGCCCTCCTCCACCAGCCCCTCCCTCAGTCCGCTCACTCCACTTAATCCTGCCAGCACCACCTTCAACCCATCCGCCACGCTACCAGGTAGGCCATTTATCAGACAAACGCATTAAAGGCAACGTAGGGAGTTTTGAACTGGTCGAGAAACGAGCTGCAGCTGATACTGATGCCTGTTTATTATGACCTGCAAAAACAAATGAAATCTGCTGTGAGGGGGTTAGGTGTCAGAGCAGGTGATTGACAGCAGGATGAGGAAACAGCTTTTCTTTTCCCTCTGTCCGAGGCAAATACTTAGTGAGTGATACATTTCTCAGTCAAAACACAACAGGGTGAGGTTTTTTAAAAAGACTACTTTCACATGTTTAGGATTAGACACAGGAGGCATCACTTTGTCCACGGGCAGGGTGGCAAAACTGACACAAGCAGGAGTTCCTCACAGCAGCTTTAAAACAACGCGTGTTTCCGCTCAGACAGTGTGAGACGTTTGGAAAAGCAGAGAGGAGGCTGTCTGAAACATGCTAGTCCCAACTCCTTAACTGTGAAGGTTTACTGTGGATCATAGAAAATAGAGAAATCTTACAGCTGTTGGTTGGACAAAATGAGGCAATTTAAAGATAACACTGTTTTTTGAGAGATGTGTGGAGCACTTTCCAGGTTTAATAATCATTGCAGTAATTCATCATGAAAGTGGCGGTTATTGCAGCTGTTAAACATGTATTTCTGTGTGAATACGCCTACCTCAACTGACAAATTTGAAGTCTTGACACCCAAGCACACACTTGACTTTTGTAAATGGGTTTCCACAAGTAACCAAACAGCCAACAAATCACTCAATGACGGCTGGCAGTTATTTCTGTAGTTGGTTTCAATATAACATTTGAAATTAGAATTTGCGACGGGCTTTTCCAGTATGTTTTAGAAACACTCACCTCTGATTCATACACAAGCATGACAAAGATGCCTGTCTGTCTGTCTGTCTGTCTGTCTGTCTGTCTGTCTGTCTGTGTGTGTCAGCCCTCCACCCCTGCATGCAGTGTTTGTTTAAGAGTAAAAGGCTGTAGCAGCGGGCGGAACAACACTTTGGTGTTTAGTGCTGCACCACTCCGACATTCAAAAGCTTCATGATGAACAAACTAATGTGATCTCAATCAAATGATCCCTTAGTCTCTGGACGGCTGCTTTTTCTGACTACACCAGATGGTCGTGGAAAGCTCTGCATGAAACCATTTTGTCACAGTTTAAAGCAACTGGGCTTCAAGCAGAGTAAATTCACATTTTCTCATGTTATAGACTGTACTGGTGTGTTTATTTACACTGGCTGCTGTTACCATGTTAAAGGAGAATTTCATCCTTTAATTCAGTTTAATTCAAATGAGCATAAAAGTCAGAACAATATCTCCAAAGAATAAACAATATAACACACTGATGACTATACCATAATGATAATTACAACAATATTAATCATTAGTAATTATAATGATGGCGTTGATCTGACCTTTCATTCATTGTTTGTTGTTGGCTTCAACAAGCGTCAGTATAGAGAGTAACGTTCCTCAAGTATCCAACAGAGTTTGTTCAGATGTCTTCAGTCTTCTCTGAGGTCAGTTAGTACTTTTAAATGTCAACAAGGTGACGGTGGGTATAAAAACTTTAAAAAGACCACACCCTCATGTGTCATTCTGTGTGATTTTAGGTCTGATGCCTCTCCCAGCTGGTTTGCCTCCGCTCCCTAACTTGCCTAACCTCAACCTGCCGCTCCCAGACCTCAGTGCTGTGTCACTATCAGGCGGCGGCACTTTACCACCGCCTATAGGATCTACAGGTAACCAAAGTGGGCGGAGTTTTGTGCCAGTTCCTCACAATGTACCTACATCCCAGATAGAAGTGGCTCCTCTTTTTAATATTGAAATTATTTTTGTTTACTTCTGATCTTCAGACCTTTTGAAAGTGGTCTATTCAAAGAGGAGGGAAAAATAATGGCTTGGAAAAAAATAGAGAAAGTGGTCAAAGTGAAACCAGGACAAAGAAAATGCTCGACTCTCTTTGTCTGAAGAAGCTTAGTATATTTGCTGTTTTCAAGAAAGACGTAAATTTAGCCTTAGCAAAAAAAAGGGGGAACAAGAATTAGATACTAGTAACACAGGGCACAAAGAAACACTGACATCATCTATTTGAAACAGTAAATAATTCAGTATCTCTCATATTAATGTGACTGTATCGCCTTGATTCAGACTGATCAATGTTGTGAATGGATACAGTAGGATGTAGATTTAATGTTCCAGGTGAGTGTTTGACTGTTAAGGCCATAAAAGTCCAGTGTCTTGTCCTGTATTTAAAATCGCACAGTCATTCGTGACTCCCTACCTTAGAAGTTCTCCATTGTGGACTTAAAAAGTGATCGAGACACTTTTTTAAAAATCTTTATTTATTGTTTCTATTGAGTTGTCTTGGCCTTTGTACTGTTACTAGTGCAGTGGATGGAGTAGGATCAACATTAAATACTGGCATGAATCTGAAAATCGAACTCATAAATTCATCTCATCTTTGTGTCCTCTGTCTTCTCTCTCCTGCAGTGCCCTCTCTGGCGCCCCTGCCACCCCTCAACATCCCTGGTCTGGCCCCCTTACACCCTCTGCCGACCATGCTGCCCTCTCAGCTACCCCCTCTCCTCCCTCAGGGAATGGCCCCGCTCCTCCCCATCTCCACCTCTGCAGCCCCTGCAGCCTCGGTCACAGTCACAGCAGCTCCCGTTCCCGAGCCCGTCACTGTCGACCCCGCAGTCCCTACAGAAACCGCCGCCACAAACGCCACCGAATCACCGGCCCCCACAGAAACATCAGTATCATCGTAACCTGGAAGACAAGATCCCATCTACCATCAAACCAAAACACACACCCGGTTTCTTCTCTTTCCCCATCTCTCTTTCTCTCTGTTTTTCTATTTATTTGGCTGAGAGGGACAGACTGACAGCTGCATTAGTCCACACACGTCACAGATCAGAGGGCTCCATCAGAAGCTTATATGGAGCGATGAAGACTGGAGGACAGATGTAGACTGCTCTCACCTTCATGTCTTTACAGCAGATGGACATGGAGTGATGCTAAGCTACTCTTTGGACCAGCTCTGCTCTTCTTTCGTGGATTGGCTTCACACTTCTGCAATCACCGCAGGTCAAAAAAACTGTCCTAGGAATTCCTTTTTTTCTCTGATCCAAACTTTTGTCTGTTTCACATGCTTATTTTTTATATATATATTAAACAGTGTATGTTACCAGGGCTGGAGAAACATTTGGGTTTACTGTATTTCTACCAGCATTAAGAACTCCTTATAAAAACGCTAGAATAGTTATGAGAAGACAGGACGTGAACGTGACTTTAAAAAAAACAACACGCCATACACTGCTGTAATAATAAAAGAATAATAAAGTAAATATAAATCATGTAATAGATTCTTTGGTTTGTACCATCCAGCCCAAATGTGTAACCCTCTTTTATTAGTCCAGACCCTGCCACCTGTAGATTAATTTGATTTCGGTGTTAATTTTTGTTGAAATGACTGTATGAAAGTCTCCTCCTGATGAATGAATCTGCATTATTTTGCACCGCCTTTTTTTGTGTTTGAAATGATTAGTCTGTCCCTTTTTGTATGTCTCCATGTTAACCCAGAACTCTACAGTAAGTCTCCATAACACAGACATGTTTCAGGCTGTGCTGCAGGAGGCAGAGATTAACAGACACATATGAGCTACTGACTGAAAAGTAAAAACGGTAAATACATACAGAGTACATCTCCTCTCGGCTCAGCTGGAGTGATATGGTGGTGATGTGGTTCAGCCACAGGGTGTCACTGTAACAGAACTTTATGAGAACAGATACAGAACGCACAGTGCGAGCAATAAAGCCAAATAAATTTTACAGACCGCCTCTGTGTGATTTTGTAGAGTCTTTAGTGTTCGGTGCTGCTCTGTCCCATCCCCTCTAAGACAAAACAGGAGGATCAACATGAAGCTGCAAACATCCATCCATGCATGATCAACAGTGTTTAACCCGTCCAGTATCAAGGTAGAGCTGGAGCCTGTGATGAATCAGTGACCCACAGGTGTGTCACAGAGTTGATTTACACAGACAGATAAACTAGCTAAGCAAATGTGCATGTCTGTAGACTGTAGCGAGGATCAAGGGTGTCCTCGGGGAATCCACACATACACTAGGGGAACAAGCAAACTCAACAAAGAAAGGCCTCTGCTGGGATTTGAACCAGGCTCCAAACTGAATCTCACCTGAAAAATAAAGGGACTGTTTTGAAGAGTTGTAAGGGGATGATAACTTAAAAAAGTTGAGAGAGATCCTGTAAAATATGTGAACAGGTTTTTAAAGATCTTGGAGAATCATTTTTCTAAGAAACTACTTGTATGAGTCGTCATGTGGGAAAAATGTCTACTCTGGTTTCAACTGTGGCATTAACCACAGTCTGGAAACAAACAACCGAACAAGTGCAGCTTAGAAAACTACAATTTTCTCCCATATTTCAATCAAAAAGTGAAATTTCCATATATTCTTGACTCAATACACACAAAGTGAAATATTTCAAGACATTTTTTAGTTAAAGTCCTCATGATTTCGTCTCAGCTCATGAAAACCAAAAATCCACTATTTTAAAACAGAATATCACAAACCAAACAAACAAAAAAAAGGATTCATAAGACAACAATGTTTGACCCTCTCTGTGCACGTGTTTATTTATGCTCTCTGTATTTGATCGGGGCTCTTTGTATCAATCACTGCAGCAATGTGACGAGTTATGGTGGTACTCAGTCTGGCTCTGCTGGTTACTTTGATAACAGCTTTAACTCATCTGGATTGTTGCTCTGGTGTGTCTCAGCTTTCTTTTGTTGATTCCCCAGAGATTCTCCATGGAGTTTAAGTCAGGCGTGTACAGTAACACCAGTTTATAATACTAAACTTCTCAGCAGATTGAAACAATAGACTTTAGGCTGTGTCTACTCCAGACTTGATCAAATCCAGTAGACAGCAGCAGATGACATGCCACACCAAATCATCACAGACTGTGGGAACATCATGCTGGACTTCAAGCTCCTTGGACTCTGTACCGCTTCGATCTTCCTCCAGCCTCTGGGATCTTGATTTCCAAATGAGATGCAAAATTGTCAATTCAGCGTCTTGTGTGTATTGAAGTTGAGTTAAAGACTCAGTAAAAACCTTTATAGATGTTCCGAGTTAATCGGCTGATTGGAGCTCTTTTCAGGACTGAAAGAACTGACAAGAAACTGGACTTTTCCACAGTAATCTAAAGTTTTGAGATAGTGGATTTTGGATTTTTGTTGGCTGTAAACCGTGATCATTACGAGTCAAACAAACCAAATTGATTTTTAATTAAATTAAATTAAACAAATTAAATTCTATATGTATATACACATAAAAGCTTTAAATTACAACTTAATTTTATATGATTAGTTATAGTATACAGATAAAAAACATTTCCATGATTAAATGTAGTGCTATAGGATCAACCCTTTTAATAGTTGATATGATTCAAATGATTTACTTTTATTTGTTCACAGACTTCGGATCTTATTCTAATCATCAAGCACTATTGATGTCAGGCACATTGGAAAATGTTGGAAAAAAAACAAAAAGCAAATTAAAGGCGTAGGAAATAAAGAGCAAATACTTAAGATGTTGAATTGCTGCAGTTGTTTACCAACAGGTATTATTTATATTGTGTTTTGGAGATATGTCTCTAACATTCTACAGGTTAGTGCCATTAAATTGTAAAATAGTTGCTGTTCAGTAGATGGCACTATCAGGTGAGACATTCGGCAACAAATCAGGGGGATATGCTGTGTTTCTGGGAAGGTGGGGGGGCTCGTGTCTTTTCTGATCGATTTTTATGTGCAGATTTGTAACTTTTCTTCACTATTTAATAAGTATCTAGTTTTGTTTCCTCTTTCGCATCTTTATGTGTAGATCTTTCTCTTTAGATTATAATTAGAGACTTACTCATTTGACTACAAGCTGTAAATCTGAAGCATTTCTGTCACTGTGGTTTTATCTGAGCAGCCTCAGTAAACATGCTGTGTAGTTGTGTTCGGCATCACAGAACTCAGAGATTTTTAAGATTATTTCGGGGCTCTTTGTTTTTACCTGACAGGACAGCCTGAGAGATGCATGAAAAGTCAAGAAAGCGGGTTGACATGAAACAATGTCAGGATAGGAAATCAATCTAATAACCAGTGTGATCAGAACTGGAGTCTCTGTGCATGTAGCATCCGCTCTACCAAATGAGTTCAACCACCAGTTTGGACAGTTGGATGATAAAAGCCGGCAGATTGGGTTTGGAGGATCAGAGGAATCATTTTTCACCAAATCCAGTGGGGAAAAAAAAAAAAAAAAAGACATTTTCAAAATGGTGTCTGTGCAGCCATTTTTTAGTCTTTCCATATGCCAGCATGTCCTCGTAATTAACACACAGATATCATCACCTTCCTCTGCGCTTCGTCTCGTTGCATAACCCTCCTCAAGAAATATGGGTCACACTGCAGGAATGAAGACTTGTAAGGCGATCTTTATTGCATATGAACGACAGAACCCAGTGCTGCTCCCTCCCCACCGCAAATGTTATTTGACATATAGCTCACTAATGGCTTTACTTACATCTGTCTACACATTAATAATCATGTGATTTTATACACTTGATGCTGGCTCCCACTTTATACTGAGAGAAGAGAGAGAGAGAGAGAGAAATCCTCGACAGGAGTGGAGACAGGTTGTTTTACACCTCTGTGCACCCGAGTGGATAAAACTGCAATTTATCAAAGTGCACGCAGACTTTACCTGTTTCACTTCCATCATTATTTGCTTTTATGTAAGAGCAGCAAGCTGTAAGTGGGTGCCCGCTGCAGTTTAATCAGCCTGTCATGTTCTTAAAGCTACACCTGGGTTTTTCTCCTCCTCATAGAAACCGTTAAGACTTATTTTAAAAGCAGAGGAGTGCAAAGAGAAAAGAAGATAAACCCCGCGCCTTGCACCCGCTTGAGTCTAAGAGGGTTTAAAATGTCACACCAGTGTAAAGGTAAGTGTTTTATTTACAGGACGACAACATTTCCAATTGATCTGGAGCTGCAGTGAGTCATGCTGCAACAACCTGGCATGGACAGGTGTGGCCATTCCCCACTGCAGAGCATTTTGGGACTTTTTCCCTCCATATAACGTCTGTCAGACTTGTACATGAAACTAAACAAAAAAAACCCAAACGGACATCCATGAATGTGTCGCATCCCCTCCCTTGAACAGCACAGCAGGGGGTCCGCTTAACAGAGAAGGGGCTCCTCTTAACACAGATCAAGTATGCACATATGCCAGGCGGAAACCATCCACACATTAGGAACTAAAAGCAACATTTATAGCAGCAAACTGAGAACAGCTTTGAGGAGGAAACACAAAAAAGGAAAGTGAGACTCTGGGAAGCAAATCGAAGCCTCATTATGATGACAATGTGTGTTTGCTAGAGAGTAATGTCTCCTGCACATGAAATGTACACTTAACTTGGAGTCTTTGCAGCACAGTAACAGCTGATCCAGTCCCACTCTCTCTGCAGGGAGTGCGATGAGGACGTCTAGGACAACATGGTGCTGTAATACGCTGCTCTTTGAAACATTTCGACTCTAATCTGAACAACAAGGATGGATTAAGACAGATTCACAGATTCCTGTAAACCGAGCAGCAGATCTAAGCTGCTTTCGAATGACACAAAAAAAAGTGAGCCCAGGACTTGGCTACTTATTAAGTCCAGAACGAGCCCACGCTAAAGTACTTCATGCCAAATATGTGTGAGGCCTGATCACCACGATCTGGACCAGAAGTGCAAATCGAGCCCAGAGCTTTCATCTGGGACATTTTTCTTTAGTCCATCAAAGTTACAAAATCATTTTTTAAGTTACGGGTTAAATTCAATGACATGTGATCATCATTTTGTGCCGCAGAACATTAGACTAAGGAGTTGATTTCAACATAAAGAGTCCATATTTGACGTGAAGAGACTTGACCCTTGAATCGGTTCTCTTCTGGTCACCCCCACGCTCAGAGAACATGGATGACAGCGGCTGGATGTCGAAGAAATCCATGTGAGGAGTGTTACTGTGGAGAGCTAAGGGAGGTGGGATTGGACATGGCAACGAGGAGCTTCTAGAGATGTTGAAATGTCTCCTACGGGGTTATTAAGTCAAGTCCATTTAGAAATCCACTAGCTCCCATCGATTTCTCTGTTTTTTTCCTCTTTTTCCTGTTCTCTTCTGTTGTCAAGGTCTGTTCTCTCACAAATGAGTTCGAGGGCACAGCTCTGCTCAGGCATCCCCCTCCTTCTCCATCTTTTCCATTTCGCTCTCCTCTGTTGCTATTTTTCCGTCTTGGAACAGCTCGGGTTAAAAAAAAAATAATAATCTGCGCAATCCTGCCTCAGGATTGGCCGGAGGGTCCTGTCAGTCACGTGAGAGAGCCAGTCAGTAGGTGGGGAGAGAGGAGGAGGATGGCTGCAGGGAGCCTGAGGAGTTTGAACGCCTCATGTGAGGGAGGAGGTACGAGTCCGAGCACAGCTGGTGAACATCGAAGCGGTCCTCCTTGCGGTAGGCCAGACAGCGGCGGATAAACGCCTGAAAAATAGAGCAGAGGGAAAAAAAAGGATGAGCTGCAGGCTGTGAGTGGGTTTGTGTGGGGAGATGCTGCACCTTTTGTCTCCAGAGAGCAGCTCTCAAGTCTTTTTTTATAGGCGCACATCAGAGCTGATGCTGAGATTCCAGCATGTGTCAACATGTTGTTGGACAGTCATACAGATCAGAAGATCTGATAAACATTAATACTTGATTTCTTTGGAGTTAATCTCTGATAAATCTTTAATGTTGAAACAAACAGACGCCTCGACTCAGTCAGGGCCCAGAGCCTTCACGGGGTTGAGCAAAACAATGACGTACACAGAAAGGATTCACATCTGCTCACTGTCTGACATTTTGTTTTGATAGTCGGACTGAAGGTGACCTTAAAACCAAAACGTGGCTCGTCGTGGTTCTGTTTACACAAAGTCTTGAAAAATCTATAGCCAGCAGTGTTTAGGATGTGCAGATTTATTGGACTGAATGATTAAACAATGGTCACCCGTCAGCACCAGAATCACAAGTTGGTCAAACAAATTCATATATCCGTTACTGAAGGCTCAAAATGTCATATTTAGGTCTCAGCTGTATTGCCGCAGCCTGCTGTAGCAGCATTAGCAAGTTTTAAACTGTTACAATGCTCTACAACTTAGTAGGGGTGTCCTGATACGATATTCAAATTGGACATCAGTCTGATATCAGCCAAAAAACAAACATCGGATTATATCGGCCTAAAGGTCCTTACACACCGGCGAATTTGCGGAGCGAAGCGAAAAAGCGAGACAAAAATGCGAAAATATTCGCTGGTCCGAAAAATCGCTTTCGCCTATACACACCGGGCGCGAAGCGAATATGCGTATAAATTTTGCAAAGCGAATTAATAAAGTCGCTTTGCGGCTTGGAGGAGAGGAGATGCGGGGTGGTCCTGTACCGCAATTACCAGCCTCTCTCCCATCGTTGCTCTTGGTGCCAGTGGTGGTGTGTGTCGTGTGAACGGCTGCTGATTGACATGTCTAGCATTATGAGCGAGGGAGAAAGAAAAGGAAAAGCTGTGAGAGACGCCGCAGCAGCCAGGAGAGGCGAGGGCTGAGCAGTGATCCTTCAAGTTGTCTGGTCATTCTGTTGGCCCTTTAGCTGCAGATCATCGGTATGTCAAACAGCTAAGAGGGAGAATCAGGCATGATGAGGCGGTCACCCTGTGAAGTGTGCATGACATCTGTCTCCTAAGGAAGACAAGAGAGTGTCATCTTGTGAGAAAACTACTTCATTAGTAATTAGAAACAGTTTTGGATGCACCTCAGCTGTCTTTCTCTGCGTTTTCATAATCTCAAACTTCTCCCTCTCCTCCAGCCGTATGGGTCTGTGACGTCATCAACAACATGACTTTTGATTGGCCAGAGGTCTAGCAGGTCCAGATATTCGCCTGCGAATTCGACACAAGAGCGAAAAAATAAAAGCGGCTTTTCGCCCCGCGGGAAAATCGCCGCCGGTGTGGAAGCTTGCATTGACTTTATGCTGTTTTAAAAAAAGGCGAATAATTCGCCTGGCGAATTCTCGCCTGGTGTGTAAGGACCTTCAGTCTGAAATCTCCGATATCAGCACTCTGATACAAGCAGTCCATTCTAGACTCCGCTCCGGCACCTCTATCTAGCAACACCCGCATCCAGCATGAGGAGCCCAAGTGATCACAACAACAGTGTGTACTGAGGTACTAACAAAGTAACACGGCTGTGTGGCAGTATTTTTCGTTTAAGTCCTAAAAAACATTGCAGCTGAGTGAAAAACTTGTCATTCACAAGTTTGTGCTAATATCGGATCAATATCTGGATCGGCCAATACTGGAGGCTACAATATCTGCATCGTATCGGAAGTTAAAAAGTTGTATCGGGACACCCCTTCTACTCGGATACAAATAAGCACAGACAACACCTAGCATCACATAATGCAGCACTGTTATAGAGTATTTGATGCAGACAATTGAGATAAAACAGTCTGTAAGTTTTGTCTTGTTGACTGGCATTTAACCACTCAGGTAGATTAATGTTTAATCAGCACTGACATATGGACTTTAACCTGCAACGAGGACTGAGGGCTGCTGGTTCTGGTTCTGGCTCTGTGATCAGAAACCACCCTCAGCAAACCAATTCTGACATTATTTGGTCATGGATGCTTTGGTCTCATGTTCGGCTTCGTGAATTTTTTCCTTTTTTAAAAATTTGTCGGGCTATCTGCTTTTGTTTTTATGGAACAGCCTGAGAGAGAAACAGCGAATGTGTAGAGACGTGCACTACATCATGAAGAGACCGGTGGACTAGTCAACTACTTTGATTCAGTCACGTCAGGACATCCCAGGGTTTTTTTTTTAAATGTGAATATTAAACAGTAAAGTGTTGACATTTACTCATTAAGACGTTTCCCATTCATTTGAAGACTAACAGCATTTTTAAATCTGTGTGATTAAGTACCTTGATTCCTGCTATAAGATTAATTCAGTTGTTTCACTTAGCGTTCAGGGTACAAGAGTCCAGCCTCTCTCAGGTGATTTGGTTCAAGGTTATCAGAAAAGACAAGGTGATCTTAAAGGAATCAGTGTAGTATGGTTTAGTATGGTGTGTACAGCAGGATATAGGCGCTTGTGTTAATCTGTTTTTGTACACTGGTGTGCGTTACCTTGGCTTCTGTGCTGGCCTGTGGTTTAGCGGGGAACTGGACCTCTGTGGCTTTGAGGATGGTGTTTTCCTGCAGAATGTCCTGCTGAGACTGGTTGTGACCAAACGGCTAGAAAAAAAACACAACACACAAATCACTACAAAAAATCCTGAGACAAACAGCTGTCTGTCTTTAGCACCTTATAAATGAAAACAGATCAAAGTGATTGACACAGGAAATTCATGTGGACTGGTTTGGACTGATATGTGGTGGCGTACCTTGCGTCCGTAGAGGCACTGGAAGAAGATCACTCCCACTGACCAGACGTCCACCTTGTTTGAGATTTTAGGTGGCTCCTTCCCCACCACAAAACACTCTGGAGGGAGGTACCTGACACACACACACACACGCACATACACACACACACACACACACACACACAGTGTAACAAAGCTTCTAAATATTTCAACAAATGTTCATTCAATAGGCTTCATGTGGAAAATCCCTGTCACAATTCACTGCTCATAAAGACAGAAACACAAAACATCATACTTCATATCTGTTCAAATACAAGATGAGGATTTGTGTTGAAGCTTTACATCAACCAGAGAGCCGTTTACGACAAAATATACAGTCAGTGTGTATGAGGAGTCCCCATCTGCCTTTGTTTGTGTGTGTCTTACCAGTAGGTTCCTGCTCCCTGTGATGTGAGGTCCATCCCGTCCACGCCGTAGTTGTCATCATCCATGATCTTGGACAGGCCAAAGTCTGTGATTTTGATTTCTCCACACGCAGTGCCGTCTACCAATAAGATGTTACCTACAAGGCACACGGACAGAGGAACTCAGTACAGTGTGTGTGTGAGACCGAGCGGGGTTTAAATATTAGGCTGACTGCACCAGCACAAACACAAAAACCATCCAATGTAGACAAACTGAAATTAACTACAAAGACTTAAATTGACTTGTTTAAAAAAGTCCCTGCATATTTTGTGATTTAGTTTTATGTTCCATCCTGAAACTTCCCAAACATGTGACGCACCAGGTTTGAGGTCGTAGTGGATGATGGGCGGTTTGATCTCATTGAGGTAGCGCAGGGCGCTGACTATCTGCATGACAATGGAGCGGGCCTCCTTCTCTGACATCAGCTTGTTTTGTTTCAGGTAGAAGTCCAGGTCGTTTCCTTCGCAGAACTCCAGGACTGTACAGAACCTGAGTGGAGGACAGAGGAAAAACACATTAAACAAACAGAAATCAGACCAAACCGAGATCATACGTGCTCGAGAATTACGCTTACTCTCATCACAAAACGGTAATTTATCAACTGATCCCAGTCGGTATTATTGTCTTTCCAAAGCCTCCCCACTTTGTACTTTCTACAGGTTTTATTAACTGGATGTTTGTTTTGGACAAGAGCAGACCTCAGTCATAAATGAAGAAACCTGGAGTTATGTAAAGCCTGTGGGGTTTTCAGCTGGTTCATGGACAGACTGGGAGAGATACTGATGCTTCTATATGAGAAGTGGCAAGATTGGTCAACTCCACATTGTCATTTCTGATGTCTGCTACAAAGATTTACACCGAGTTATGTTTATTTCAGTAGATTACCTTTTTGTTTATTGTAACTCTCTCATGCTTGACATGTCTTTGAGATTCTGTTGTTAATTTGTATTGTTTGGAGAAAGGTGAGGTCTCTTGAATAACTCTGTTGGCTTCGACTCATCATTCACATTTTTGATTGCTAGATCCTATGTGATCCTTTATGTATTCAAGTCCATAAATAAATGATCAAAAAATGACATAAACACTACTTATTCAGACAAAAAAAATCATCAAAGAAGGGAGAGGCAGAGTATATGAGCTTTAACATTAACAAGCTGGGATCAAAGAGCGATGAGGAGGATGAGGATGAAGAGGTCCATCATATAATATTCATGTAAAATGACTCCATTTAATTTTAACTCTCCAAGATATTTTCACTAGAGTGCAATTTATGTCATGATGAACGTCTGTAGCAAATATTCTTTCATTCAACAGCCAAACAGGCTCAACCTAACAGCACTCTTCAAATGATTTCCTGACATATGTCAATGTAGAAAGTGTACAACATCAGTGACAATATTTTTGGTCTTATTTTCAAACTCCAGGCTGAAGAAATTCTACTGCTTTAGTTTTTATGCATGTGCAACAGGCTCAGTGCAGAGAGTATCTTCAGTAAGTCCTTGCTTTTACGCTATAATATGATCTCAGTTGAAGAAGTTGCTTCAAGTGTGGTTTATCTGGACAAATACCATCAGACTGGATGAGTTACAATAGCTGCCAGTTTTTTTCTGCTCTTGGTGTGAGTGTGACTGAACCGCACGTGCAGAGCTAAAAGTTAACCATTAGACATCACTCCCATTGTCGGGGCGTGTTGTTTCTGAATCACACACTTTCCTATGACTCTTTTACAACCTGCTCTCTGCTCCTCCTTTGTCCATGTAGCTCTCATTGACCTAGTTCAGCAGTAAGTCTGAATATTAGGCCTGTGGTGGTTTTCTTAACTGAGCTTTGAGTCTCACTGACATTTGTCTTGTTAAAAAGAAAATGCAAACACTCTTTCAGGTAGCGCTGGGTGATAAACAAGCTCGAGATGTGTTGACCCAGCAGGTCTGCAGCTCATAGAGGTCGGAGGTCACTCACGTGTCAGTATCGAGGGAGAAGTAGTCATACAGTTTCACTATTCTGGGATGGTCCAGCTGCTTGTGTATCCGGTACTCCCTGCATGCATGCCTAAGAGGAAATGAATGTCAACATTGAGTGTGTGTTACTGGAGAGACATTTTGTATTTGTATATCTTAAGGTGTGTGTGATATCTGTGTTTGTGTGTGTGTGTATGAGACTTACTTGTGGTAGTTTTCTTTTTTCTCCTCCCTCCAGTTCTTGTTGAGCTGGTGGATTTTAACAGCTGCATAGCGCTGCTCAAACAGGTCGAAAGCCTGTGAAAAAAGAAAACACACATCAGTCTACAAACTTACTTTATAGGGAGCAAACATGGTGGAACTTCTCTTCTGGTATAAATATTACCTTATAAACCTCACTGAAGCCGCCCCTGCCCAGCAAGTGCAGCAGCAGGTACCTCTCGTTGAGGGTGGGATGGTCTTTGAACCTGCGAAAGGAGCCAGAAGAGTTATTTCTGTCAAAATTTGAACTGAAAGGAGAGAGCGTAAAGTGTCTTTAGACTGAATCCTCTGCAGCTTATGCGGCTGCGAGTGTACTTACGCTGAGCTGTCCTCGTTGTTTATCCTCTTCAGCTCTCTGATGTGGAGATTCCTCACTCGCTCCAAACGCTCCAGCTCTGCCTGGATCTCTGCTTCCTCCTGCAAAAACACAACGTTTAGATGGATTTCTTCTCTTTATGGCAGATATGAGTGCAATACTAAAAAAAAATGTCCAAACACCATTAAAAACATTGTTTTTGTTTCACATTCAGTTTTAATACCGTACACTTTGGCTTTCTCCTTAGAAAGGAAATGTCGGTAACACTTTATTTGACGCCTATCTGTGTAACGGATTATAAATATATGTATAATGCGTTATAATCCCGTTATAGCACCGTAAAACTATAGCTGTAAATACTCATAAATGATCATATTGCTTTGTAGCGATAATCATAACACATAAAAAAGCATTTTATCACAGATAGAATTTTTTATTGTCATTGTGACATGCACAATGAAATTAAAAAGTGCCTTTACAGTCAGTGCATAAAAAAAAAAGGGAAAATAAAACATAAGACAGTAAAACAGTAAAACCAGCAAAACCAGTGCAGAGTTAAAACTACAGACTTACAGGGTCAAGTATTATAATGTGTTAGAACTGTTAACAACTCATAGACAATGCCTACATACATAATGGAAAACAACTATTGTTAACTGTTATAACACATTATAATAGCTGACCTTGTTAGTCATGATAAAATGCTTTATAATGTGTTGTGCTTATTGCTGTAAAGCATTATGATCATTTATGAGTGTTTATAACTATAGTTATACAGTGCTATAATGAGGTTATAAAACATTATAAGTATATTTATAATGGGTTATAGCAGTGGTTCTCAAGTCCAGTCCAGTCATGTTTTGGATGTTTCCCTGCTCCAACACACCTGATTCAAATGATCAGCTCGTTATTAAGCCATTTCACAGCTTAATAACGAGCTGATCATTTGAATCAGGTGTGTTGGAGCAGGGAACCATTCAAAACATACAGGACGGGGGGGCTCTAGGACTGGACTTGAGAACCACTGGGTTATAGAGATATGCATCAAGTAAAGTGTTACCGAAATGTCTTATAGACATACTGTACAAAAAAATCATTAAGAAAGTAGATGTCCTGAACTAATTCCAAACTGAGACTGACCTTCTTCAGATGTCCAAGGCGAAGCTTGAAGATTTCCTCCTGCTCGTGATACTCAGCCAGGGTCAGTCTGAAAATAAATAAACATAAATAAATAAATCAGAGTCCCCAGACTGAACAAACTTATATTAAAATTTCTGTGTAGTTTAGATTTCAAGCTTGAATTTGGTAGAAAAACACTTCTATCAAAAGAGTGTTTCGCCTCTCAGAGTTCATAAGTAAAACTGTATTGACAGAGTTTAGCTTCTAATCATGATCTAGCATCCTCTTCAGTGACAGTCAGTTGATATCTAGATGTACGCACAGCTGTGGCAGGGACGGTTTGAGGAAGGGGTCCGAGTCATTGCCGTTGACCACTTTCGTTTTGCGCTGCTTGGGCTCAGAGGTGGAGGCGACAGAGACAGAGGGGGATGCAGGGTTTGGAGGCTTCCTCTTTGCCAGCAGCTTCCTTTGTCGCTCAATGTCTTCCCTCTGCTGGTTGATGCCCTCCTGTTGCCTGTAAAGAACAGACCACAAAGAAGAGAAGGAGACGCTGAGTAAATATGGCAAACAGAGTGAAATGTATTTGATTGGAGAAAGAGTTTCATGTGCGCAGCCTCTCACTTGATCAGGTTTTGGAATGCGTATCCGTCGGTCCACTGCTCTGTGTAGGATGCTCCGTGTCTGACAGTAGTGAAGTGACCGAGACGGAGACGGTCCTGCATGCTTTTCTCCCGACACGACTGCTTCTCCTGGGTGCTCTGATCAAAAACACAGACGTTAGCCAAGGCAAAAACAAATAGAGTTTACATGCCCTCAGGTGTCCTTCTTGAGACTGGAATTTTGATAAACAAGGGTTTCTGGTCGTGCATGTAACATAACATCCGGGTTTTTCAAAACCAGGCTATTCTGAAACAAGTGCTTGGTTGAATAGTAATAAAACGGTCATCTTGGCATCATATTCAGGTTACAGAAAACCTTTAAACTCAGACTACAGTTGAGTGAGATTGTGAGAATTCCAAACACAAATGTATAGATGTGATCAGAATCTGGATTTTATCAAGTCTGTGTTTTTAGTTGGACAGATACACATGTTATGAAGGTTTGCTGTAATGTCACATCCCGAAAAACATTCAGACCAAACTGAGACAAACGAAAGACAGAACACCAGTGAGCATGTGAAGCACTCTGAAGAGGGAACAGACTAACTAAATATTGTGGTTAAAAGGCCCACACCTGTAGTCTTTTCGTTACATCTCCACCCGGAACAAAGGTGTGGTAGGTGAGTCAGATCTAAACCACCAGAATGGATACCAGACCTGCAAAATCTCCAGTGTTTTATAATTGCTCAATTAAATGTATGTCAAAGGGATTGCTGGTGCTGCAAATCCCATCACCACTCTGCAGATTTTGAAGAGGTGGACAGGGAGGAGATTCAAAGATTTACCCACCAAAAGACTAAACTTTCCTTTCAGGAGGTTTAGACCACCGCAGAGCTATAACACCAGAGAATACTGGGCTCACACTGGGGTTCAGTTTCATCCCATTTCTAATGTATGTGTGAAAAAACACTTTTAATCTTTACAAGTAATTGTTGCAAATAAAATATAGTCATCCTCTCAAAATAAGGGCCTAAGTCAATGATCAAGTTTTTCACAAAGTTTTTTGAATACTCTCAGAAAATGGCCTGACTCATACCTTTTACATAGTCCTTATACAACAAGGATAGTATCACATGATCTGATCAACTGAGAATTCAGGCAGTTCTACTAGAGATGGGCAGCATCATAAAGGACTGACTTAGACGGAAAATTTTTTTTTTTTGTCAAAATGTGACTAAGGCCATTATTTTAAGAAGGTGACGATATGATCAATCAAAACAATCTATTTGATATATGTCACAACAAATGTTATCTCCAGACACCTTACAAAAAGAGCAGGTCTAGACCATACCCTTATTAAGACCCAACTCCGGGTCAGAGGAGACTATAAGATCTAATAAGATACAGACCCAGTCTTATCTCATCTAAATCCACCATGAGCAAAGTATATAGAAGGATACTGTGACAAGGAAAAACTTTTTAACAGGTAGAAACCTTGAGCAGAACCAGACTCATGTTAGACAGTCATCTGCCGCTACCATGTTGACTTTGAGAAGGGGGTAGAACTCTTTTAATGAGATGTTTCTATTGTTTTTAACCAATTACCTGTTTTTATATTCCTTTATTGTGACATTTCTTTGCTTATAACGTGTGGCCCTTTGAGGTCTCTTGATGTAAAGGGCACTACAAATAAAATTTATTATTTTTATAATTATTATTAGTATTAGAAGGAGACACATACTAATGGCACCTACAACAGCTGAAACAGACTTCAGTCTCACATCGGGTGTAAGAATGGGATTCTAATGAAGTAAGGACGGGCAAACTGGCCAAAAATGTTATCTTGATAAAAATGCTCACATCAGTTGACATGAATAGTTATCATAGTAAGTGTCAAACTACTATTTTTATCAGATGAAACGGCTTATCAATTGCTCATGAGTGAAATGTGAAGAAAAGCAGACAGATTATTAGCTCATATATGGAGTCTTTGCTGGAAAACACTGATATGAGCGTTTGTTGCACTTGCTTGCCTGGTTCTTGTTCAGGGTCACCATTGCTCATTTTGGATTGTCATTTTTTGTTTTGGTGTTTGTTTTGGTCTAATGAGCAGTATTGTTTTATGGAAAAGGTTTGTGGTATCACTTTATTAAGCTAGCCTGGCTTTGACTTCGTCTGCAGTGCAGATCATTGTTGGACATAAAATAGCCCAAATATCTCCAAACTACTAAAGTTGAGTGGCCTTTCTTGTTAAAGATGTTTTCACTCTGCTGGTAGGTGCTGCATTTTTTAGTGTCCCTGTCGTTTATTTCAACTGTTTCCATTCTGCTTTAAGTGACTCAAACATGTCCGCCTTTAACTCCACGCCATGACTTGTGACTTCTCATCTTTTAACATCAGCTGGACATTTATAGTTAAGTCACATGAACTACAGATTTTTTGTTAGATAAATACACATTCAAATTTATCAGACTTTAACTCAATATTAGCTATCGTGAGAAGTTTGGCCATAATATATTTCATTTACGTCTCAGTCTCTGTCAGTTTGTTTTCTTTGCACATATGGTCTACAATGGCATCATGCAGCTGCTCTTCAGATCAGAAACACAGTGAATACTTGAAGGGTGTGTGGATGCAAATTCCGTTACCTTCTCTATGAGCAGTTTCTTGCTCATGGTGATGCATTTATTGAGCCTCTCCTTGTATTTCTCCAGGAGTTTCTGCTGTTCATCTATCTGTCTGCGCAGGTCACAGTTAGCCTGTTCAGGAAGAGCACAAGGGATTGTTTACAGTTTGATAGAAACCTGCGAAGAGAACCCTTTTCCTCTTAAAAAGAACTTGGTTTATGGATGCTGAACTCACCCTGAGAAGATCATCTATTCGCCCCTCTTTTTTCTCCAGGTCCAGACTCTTGTTGCTCTCCAGGGCTGCCAGTTTCAAGCCAGTTAACTCCGTCTAACAGATCCAGAGAGAGGTGAACTAGTCAGAGGTGAATTGCTGTAAAAGACCTGCAGTTACTGACGAAGAAGAAAAGTGAATACTTCGTGTGTGTGTGTGTCATGTTACCTGGACACACTTGCTGGAGGAAGCTTTTGGATTGTGTTCCCCAAAACACAGACTGGTAGGAGAGGAGCTGTTCTGCCGGATCTGCACACAAAGAAATATTGTTAAAGTGTTAAATACCAAAAGAGACCGACATTCACTTTTGTGTGTCTCTTGTGTAGAGGCGTGTTTGCAGTTGGTGAAATACTCACGATTAAGCCAGGGGCGGAGTGGGAGCTCTGTGGAGAGCGGCGAGCTGACGGGAGGCCTCTGACTGGACTGGAACCATTTCCACCCTGAAACTTTGGAGAAGAAGCAAATAAATAAACAAACTAAAGAACTGAGCAAAAATAAAAGATCCTAGAGAAAGGTTTGTGTTGCACTCACATCAAAGTAGTCGCTGATCTTAGGCCCACGTGTAGATGTCTTCCCTGTACATAAAAAAAATCAGAGTTAATGCACATAAACAGTTAAGTCTTCATTACACCAGATTCATTCAGGTACTGGTCCAATACCTTGACTACTCTCTGAATAGGTATCAGCTTTCCTCTTCCTCCCTCTGGACGTTTCTGAGTGCTTCTTCTCTGGGGTCTGCGGATGTGAAAAAAGAGAAAAAAAGAAAAAAAGTGCCTCAATCCCTTGAGTTTTACCTAACAAAGCTAGTTCTGGTGTTGTTGTTCAGCAGGAAGGATCAGCAGGAAGAAAGAGTACATACTGAGTAGGCAGGGGAGCTCCCTCTTTTCAAATCAGAGTTCTAGGAAGAAAAAAGAGGGAGAGGTGGAGATAGTGGGAGAAATGGAGAGACGAGTGGGCCGAGCAAGGAGAAAAAGACGTACTGACAACACATAGCTGTGTCTAACAAGGCTACATTTCTGCCTGATGTCTAAGTTCACTTTGTTTTCTCCAATCTGGGAACATAAAAGTCATCTGTGCTGCAGAAATGATCATCTGAGTGTAAGAGTGTTTTACCTCTGACTCCTTGTCACTTGAAGAGCCCAGACTGCCGTAGCTGTGGTTGGAGGACTCATTGGCCAGCCCCTTCAAAAGAGTGAACAGTTAGACAAGTGAACGTACAAACTCACACAAATTACAAAAATATTCTCTGCAGGTGTGTGGTGCTATCCAAGTTCAGCAACGTCATAAAATGTAAACAAGAGTGAAACAAAGCCCGAGGCAGGCCTCCAGTGTGACGCGTCCCAGAGGAATCCAGATCTTCAGTTATTGAAAGGTGTGTCTTTTGGGCCTTTTCCAACACATTCAACCTTTTTAGGAAAACAGAAACTTTTACCTGTTTTCTCTCCATGGGAACTTGGATCTGGTGTTTATTTACTGCTCTGTAGCTGAGGTGCTAACTCCACCATGATAGCACCTCAGCTACAGAGCAAAAAAAAAAGCCCAAAGGCTGCTACAACTTGTGTAAACCACTCAGCTTCAGGGAAGTTCAGGGTTTTGGTAGCTTTGGCATTATAACAAAATGTTAAGAAATTCTTTACCTTTGAAAAAACAGGACTTCACAAATAAACTATTCGCTCACAAAGACTCCAATCCCTGGGTTAACCGTGTTTGTGTTGGATGAGTCCAGGTCTAGACTTAAATTTCATGACGATCAGGCAATTTTTCACCAGGCACCACTCCCAATGATGGGGAGGAGTCTTGCTGGGACCTTTGTCAGTGTTGATGCACTGCTCAAATGATAAGTCCATGTTTGAGCTGCACAGATCCAATCTTGAATTTTATGGAAATCTCACAGTCTCCTGTCGTGAATTCTCAGAGCTGTCCTGATAGTTACACATATTTTTGATCTGGTCAGCTCGATCCAGATTTTTCTATACTGAGTGACTATCAAACCCAAGTCCAAAACTAGTACTTTTTATTTGTTAATATTCCACATATTCAGCATCTCTTTAGTGGCCTATTTTAGATGCCAAAACTATCGTGAATGCGTGTATATGGATCAAGTCTATAAAGTGTGCAGTGATGCTCAGCAGCGACAAGGACAAACGTCAGAGCTCCAAATGCCTACTGTAAATTTACCAGCAGTCACGTCATGTCTTAAATCACCTTGCATGTCGTCACCAATTGTAAGGTGGTGACTGAGTGATGTGGAGACAGCAGTGCATATTTTAAAACAGTAAGACAGTAAAAACCTGTATTCTCTAGCAGAGAGATGGGCTGCTTGCCCAAAGTGATGACTCCAACACATTCTCCTCAATCGTTCTGGCCTTATCACTCTTATGAGGATATTTATTCTTCTGTTTAGAGTCCAAAGTTTGTTGCTTTGGGATTTTTTTCCCTCTGTTGCTTGAGTGCATGCACCTTTTCTGTTGAATTGTGGTTTAAAAAGTGTTGAACACACTTTTACTTGCAAAACAACAGTACTATATATGTTGCAAGTGCCCGTTGGAGCTTTCGCTTTTTACTCAAACTATTTCCACCCTGCTGATATTTATTCCTCTGGGTTGCTAACGCTAATTGTTCTTAGTCAATGACATCTTACGTAGATGAATGGGGGGAAATTATGAGCTCAAACTGCCATTCCCCAATCAAAAAAAGATGCCCAGATCAGCTCTGATCTGATAGCTAGAATCCTCATTAGGACATCCCTTACTTTTGATTTCTAGGATCCAAAATCTGGATGACTTCACAGACTTTTTGAGATGTCAGAAAACAGAAACAGAAAAAACAGCTGATGATGGTTGCAAGTAACAGTGAGCGTATTAGCCCTTGAAGCTAACGTCAGCTAGCATGCTGCTGGTACTATTTCAACTCCAGGTTTTGCTGCAGGAAAGAAAATGTGCTTCCAGAAACACTTCCCACTGAAGTCCTGTTAAGGTCAGTGTTTCCATCTTTTCAATAGAGAGCAATAACAGCTTTTAGTCTCTCTGCTTTTGTTTACATTCTTTTCACTCATAGTTCATAAAGGATCAGAGGAAGATAATATGAGGCAGTGCCATCAGTGTTTAATTTCTTGTAGTGTGGTTTATGAGCAGAAGCAGAAAAGCAGATTGATTTCTAGACTGTTAAGATTCTAAAACTGTAATCATTGCCCACCGTGTGTAAATAAAGCTTTTGTTTCCCTGTGCTGTGGTTACCTTAGCTCCACCGCTGGTGCTCCCAGTGCTCCCGACTGTGTTTCCACTGACAGCTCCAGTAAACCTGGCCTCCAGCAGCTCCTGTCTCCTGGGGTCCAAGCTGTGCAGCTCCTCCATGGGGCCTGACATGAGGGAACAACAGAGTGAGGTTACATCACTGCCATTATAAGCGAAGGAATCAGAGATATGAAGCCTTGAACACTTGTCCTGTGACGACACTGCTAGAGAGGAATCAAAATGAGCACTCAGAGAAGAAGCGGAGGATGTTATCTGGGGGAGGATTACAGAAAATTAGAGTGATTAGAGGATAAAAATAGAAAAATGGATTTGATTCAGCTGGGTGGCAGGTAGCTCCTCAAAAAGATGCGCTTTCATGCTACAGTGCTGAATGGAGCAGATGGGTGACACTGCATTTCTAAGTTTAACAGGAAGGTCAGTCTTGCTGGGAAGTCAAGAGGGAGAAGAGTGGAGGCTTGGTGGAGACTTCCAGTTTATCAAGACAAAAGTCCCCTCTCAGGTTTTCTATTATCACATCAGTTAGACCGTCACAATGGCCTCATTACAGAGTGCTAAACTAGTCTGTGGTATTCAGGTGGAAAATAGAGCACAGTGCCAGCTGAGATAATGACACTGGAAGTTTTACATCTGTCTACATGCAGCACATTCAATGAGGACTTATCTGGGCCATATCAGTGGCGCCATTGCCAATCTAAGTGCTGAAAATACGCTTAAGTGATTGAATTTTCTTAGTTCGTTGCCAGCATTGGAAATGCCACTGAAGTATGAAACCATAGATAAAGGAGACAATGAAAAGCCACATGATTTGCACAAATGACAACTGATTTCAGGTAATCAATCATGTGGTTATTTATAACAGCCATGTTGTTCAAGCATCGTGCACCACCTTGATATGACAGAATATCAAAAGTATTAAACTCTAGGATATCTGATCACTAATATAGCCACATGTGCAGCATACAAGGCCTCTGTTTTTGGCTCAGGGAAACAAAAATGATGTCATGATTTTGATCGCACTGATATATTCTGAAGGGATCCATAAGCCCAAATTTGATGTCAGTATTTAAAAGAAAAATATCATATCTTATCTTGTCTTTATGTTTTGAAGAGCTAATTAGACTCTTATTTTTACAGTTACTTGATCACAGAGCCATACCTGTGAATCTCTGGGCTTATCTGAGCCACGATCAGCAGGAATACAAAACCCTCATATTAGCAGCAAGCTAAACATACATGCTCCCTGACTGGGACTTCTATGACAACTGGTTTCCTGGGAGAGACAGAGGCACACATACACACACGCAGGTCCTCTGCTCCCTACTGACTCCTGCAGCAAGTGTTTGTTTCCTTATTGGACATTTCCTGGCTGTCATCTTTACATAGCTCTGGCACAGGGGCGAGCCCTAAAAGGCATAATGGACATTATGAAACTCACAGGCTGTGAAACAGAGCTCACCACAATGTCTGAGAGAGGTTATTTAAGGACGGAGGAAAGTGATTTAGAGCAATTAATCTAAAAGCAAGATGTAACAAATCATGAAATTATTTTAAATCATCTGACTTGCTATTGTAAACCTTGGATTGAGCAATAGTTTTTCGAGGGCATCCCCAGTGCTGTTGTGTACTTGATGTCGTTGATTTTACTGCTATGTTTACACCATCGCCGTTTAAGTACTTTAAAACACATCTTATTCCCTACATAACAAACATGGCCGGACGATTATAATTATTTGCGCCCACTGATAATCACTGTTATGTCACATCACATCCAGCTACTCAGCAGAATCGGAGTAAATTAAGTCTCAACATGTCGACAACAATGAACAAACTGGTGCATGCAAACTGTGCAGAGAGGGCCTGCTACCAAGTTTACAGCAGCAGGGGCATGCACCGCAAGGCATTAATGGATGCATGCATAGCTACGTTGTTTAATATACAACTAGATACTGATAAGGGAGGGGGGCGAATTTCACAAACTACCACAAACAACACTGTTGTCGCATCAACAGCTACGAGTTGCCAAGGACCACGTAAAAAGCTGACAGTCCTACAAACAGAAAACAACAAGCTAACGCTGCCTTTGTGCAAACAGGACAGGCTGCTGCTGCTCAGACTGGCCATCAACTGAACTGACAGCTGACGTTTGGCTTCACATTCACGGCATCCCTGAACTTGACATCCATTTTTACTTCAACAAACGTCAGCTCAACACGGTTAAAACAGCCCACTTCTACTGTAAAGAGCTCACAATAAGGAGAAGAAGACCCAGCGGTGCTCTCGGTGGACTCATATACCTTCCTTGCTCTTTGCGGTCGCCGTTATATGTTGTTGAGAAATCGTTGGGGACGAGGAGAGCTGCGACCAAGATGGCGTCGCCTCCAAACTTCCACCACCACTTCCACTGTTACTTTGGACACTCATGAAGCCACTTTACCGCCGAGAGGAGCCAGCGCACACTCTGCTGTTCGCGGAAATCCCAAACTTGCGTCCATCGCTGGACACCTGCTGTCGTCTAACAGGCCGTTAAGCGTCAGTTGGAGCCGTTTGTGTTGCTAAACGCCTTTCATTTTGTGAGCCGTGCAGGTCCTGCGGAGGAGCGGCTTCTTCAGATACTCGCTGAAACGGATCCAATGTAACCTTTGCATGATGACCGCACCGCGCGCCTGTCAGCATCCAGTTCGCGAGCGGAGCTCTGATTCTTGTAGGCGAGGCTATCGCGAGGCTGGCGCGTAGTAGCGCGAGGGGGATGGCATGACACCGACACAGACACTGATCTGGGATCATTTTACCCTCCTCCAAACTAGCCCTCGGTTCATTGAGAGGCACAGCTCAGCGTCGACCTGAGAACAGCCTCTGGTTTTAGAGAAACAACAAACACCCAGAAAACATGGCTGAAAGTTCCTGTGTGTTTGAGGGGAACGACACAAAACACAAACACTCACACACGCACACACGCACGTGCGCGCTCACAGACACAAGGAAGAAACAAACCATATGCACTACGTGTGTTTTTTTTAGTTAAGAGTAATAAATCCGTAAAATTTGCATTTTTTTGTGTATGTGTGGTAATACAGCAGTTAATATTCTGTATGCAGTTAAATATAGTTATATATACAGTATACACAGTTACATAAATGTGTGTGTGTATGTATGTATACATTGCAAAGTGCATTGTAAAGTATACTGTTTTATTTTTGCTTAATTATTCATACAATTTATTGTTCTACTTCAGTAACACTTGCCACATATCAACACTACAGCCTTACAGTATGCTGCTGTGCATGCAGAGACACCCACATCCAGCAGAATGTGTTGTGTATGACAAACATGTACATGCAGCTTTGAGTGTGTGTGTGTGTGTGTGTGTGTGTGTGTGTGTGTGTGTGTGTGTGTGTGTGTGTGTGTGTGCATAGGTTTGGCTCTAGTGTAAGTGTGTGTGCTGTTTTTCAGTCTTGAAATACAAGTTGGGGGGGGGGGGGGGGCTAAGGGGGCTGTTGGGGGAGGTGCAGGTGGGAGGATAGTGATGTGGTCTTGGCCTATAAGGTCTTTTGTTCCAAATTTGGTGCAGTGCATCAAAATGTCTTTGCCTTCTTGTAGGGCATCATACATAACACACAGACACACAGACACACACAAAGACCCACACATCAGCTGTTTGGCCTACATCTTAATCTGACATTACACTCCTCCCCAGAACATTTGTTTTGTATAAAAATAAATACACTTAAATATGGACTGTGAGCTGACAGTCAGCAAACACCTGCCTTTCCTGAAAACAGGAAGCATGTTTTCCCAGTTTGAATTAAAAAGATATTGTAGTGGTTCAGATAAGGAGTCACAGCCTGAACACTGTTTCAGGGTCTTTGTCTGTCAAACCTCTGCTCTCCTTGCAGTCAGATTGCATCAGGAAACAGACTGAGGCACAAACCATCACTCCGCACCTCATATGCACCTGCCCATGGTAACCTGATTTTTTTCTTTCTTTTTTTTTTTTTTTTGGTCACATGGTTTCCATGGTAACAGAGTAATAGTCTTGACAGGCAATGAGGAGGGTTGTATAAGCAGTCTACATTACACTACTACACCACACACACACACACACACACACACACACACACACACACACACTGAGTTTGTGATGTCATTTGAGGTATGAGATGTGAGTAGTGTTTTAAGGGAAAGGTGGTTTTGAAGCTGCAGTCGGGACATTCAGGGTCCCCAAATGTCTGATGAGTAGAAAACCGAGTATTTGCTGACATTTAAAAAAATGGTCTCTAGGTTGACTTCAGAAAACACAACTAAGGCCAACATAGATAGACCTCTAAATATTAAAAGAAGTTTGATACACACTGAAAATCAAGCGGTGAATAGTAATAAACTGGAAAGCGTGACATTTCATAAAAGTCTGAACACAGATTTTTGTTTAAGAAAGTTTTTTAACCAGTACTCTGCCAATAAAACTACATCTGAACTTCTCATACAGAAGAAAAAAGAAGACAGATTCCTTTATCAAAATACAAGAACAAAAAAATCATGGATATTTTTTCCCTTAAATTGGTGAACATTAGTTACAGGTTATATTAGCCCTATTTAAACCCTGCATTCAGATGATAAACAATAATTGTAATAAAAACAATCATCAAAATGTAGAGTAAATACACTTCATGGTATATAATATAGGTCTTAATATTCAAATGATTTTTTTTTCACATTTTCTGAGCTGATATTTTATTTCTTATTTCATTATGAAAAGTAGTTTAAATTGAATATTTGATTCTCTTTGTCTTGTTTGACGATATAGATAGCATAAGTGCATATGTAACCAGTGGAAAATTAAACAAGCATTAAACCGTAAAAAAACAAATATTTCAAAGAGTTACAGGTTAGTTTTTTGAGATTACTCACCTATATAATTAACAGTGAATATGTATATTATGTAGCTTAGGATCTTGGCTAAGGCAAATTTTTCAACCGCAAAAGCAAACTGCAGATTCAAAGTGTTCCATTTAGTCACCCATATCTCTCCCACCTTTTTTTTCCTTCTTTCGAAATTCAGAAAAAAAACAAAGCTTTGCACACACTTCAGGAAATGCCTTGACCTGATGAGCAGTTAAAACTGTCACAAAGGTGACTTCATGTAATTCTTGTCCCTGCATCAGTTTGTTGATCAAATTAAATGACATGGAACCTGCAACTCAACTGTTTTTTAAGTTATTTTGTGGGGCTTCACCCATTGTGTTCAACAGAGGGAGCTGGAGACGGGTGAGGACATACAGCAAGGGGTCCAGGACAAATGCCACAAACTACTGCAAAAGGGCAAGCTTTAGCTGCTAAGAGAAACCTGGCGCCCTCTGCAGGTCAACTTTTAACTCTACTGACTCTACCTAGGACTCCCATGGTATAAGCTTGTTTTCTTTAGAGACATTTTTTACCTCAACTTTGTCCCAGGAACCATTTCTATTAAAAGGCAGAGCAGTATGTCCCAAATAAGGCTATATTTATCAGGAAAATCAGCCAGGAAGTGAAGTGGGATAAGTGTCACACTAAATGATTGACAGAGCCTTTTAACCATAGCAAAAACATAAACTTAGATACATTAAGCTAATAAAAACAGCAGGATAAGAGCCTCTTTTTTTTGACAGAAAACACTATCTACCTGTGTACAGGATAAAAGCAACGAAGAGATAAGAAATATTTTTTGTCCACAAGGGACGGCAAGTCGACACAAACAAGAAGTTCCTCACAGGAGCTTTATGGCAATACCACATCTGCAAAAATGTCTCTTTCAAACTGAGCAGCTGATTTTCATAATTTTTATGTCCAAAAACACATGCAGCTTTCAGTTTGTACCTCTTTTATGCATCTTAGTCAGCCTCTCCCTAGCCTTCACTTTGATCTGTCACTGCACTGGTGTAACTAATCACATTAACAACATTACCATTTCCATTAGCTGTCCTTCTAAGCCCTCAAAACATGTATGGAGCCAGAGCCCTGCTCCCTGGGGGACGCACTGGTACAATACACAGGTAAAATTAAATCCAAACATTACATCTTCAACCCTGTGTTTTCTGGCAAACATGAAGCAGGACTGACTCTGTTTGCTGTTTTTAAACTGTTGGCTGTATAGGAACAAATACTAAATAGATACAATGGCACGCTCTGTTGCAGCTGATATAATTTTTTAGCATTATCAAATAACTCTCAAAAACACAAGTGAGGAAAACAACCTGTTCCTGAGAGCCAAACTAATGTTTCATACTGTCGCAAGTATCAATAATTATCAAGACTGACAACTTTTAGGGATTAAAGAGAATTTCTAAGTTTTCCTATGTCACCTGTGTCTATCAAATGATACATTTCGTAAAGTATTTGGCTGTTATTATTAAATGAAACCATAGATTGGAGACTAATGGTTAGAATCTGATTATATTCCAAGAGGACGAATCATAGTCCTTGAGCCGGACCAGATGTCGGTACCACTTGGGTGGGCAAAACCTTACACATACTAAATTGTTTTTAGGGTCAATATAAGTAAATTAAAATATGATAGACTTTTCATAGGGGTAGCTTTTTATATTTTTTCTCATTTTGTTATTTTCCTCAATAGGCGAATTTTTGTTAACTCCAAAAGCAACACAAAAAGTCAAAATCACATTAAAAGTCATTCTCTTTTTGGGTCACACTGCTCTTTTCTATAAATGAATCAAACCTGTGTCTAATTAAATGAGTTGATGAAGTGGGAGTGGCCCAATTTGATGGTGGAGCAGTTCTTTCAGGTATCATAGTACTTGAGCCAAGAACCAAAATTTCACATATCGGTACCACCTGGGTTGGCAAATTCTAGTTGTGATTTTTTTATTGCTATACATCCCTACAATAAGTTTTTATATGATAGACCTTGGTAACTAGTAGCTTTATTGTAGTTATCACTCATTGAAGTAATAGAGTGCAGCTTTCAAAAATGAAAAATCGCCTTCCTTCAAAATTAGCTTTCTTTCATTTTAACCTCTCATTTAGGTGTGTTTGAACTATTGGCTAGCCATAGAGACTTGTATTAACCTCCTAAGTAGTATTTCAAGTGATTTATCTTATACAGGTGTGTATATATAAGCTTCAATTAGCCAATTGTAAGGTCTAAATCAAGGTCTAAATTAAGGATATTTTTTTTACTTAGAAGTAGAAGTAAAGTAAATGCAGACTAATAGCATTATAATAACACAACTTTAATATGACACTGACATATTTTAAGTGCAGGAACTCAATATACAATCATCCTGGCTGGTGCAGGGCAAGAAGACATTAGCAACAAAATAAGATCTACTGATGTAAACACTCTATACAATCATCTGAGAAAAACTCAAATTCCTATTCAAAGTCCTATTCTTTCCATAAGAAACAGTGACAGCAAATATGACTGTCAAGTTTTGGCTTAGTACGTAATACTGTCACTAAGTCACAGTGGGTCTGTTAACATAGCTCCCTTTGGTCATCATTTATTAATCAACATCAGTAATCAACATCAGTATCTGTATCTTCATCTACATCTGAATCTGCCGGTGTGCAAGGGGCACTTCCTCACTGTATTGGTTGGCACAAGTTTGTAATTTGCACAGGTTTGTGCACTTCAGCCCATGGCTGAGACAGGTGCAGTCTGGTGGTTTGCATGTCCTCACACACTTGCACGATAGCAACTGCAAGACCGAAGAAGTAAAGTAAATGCAGACTAATAGCATTATCATAACACAACTTTAATATGACACTGACATATTTTCAATGCAGGAACTCAATATACAATCATCCTGGCTGGTGCAGGGCAAGAAGACATTAGCAACAAAATAAGATCTACTGATGTATACACTCTATACAATCATCTGAGAAAAACTCCATTCCTCCACCAAGAACTTGATGAGACTGGCTTTGTTGGCAGGGCTGCAGAGAAGTTTCCTCCACTGCTGAATATTGTGGCCAGAAACAATGTTTCTGAACTGGATCCCCATGTCTGCACCTCTGTTTAGTCTTTCTGAATTTTTGATTGACATGTCCTTGTAAACGTCAAAGACAACGTCAGTCCTTTCACTATCACCACCTTCATGCAGGACCTTGGCTAAAGTTGAGTCCAGCCAGCCTCCACCATGTCAGGATTGCCTATTAATGCAACCGATTCGTGCCAACTACCAGGTTGCTATCTGGAGACGGTCTCTTCATACCAAGCCATCTGTACCAAGCCCCAAGGACCATGGTGGACCATAAATGACGAAGGGCAGCTGGAAATACAGTGGATGCGTGGTTCCCCAGCACCAGATGCAGTCTTGCAGTTGCTATCCTGCAAGTGTGTGAGGACATGCAAACCACCAGACTGCACCTGTCTCAGCCATGGGCTGAAGTGCACAAACCTGTGCAAATTACAAACTTGTGCCAACCAATACAGTGAGGAAGAGCCCCTTGCACACCGGCAGATTCAGATGTAGAAGAAGATACAGATACTGATGTTGATTACTGATGTTGATTAATAAATGATGACCAAAGGGAGCTATGTTAACAGACCCACTGTGACTTAGTGACAGTATTATGTACTAAGCCAAAACTTGACAGTCATATTTGCTGTCACTGTTCCTTATGGAAAGAATAGGACTTTGAATAGGAATTTGAGTTCTCAATCTCAGATGATTGTATAGAGTGTATACATCAGTAGATCTTATTTTGTTGCTAATGTCTTCTTGCCCTGCACCAGCCAGGATGATTGTATATTGAGTTCCTGCATTGAAAATATGTCAGTGTCATATTCAAGTTGTGTTATTATAATGCTATTAGTCTGCATTTACTTACTTCTACTTCTAAGTAAAAAAAAATCCTTAATTTAGACCTTGATTTAGACCTTACAATTGGCTAAGTGAAGCTTATATATACACACCTGTATTAGATAAATTACTTGAAATACTACTTAGGAGGTTAATACAAGTCTCTATGGCTAGCCAATAGTTCAAACACACCTAAATGAGAGGTTAAAATGAAAGAAAGCTAATTTTGAAGGAAGACGATTTTTCATTTTTGAAAGCTGCACTCTATTACTTCAATGAGTGATAACTACAATAAAGCTACCAGTTACCAAGGTCTATCATATAAAAACTTATTGTAGGGATGTATAGCAATAAAAAAATCACAACTAGAATTTGCCAACCCAGGTGGTACCGATATGTGAAATTTTGGTTCTTGGCTCAAGGACTATCAGTGTCAAATACTACAATCTCTAGCCACTAATGGCGGGTACAGTAGACACTGTAGTTTGTGGCTTTTAACTAATGTCTTATTTTTTAATCTATATTTTTATCCTATTTCTATCTTATTTTATTTATTTATATATTTTAGTCCTCATTTTACATGTTATGTTTATTCTATTTGTTCACTTATTTTTAAATGGTATTTTAGATACTAATCAGTATTCTATCATTTTATCTAGTTTGATGTTTTTAGCTGATTTAGTTTATGTTTTTATTGCCTTTCTCCAGTGTTTCCTCAGTGGGGGCCACCTGCACTGGAGGCTGTGACTGGCTCTGTCCAGGGTTTCTCTGCCTCTTGGTGTGCGCTCAGCTTGGCCAGGTGGTGGTCTGCAGCAGTGCCTGCTACTGTGGGTCCCTCACTGGCCTGTAGCGGGGTGCGCACCCGGGTGGAGGTGTCCTGACCCAGGGCTGTGGGCAGCCTCCAGTGCAGTCGGCCTCCTGACGTTTCCTGACTTGGCTCCTCTGTACTCAGCCACACGCTTTTAAGATTGCATTATCTCTGTGTGTGTGTGTGTGTGTGATAGGGTTGGGGGATGGGGTAGCGGGCTGGATATGAGGGGGCTCATTGTTTTAAATTGTAAAGCACTTTGTGCTGCATTTCTTTTTGCCTGAAAAGTGCTATATAAATAAAGTTTGATTTGATTTGATTTGCTGTGTTTACTGTACATATATGAAGATTTGATTTTTGCAGTAGAAACTATGGAAGTAATTAAACTTGAAATGTTTAAAAAAATCATTGCAGAGAGATCAGAAGTATTTTAGTCAATAAAAAAGTTATGAGGTTAACATTAGAGGAACAATAAGGTCTCTATTAGCTCACTGACAAAATAATGAACTGTCAGGCTAATGTAATCACTCCAGTGAGACAATGTGACAATAGACCTTTGAATGTTGTGTAATAAATGACTCTGTGATGTACAGGTTTGACTTTAATACAACTTAGTTTATTTTATTCATAACGTATAGAGACTAAACATTTGTCAAAACAGACACAAATGAAGACTTGACATTTCAAACTAAATTATTCACTAGAAGTCAAAGTAATCTGTATTCAGGTCAGTCTTAAAAATTTAAACTGTACAGAAGCATTTATGTGGCGTGAAACCATTGCTGAAGATTTGACATGAATCACAGTTTTTGCCACTGAATTCTCAGAAAAACATGAGTTGTGTCCTTGGTAGAAAAGCCTCTCTCTGCCTCTCATACATAGTGACGTATGACCTGATGAGGTCCTCTATTGCTCTGGCCTAAAAAAAAGGTAGGAAATCATCATTTCAAAGAGACGTTTTGTTATCGGCACAAACAGATGACAGCACAAGAATCTTCTGCTGGGAGCATTTGTACCTGATGAAATAACAGATTCGCACTCACCTGTGGGGTTTCACAGACAAAATTGACGTTCTTCAACAATGTGCCAATGGTCATCTGGAAAACATTTCCTTTGCTGGTGTATTCTACAATACGGCTGAACTGGTGCATCACCAGCATCCCCTAAAAGGGTCACAGATGAAAAGAGATATTAGATATGAAGAGGTTTTTTAATGTAAACCACATAAGTGAAAGCATGAAAATATCCTACACAAACACCAGCATGAAATATATATATTTTTTTCAGAATCACACTAAAGGTCTAAAGGTCCTTTAAGGAACTTTCAGTTTAAGTCAGTTTTAGCGTCCCCTGCAGACAGAAAAGGAGTCTTTGCTTATCTTGTCCTCTTCATGCTTCAGTCTTAAGGTTTTTGATTTAATGAAATGGAAAGAAACTCACATTAATGCTTTTTAATAATGTCAAAAAGCAAACAAGACTTCTTAAACTGCTGTGTGTGTGTGTGTGTGTGTGTATGTGCATACAACATGTTCAAAAAGTTTTAATCTATTCAAAAACGTCTTATCTATTCCTGATAATGAGACTAATCCAGCCTATCAGTGATGTATCAATACGTCGGCCTAATATTATCAGCTAATATATTTATATCACACATTGCCTCCGCTAAGTCTGTGTGTATCTACGTATATGGTTTATTATTGTACATACCTTATCCGTTTTGTCCATTAAGCCCACACCTTGCTTGCTGACAACCACCAAAATTTCCTCTGGGTAGTCATAGTCACAGTCTTGCTGCAAAGTCAGATTAAATTATAACATGAGTACACGGTTTCCTGAATTCTGACGACTTTGCTCTTTCTCATCTTTCTGACTCACTTTCACATCAAAGAAGGCACATCCGAAGGTCGGCCAGCCGGAAATGGCTTTCAGGAACTCGATTTTGGCCTCATCCACTGTCATGCCGCTCTGCTTGGTGTAGGAGGCGATGATGTGCTGCAAAGTAGTGAAAAGAACAGTGGACTGTTACACTACAGACAATATTTTTCGACCTTAACCCTGTGAGGGTGTTTCTTCACCTTCTTCCATTCGTCAGGTGACATGATTCCTATCTGGTTAGCAGGAACCAGCCCCTTCAACAGTCTGGGGATCATGATGAACTGCGATCTGTCTGAATCCACCTGAGTCCTGAAGAGCAGGCCAGCCAGTGTGATCAAGTCCTGCTTACTGCAGTTGTGGTATCCCTTCAGGTACTTGGGCTGCTCCTGTATAGAGGCAAGACAAAAGTCGTGTGTCAGCAAGATGCTCCATGTTCAAAATTCAGTCAGTCGGAATTAAGGGTGTGTTAGGTCAAGTATTGAATGTGAAATGAAATGAAACGAATACCTGAGGGAAATGGAAGGTGAAGTCTGCTTTCAGGTCTTTCCCTGGGCTCACATTGAACCAGAGCTTCCTTTTAAATATCACCAGGTAGGGCATGTTGGACTGGGGGCCTGAGGAGCAACAACTGAATTATAGATATATGCGGCAGTGATACACAAAAATGAACACATTGCCATGATTCTTTACCTTCTTTTATTTTCTTTGCTTTCTTTGGACCATCTGAAGTTTGTCTCAGACTGTCAAAGAAATACCTGTCGTCTTCCATGGTCGTGATCTAAGCATTAAAAACAAACAAGTCCATGATGACAGGAGCATAGCCTTTGATATTGGAGTCTGTATTTGTTAAAACCCTCAATGTAGTGAAGATCAAATTTATGGCCTCATTTTCTAAAAATGTTTATTTTTGGATTAAAATGAGTCACATTACAAATACCTACCAAAGAAATGTGATTAAATCTGTGTCTATTTCTCTCACATTACACTGTAATTAAGAAAAAAACAAATAAAGGAACACTGAAGCTGTTGCAGGAGAGTCACTAAACCTTACCTTTAGTCTGGTTTTTAAGTAGAGGCCATATCCTTCCACTGAGCTCAGCTGAAGCCTCAAGGCTATGGTGTGACACAGCTCTTGGATTGTGGTAGTTGAAGACACCTCAATAATCTGCATGATAATACAAAAGGTAAGTCAAGATACCCACAAACAAATCTGAATACGCTTTGCGCTGCGCATAAGAAGTGGACTTTTTTTAAACCAGTGTAAAGTCACCTGCTGGTTCTTGTTTTACCACTCTGAAGTGTTTGAGTTCAGCTGGGTCTCTAGCTTGGTTAAGAGTCACTGTGATTGCAACTTGTGACTCATGCTCTGAATTATTTCAGTTTTTCTCAGAACAAGACCACCAGTCTAAAAAAGCTGCATAATGCTGCTTTGAAAAGTTTTTAAACTAAAGATTGAGACCCTGAAGCCATCAGAAAAATGTTCACTGATATGAGAAAGCAAACAACAAAAAAGGTCAAAGATGTCTCATCATGAAAATGTTTGCTACAAGCAGAGCCCCCTCTGCTGGCCACAGGAAATAATGCAGGTTTGAGTGTTTTCTGCAATGAAATCATGTTTGAAACTACCATTTCTCAAAGATAGTGTATGTTTTTGACAGAGAAAGTGTTTCTCACTTTGGTGAAAACCTGTCAAAACTACAGCCTCTATGTTGTCTATGAATATTAAACTACAGCACGTGGATCATTGTCTGAGTTTAAATTTCAGATACATGATAATGATTGTTCATAAAGCTCTCTGGAACAAGAGTAGCTCCTCATAAGTAGTAGGGGTGGGAATCACCAGTGGCCCCACGGTGTGATATTATTCAGTTTTTAACATTTTGCAATAGTGAGTATTGCAATAAAATATCTTGCGATTCATACAACTTTTTCAACTGTTCAGCTAATTTAGCATCTGTCTTTCCTTTATGTTTGTCTTATTTACACAGAATTTTATTTTCATGTAGCACATCTTGCAAACCTTATTTATATTTGTTGTACTAACTTTCTCCTGCTCTGTGATGTCACCTCTGCCAACCTCACTGGACAAACAGTTGATTTTATTTTCTACATTATCATAGATTTGACTTCTTATTAACAATTAATTTGAAAAAATCTATACTTCGTAAATGAGATAATACGATATATCACCAGACAAAATATCTCAATACTATGCGATTATTTCTCCCACCCCTAATAGATTAAATAAAGTTATGCAAATTTTTTAGAATCATCACATTTTGCCCCTTACAGTAAAACCTAGAATCTGCTAACAATAGAAGTAATTAACAAACTACCCCAGCTCTACAAAAGCTCCTAAAGATGAAAACTGCCCAGGACTACAGAAAAAAGATTTTTAAGGAGATACTTAAGCTGAGGGGGAAATGGTTATACAACTCAGAGAGCACACGATGCACACATTCACTGAGTACATTTTAAAAATAGTCAAACTAAACCTTGACTTATAAAGAGACTGGGGTGTGTAAAATACTCATGTTAAAATACCAAAATAGTTTTGGTCTATATTTTTCTGTACAAGGGTGGACAACAACTTTAACAGGAAAACTACTAACTGAAAGGTCTTTGTACTAGAAACAGTTCAGTCCCAGCTGTCTTCTGTGAGAAAACAAACCAAGTGCTGTAATCAAATAATGATGAAAGCATATTGCTGTGAGTGATTAAAATCAAAGTGTTTGAGAAAGGCAGAGTTGTATCTTACTTCGTCTGTTTCATTTGGGAAGTGGATTTTATGGAAGATCTCGTTGCTGTTCTGCTGGATGGCATCCACCTCAACCATGTGTGGAGGAAGCTGTCTGGGCTCCTTACTGAGGGAACAAAAGGGTCATTCCAAGACAGTCAGTTTATTTATTTGACATAATGCACATTCAAATACAATTTACCCTTCTTGGTTGACTAAGTCTGACCAACAACCACTGACATCAACCCTACGCAGTATGTCACACCCCACTCTCTACTCCACACTTGACATGTCTGTTTTCAGTTGTGCTATCCAAAGAAGGTGTAAAAAGACCCCAAAATTACTTTGAAAGCTACATTCATTTATGTACAAGACACCTTTCATAAATTGAAGTGATCTTCACTCCTGACAAAAACAAAACTCAAAGACAAAGCCACTGAACCTGCCATCTTTTACTATGTCTGTGATTGAGTTTTTACGTTGGTAGACTAAATCACTGGCATGTCTTTACTTGTGAGGCAATTCTCAACTTGCTTCCCTCTTATTTATAAAATTTAATTCACTTGAAAAATTTCAGAAGTTAAAGTCTTTGGTCTGTGACTCAGACACAGGACTCTGGTTTGCAGATTGGAATCTGCTGCAAGAGACTTTGGATTTGAGGGAGCTGGTCTCCCAACATGTTTTTTAAGACCAGATTAAAAGTGTTGGTGGAAGATGCATCAGGCTGTACATGATGGTTTCTGGAAAGATGGTTTCTGTGATGCAAGATACGTTAACCAAATGTTTAAAATAATGTCTAGTATGTTTGTAACTTTGATTCCCTATTTCAATTAGGCTTTCTTGGTTAAATAAAAGTATTTTTAATTTTTTTTTCAGACTGACCTGAGCATTGCCTTCACCCTCTGCAGGCAGATGGCTGACAGATGATCTTTGGGTCGAGACTCCAGGAAGAGTTGAGTGTACATCATCAAAGTTGGACTGGGTGGAAACAAACCTGTACACAGCCACATCAGCTGCCAGCCACGGTCCACACTCAACCTGAGAAACCATTCAGAAGGTTAGACATGTTGGCCTTCAGTTTAGTCTTTAAACATAGGATTAGACTCTGTGAGATCACCTGTTGTTGTTGTTGGTCATCTGTCTCATAATCTGACAGTAGATCTCATCCCGCAGTTCCTGATGCTGAGTGGCTGGACCAAAGATTTGATCAGTCAGCTCTAGAGGACTGCGAGCATGTTTGATGGGATAGTCGCCCATGAACTTCAGGATAGGTATCAGCTAAGGTTAAGGACAACAGTAGGTAGGGTCTGACATTGTATTTTTACATGTTCTGGGCACATTTATTAAAAACCGAGTATCCAGGCAGTTTCATATCGGTAAAAAACTTAAAACATCGACTGCACATAACGATGGACAATGTGTCACTACTTCCTCCTGTTGTACAAAATCATATCCCATTGAAGGATGCCAACATATTTATGGAAGCATCACAATAGTGACATGGTTAGCTACCTATAGAGAAAAGTAATATTTAAGATAAAACAGCCAAGACATTTCTGGTCAGCACAGTCTACATCAGGGTCAGAAACTGGGGGCTAAAGCCAGTGATGACTTCTGGCCCACAAGATTACAATAAGGTAAGACCTATTTCTTTATTTTTCTGAACAACAACACCATGACGATCAGTGATGGACGCAAACGTTCACATCACAGGTCAGTGCGTGAGCAGCCCTGCAGACTGTGGACAGCTCCTGGTGCTGAAATAAAGGCTCGATGAATGGCCTGTTTCACTGTGCGAGCATCTGAGATGACTTTAGGCACACTTGTCATTTTGTGTTGAGATGTAAGGCCTCACATTATGATCCTGCTGCTGTGTATATAGATTGCTGTCAGCACTTAAATTTTGTGCTTTAGTGCTTCTGTCTGAAGCAGAAATGCTACCTAATATAAAGGTGCCATGCTTTGTTTTTGGATGTCTGCTAAGCAGGGGAAAAGCAATAATTCAGAGAAGAAAAGTTTCTTTAACAATCATTAGAATAAGTTCAGCTCCAGTTCTAAGAAGAAGCACCCTGCTATTTATAAAAAATAAAAAAAAATGTAGGCCTTTTACAGGAAAAACAAAACACAATTTATAAATCTTTCATAACTTGTTTGTTAGTGATTAAATACAATCATTGTAAAAAAGAGGCTATATAAAATAAAGATTTGATTCAAATTTTAAATCTGTAGTTTGACCCATGTTCCATCTGTTAACACAGAGGGAGAGAGAGATGCATGAAAAATACTGCAGCCTGTCAGCAGGGGGAGCTCCAAATCTTTGGCTTCAATTTCAGGAAGCTGTCAGTTGTCCATCACTTTTTACAGTCTGATTTTATTCTTGAAGCAGCCGACATTACAGCTGTACTTACACCAGGGTTGTGAGTGGAAAGGTACTTGAAATTGTCAAAACAGAAGCTTTAAAGGATATCAGTGAAGGCGTTGCAGGCCAAGTTGCTGAGTTCAGATTTGCGGTACAGGCTTTTCAACAGTGGCTGTTTGAGAGGCTCTTTGGTACAAGCCCACAGCTTCTCCCTGGTGACTCCTCTAGATGCACCCTGTCGACCACCATCTTTACCTGTCGACCTGTGAGAGGAAGGAAAAGGAGACTTGACATTCTTTTTCTTTTATTTTGCAACATCTAAAAGAACCTGAAATTTTTTGGTAGTAAAAGTCTTTGTATGGATAACATGACCACAAAGATCCTTTGTCAAACTGACCACAGGGGGTCTACTAAATATTGAAGAGGAGTCAGGTGATGTTCTTACCTGAAGTTCTCCAGTGCAAACTCCTTTAGGGAAGCAGGAGCTACCGTCCCCTCTCGCTGTGGGGCAACTTGTGTTTGTGAAGGTCTTCCTGAGCCTGGACTGAGCAGCTTCTGCAGGGACAGAGGAAGTTCTTTAGTTACACCACAAGGGGGGGGCCCATGCAAACATAACTCACTGGTTTCTCTCTTTGAAAAACACTGAGCAGAAACTATTAAAGTCTGTTGTGTAAATGTCACTTTACCAGCATGTCTTCAGACGGTTCGTTGAGTGTTGGCAGAAACTGCACAGAGTCCATGTGAACTGTCCCTCTGTTGCTGGTCCGCTGGTTAGTTGCATTGATCAATTTATCTTTAGGAGGATAATCTTTCTCCTTCTCCACCAGCAGCAGGTCTCCACGTTTACAGGCTAAGAGCTTTTGGTCACCTGGAAGAGGGATAAAAAAAAAGTTCCTAAGCTTTGCACTTTAATATGTGGTAAGTGGAATAATACGGACTCGAAGGAGCACTTACCTTGTTTAGTGGTATTTTGCTGAGCCACAGCAAACATTGAGCGCTGTCTTAGCCCCTCCAGGTTTTCCTCTATGAGAGCTGCCATGTCTTCAGCTTCAGCAGACTTCAGGACAAAAAGTCCTTTGACTGTGGTCAAGCTAACAGACTGAGCGCTCACATTGTCCTCTCTAGATGAATCAAAAACATCACTTTTACTGATCAACACCCTCCAGGGCCTTTATCAGTCACTGCTTTTACACTCAAGCATTTGTTGATTCTTGTGTAGAAATGCATTTATACTGCTGTATTACAGTCCTCATCATGACTATGTGTATTCATAACAACTTCTAGCAATGTTTTTAAGGTTTTACAAGCAGTGAGCATTATGCCCAATGGAGGTATAATTTATGGAGGATTACACCACAATAACATTGGCGTCTTCTGAATTCTGGATTTTATAACACAAAACTGCCACAACTTTATCTCATTATCAAGTTTCATAGAGAACAATTCAATGTACCACAATAAGTTAGAATGTCTTTGGTTTTCAAAAGAAAGAATGTCTCATTACTGCTTCCAATACAGCACAGCATGACTTTAGGCACTTTGAGTGAAGTGACAGCACTGTATGATATCATTGACAGTTATATATCTGACTGGATAAAGTCAGAAAGGACTTAAAATAAGTTATAAAACCCATAATTCAAAACATGCTTTTGTTAGTTTTGCAGTTTTTACCTTCAAAAGACGTTATATTTACTGCTTGTAAAACTTTCTAAATATTGCTATAAATGTGCCTAATGTTTATTGTAGCTTATAAGAACTGTCATAAAGCTTTATAAATACATTTATGTGGTTGTAAAAGTGTGTTTACAAAACATTCATTTAAAGTGTTATCCAATACGTTCTGTTGAAAATAATGAATAAATGAATCAAATAAATACATTTCAAAGCCAACTTTAATGATGGGTTTGCTTTTTCATTGCTGAGTCTTTTTATTTGACTTATTTCCACTTTTTTTTTAAATTTCCACTACTGCCTTTACGTTTCCTTCTTTTACTGTTATTTTTGGGTGTTTTATTATAGCCTTTACCCTGTCCTCCACCCTGCTTAATTTTGAATCTTTTTTTCTTCTCTTGTTGAAAATTCACAAGGATGACTAAAGGTACAAGTATCTTTACCTAACCATTCCAGTGCAGGCTAGCACCTTAGTTTAGTACAGATACATTCTCAAACAATAAAGTCTAGAAATGCAGAGTGTTTAAATACAAGGTTCCCACATGGATCAGAAAACAGCAACACACTACACACAGTACGCACAGCCTGATTTATCTTTGATTACTTCCAAAATAGTAATGCCAAAGTGAGATGAACAACCTTTCAAATAGTCTTGGGACAGGATGCGACTGTGTCTGTCCATGCTGTTTGTGTCATTATTGTTCTGAATATCATGTTTTTGCTCTGTCTTGTGAAATTTTTCTGGTTAATCTTGTTTCATAAGGGACTTAATAAATAAAATAACTATGATTTACATGACTGTAATGTTCTCAATACCTCATCAAGCGTATTTCCTTTATTCCTAGATAAGGCAGCTCAAGAAGTCTCCTGTCTCTCCCGTCCGCGAAAAGGACGCTGTTCCAGTTGACCGCCACAAAAAACCTGCTTTTGGGAAGAGGAGGTCCTGCAGAGAGAAGGGAGGGTGAAACTGTTTTAGAAAACTGGTTGTAAACAGTGTCTGTTTTTCAAATTGTAGCTAATAATAAAGAGTCTGTGATGATGGAAGGCAATGTGAGGTAAATTACAGGAACACAACACGAATGTGTGACACTACATACATGTTTTACAGATGATGTGCTGATTGAGAAAAAGTGACAGCCTTCTTAGATAACTTTAATATTTACAGTTGTACAAGAACCCAAACTCACTGAAAAATAAAGTTTAACTCGTATTTTGACTGACCTGACATCATGGTGACGTCATAAAACTTGGAAAAATAAACAGGCCAAGATTGTCGGGCATGGTCCACCAGTTCTCCTTTTACACTTTCTGCTTTTTTCTCCCCTCTGGCATAAGTATCCTGTACAATCAGAGGGTAAGAAATGACCTGATACAGAAACTGCAGAGGAAGTAAATACCCCTAAAACAGCTATGACTGAGGACACTGAAGGTGTTTATGTAAACTGTACCTGTGAGAGCGCTTCACTGACGAGTTGCACCCAGCGCGTCTTGGATTTGTTCTCGATAAGTGGTGTTGGGATGCACTCGTCCACGACCCTCTCCACGTTATCTCTTTTGTTAACAGAGCCAAACTGGGTGTAATAGTGCCGTGCTGCCATCTGGACGTATTCATCCTCCTGTGATAAAACAAAACAAACAAAAAAAAGTCTGCTTCTTTTTTTTTTTTCTATTGTAATTATGTCACATTTTTCTCTTTATTCAATCTGTATCCCGAGTAAGTCCCAAACTTGTTCCGTAAGGACATCAGTTTGGGGAGGCTAACCACAGGCTGGTATCTTTACTGTGTGGGTCATGCTGTTTTTGTTCAATGTATTAAGGATTGAGATTTAAAAAAAAAAAAAGGTTACTTTCTGCCAGTCAGAGATGAAGATGTGTCCGTGTTTGTATTGCATTTCTGGTCCTCACCTTCTCACTGGTATACTCTTCAGACTTGATCCCCATGATGAACTGCCTGTAGATCAGATCTGTGCTGGTCTTGTCCTCTGAGCAGTCGTGCCAGGGTCTGAACAGTTCTTTGCGGATGGAGAGCCTCCAGGGGGTGTCCTTTTCCCTCCGTCCCTGCCTCCTCATCTCTTGCTCGCACTGAGATATGGCATCCAACACGTGGTTCCCACAGCTGCCCAGAGACCACATCTAGAGATGAAAGGAGATTGGTGTCACATGTAACAGGACCTCGATCCAGAGTCAAACCGACAACCAAAGTATAAAGATGGTTTAAGTGGGTGAGATGAGAAAGTAAGGTTCACCTTGTCGAACATGCTGATGTACAGAGAGAAGCCGTACGTGTCTCTGAGATCGATTTTGTCAGCCACAGCTTGACAGACCTCAGCTGAGGTGGAGGCTGAGTCCAGACTTACACCGATGAAGCGACCATCCGTTATAGCCACCTCCAAGTTCAAGGACTCCTTGGACTTGGCAGCCTGTCGGACAAAGGGATAAAAATCAGGACCAAACAATATTCTGATTTTCAGAAGTGGCTGCTGTGAGGTATTAATAACAGAGAAAGAAATGTGATTCAGAGTCTCTACCTGCACTTCCAACCAACAGGGCAACTCTTTCCTTTCTCCATTGGCTTTAATGCGTCGCAGGCGCTCAGTACAATATTCACCATAGCCACTCGGCCCTTTGCGGACAAAACACTCCAGATACTGCAGCAGAGAGCATAAAACAGAAAATTAAACAGAGTGCAAATTTAGATGTAAACAGGAACTTTTCCTACAAATATAAAAACATAATTGCAAAATACTGCAATCCAACATGTCTAGCAAGGTCCCACGTTTTGATAATGACAAAAGACTTCAGCACTTTTCTGGGAATCATGTGATTAAATACAGAGTTTTTTCTGAAAGCTGAAGGGTCTTAAACTTTTTCTTTACAGGTAAACTGAGAAGTTTAATGCGTGAATTTTCTCTCAGTCTTTTTTTAGAATTTGTAAAGGGAGCTGCTGACATTTAAGAAAAAGGTATACTGGAACAAAAATAGCAGTTATAACCATAGTAGTTGTCTTGTTATTGAAATATAAAAAACTAGTGTGTAATACTAATAAGTTTTGGTTTCTTCAAATTAGAACAGTTTTTAGAAAACCAAGCCCAAACAGCAGAGGAACAAAAGCTGACTTGATTTATTGGAAATGGTGTGAGTCAAGTTCTAACAGCAAATTAAAACCAAACATATAACTTACATTTCTTACAAATAGTACATTTGTTGTGGTGAATAATTTAAAAAAGAAGACCAGCTTAGATGAAGTGTCTCCAGGTGGTAACATGAATCAAGCTCTATCATTTCTTTGGTCTGTTCCTTTATTTGGATAAAGTCAAGTGTAACTTCTTTAATTTTCTGTTTCTTTGAATGAGAATCTTATATATTTTTTTTTCCAATACATAGTTTGAAAGATTTAAAATGTACTTAAGTTGATATAAAGTAGGGGAGACTGGGGCTTGTTGTTACACTTTTTACACTCATATATTTCTTGAAATCAATACATCATATATAAACAAAATGTGAACCAGATGAAAGACAAAAGTCTCAGGTATATATTCCGTATTCATGTCATTTTCAAATATCGTCTCAGTGCAGAGTTATTAGCAATCAGAGTGTGTGAACATGTGACATGTTGCCCCACAATCAGGTAAGTTGTCTCACTACATGGGGTAAAATGTCACAGTGGATTTTGCAGCTAATAAAACAAGGGCATGTTGCCCCAAACTACCATGTTTGCTAATTCTAGCTTTAGCTTAAAGTTAGCTTAAAACAGAAAAATGACTGAGGTATGACAGGATGTCTTAATCTCTCCTAGTAGAGATACTAGTAGAAAACTAGTATTCTACTTTTTATTTGCACCCTTTGATGGCAAAGATAATTGCAATGTGAGAATTTACCCATGTGACAACAAGCCCTGGTCTCCCCTAGATGTTGTAACGAAACCAGCACATTTGACTATTCTGATAATACTGACAAACAGGGATAAAGGTTATTTTGGTGTTTATCTTTTTATTTGATCAAGTTTACAAAGTGTTTTCAGTGATACCTTATCTTATTCTTATCTTATCCTGATCATATCTAAAGAGCAGAGAGGTGTGAATTGTTTTGAGAAGTTGTGTTTATGTCTGTGTTTCGTCATCCTGATGGCTATCATTGATAAAAGCAGAGGACACCTTTCAAAGTGATAGTGTTACATGGGAAAGAGTTACCTGAGGACAGATGGGGTTTTAAAGAGAGGGAAGCTTTTTTAGATGTACACCCTTAAATAAAAGAGCACTCTGTTGATTTCAAGCTGCAGACTGACCTTCATGAAGTGATCTGTTGGGGGAAAAATCCCAAGACAGATGGAGAGGAGAGTCCAGCCGAGCATCCGACTCCTCCTATTTCTGTTCTCCACCAGCTGCTTACAAATCTGGCAGTAAATCTCGTCTCTGCACGGGTAAACAATTCATATTCATCACATTCATATATTAATCATTTAATTCATACATTTTCATCGGGTATTACTTTGGAACCACAAAATATCTTTTTCCCCCATAAACACCACTTGGGGTAAGCTGTGTATCTTATCATCACAGTTGAAACCATACATCATCTCTACAGGTCAATTTTAATGGCAAAAATGATTAAATAAGGTAGTACAAAAATGTTACTTTCTTTTGACAATTTTAGCACATATCATTTTTTTATGATGATAAATGAAGAGGGGAGAAATCTGATGAAAGTCAAAAGGTATACCCTTTGATTTTAACATCGGCTTCAGACAAATATTAGATGTATAAAAACTACTGTCTGAGATATATACAAGTATTTCTGGTATTTCTATACTCTTTTTATTAATGTATTTATTTTACTCTTTTTATGACTTTCTTTGCAAAGAAATATGAAAAGATACAAAGATCATTCACTGGGTATAATATATACCCATAATATCATCTGACTTTAGCAGATAGAACGTCTTTACATGACTCATTAATGGCAAGATGGTTTCACTTTGTTAAGGAAGGCAAAAGGAAAAAAAAAACACTTATATTAGATATATCTACATTTACAAAGCTGTATTGTGTATGTTCATTGGACACACACACACGCACACACACACACACACACACACACACACACACACACACACACACACACACACACACACACACACACACTCACACACACACACACACATTAGTTTAATCAGTCTGAGCATATTTTTGTGTGAACAGTTATCTCATTCTGACCTTATGTCTGGTCTGAATAGAGCATATCCAATGATAATGTTCAGCTTCTCCTGAGATGTGAGGTATCGATGCAGTTTAGGACCCTCTCCAATCATTACGCCCTCCTCCTCGGTCAGCTCCTCCGGCTGGTAAAGGTGAAAAAAGATAATAATCAGCATGAAACAGACAGAATAAATCAACACATACATGATGATTTATTGGTGAACATCATCACAGACCTCCTCAAAGATTGTAGAAGTTTTTCGTCCACCCCCAGGCTTTTTCTTGTTTCTCCTCAGAAATTTCTATTTAAAACGACATAAAAGGATATGAAAGGCATAGTTAATGAACCATCAATCTATAAACCATACAGGCTTTATCTTGCATCACTGTTTCAAAGTGCTTAACACAAACATTTCCCTTAACACACACACACACACACACACACACACACACACACACACACACACACACACACACACACACACACACACACACACACACACACACACACGCATGCACACTTGCCCATAGCATCAAACACTTAAATTACAAATTAATAATACATAGGCAGTAATAAAAATCAATTATGGAAGCATTTAAAAAAGACACATTAAAGTATCGATTTAGGAAAATAAATGTGTCAATTTACAGGGAGGAAAAACCAAGACCAAAGGGAAATATAATAAGACTCCTATTTTAAATTTAGAATACATATTGTGTGATACAAAAACAGTGAAGAAAAAACAGGCAGAAAAGAAAACATAAGGAAAAAGCCCAAGTGAAAAAAATGTCACAACAAAAGGGAACACAAATATCCTCCTATCCCTTTCTCCTCCATCAACTTAACTCCCAAAGTGGATCAGGGGGGATGTCAAATGTTGTCAAAGTACCTCAGTTTATGTGCTCAATACAAGGGCTGCTACTGTTTTTCCTCTAAAACAGTGGAACTATTTATTAAAGGGGTGTTGTAAATGTGGAAAAGCATGATACCCCTCCTTTTAGTGTGCAGCACATGCTGGTGAAATTAACTGCACTGGGAAAACGGATCAGAAATTCTAAACAGCATCAGAAAAGAGTTAGGTGCAAGTATTCTGAAATAATTTGGAGTATTCTTGTGGGAAAAGTGGTCAACTGACAATGGTTAACATCACTGTGTAACTTCTGGTTCTGGCGTAATGAAGCCTGTGAATAATAAGAACCTGAATAAAACAGCGCTTGGAGTTGGTGAAGTGCTTGTGAATTTTCTCAAGACGGTACTTTCAGCTATGAAATAAGCTCCAGTGTTTATTGTGTCTTAATGCCCTGCACAGTAAGTAATGTGATTTCTAGTTCTGTTATTTCATTCCCCTTTGTTTTTGATGGAAAATTGAAGACAGGGGTTGAGGCTACTAAAAAGTTTCAACAAAAAAATCTCGTTTTGTATCTCTAAAACTGGAGACCCCATAAACAAAACCTGCCTGAAACCTCCACACACATCTGTTTGACTTTGTTACCTGGTCCAGCCCCACCAGACTGCTCAGCCTACGGCCTCGCCTGGGAGTCATAGGACTTGACAAGGTGCTGGACGCCAGAGAATGGGCATCCTGATTTTTTGGCTCTGGCATGTCCTCCATGTAACGCAGGATAATCCAGAAAACAGTCAGACACGCCTGAGGGAAATGAGAAGAGGTACTACCAATAAGATTCAGTGAAAGATGGATCATGTCCTTCACACAAAAAAACTAAACAAAAAAAAAAAACAACACTATTTTCTTCTTACCAGAACATCGCCCTCATCATCATGGTGCAGGAGAGGCTCTTTAAGCCTTTGCATGATGTGCTTGTGTGTGGCGTCGCTCTGGAATCTGAACTTATGGAAAGCAAACTCGTCATTGTCTTCATCAAACTCATCATCGGTGTCATCCTCTTTCAGTGACGGTGCTGGTGTCGGTGACTTTGAAGATGGACTGATGATGATCTTAACCTGCTCAACCACTTCGCTCCTCCTCTAAAAAAGCAAAACAGAATTTGACCAGAGGTTTAGTCATGAAAATACAACCAAGTGAAAGGTAATCATTCCTGTTTCATTGTCAGCTAACCTCAAATTTGTCTGTTTTTGATGTTTCCTGTTGGACCTCTTCGACACGAGGAGGGGGTACAGGGTCATCCGAGCTTTTCTCTGAATTATCATCCAGCACATCCTCCTCTGTATCGTTTTGTGATTCAGCAATGAGAGACAGTCGGTGTTGAAGCTCAAAGCCTATTGGTGTTTTATTCTCCTCCTCCTCCTCAAAAAAGGGGTCTCGTGAGAAGGTCTGGTAGACAGAGGGTACACAAAAAGGAAGTGTAAAGAAGTCCACATGCAGAATACAGAATAAAAATAACAAATAACAGACATGTCCTCCCATTGGTTAAGTTACTTACAGTCTCACTTTCAGATTTCCTGCCATTCTTCGTTTTCACAGCTTTTCTTCTGGCCAGCACTCCTCTGGTGTGAGCCTGCAGCTTGATCGTTGCCCTTTTTTTCTGCTTGAAGTCCTTCCTTGCCCTGTAACCTCTTATCTACAGTCCGTCAAAAACCAATCATCAGTTTATTAAAAGACATAATTAAAACACTTGTAGCTTCCTAAAGTTTTTTTCTGTTGCAAAATGAAGTTATTGGAAATATCTGCTGCCCCTGTACATGTAACAGAACAGGTGCAAGGTCAAACAAATAGTAACGTTTGAACACATCAGTGACTCTTTAGAAACTTTTTAAAGTTCAAACACAAAGTTTAAATGTCTTATAATCACAATCTCACAAAAAAAAAAGTGTTTGTCATATTTCTGGTCAAAACATTACGTAATCCAAGATAAGACCCCATAGACCTGATATACAAATGTTGATATCTTGTTTAAGGTATCAGAAGACTTGATTTATTGACTGTAATAAATGAAAATGCTACTAAAACAGCAAGCAAAACCTTCCAGAAATAACATTCAATTTTGAGTAACACAATCATTTTCAAAGCAACTTTAGCAGCCATTCCTATGAGCTACAATTGGTTGAGTCCCCATTTGAATTGTAATGTAATGAATTGTAATAAAATGTACGTCCAAAGTTACTTGATGGTTTTGGTTTCTACCAATCTATGACATAATTGTCCAAAAGAAACACACTTGATACTTTTTGAGTTTCACAATGTTCAGTTTAAACTATACACAAATAAACACTGAACTTATTCTTAGTATGGCTGTGGCTACATTAACAGTTTTTAAAAGAAAAAAAAAAAAAGAATATGTGTTGTAGGTTGCAATTTGCCAGCAGGAGGGGGGAAGAAGCGGACCTTTGGGAGTTAGCTGTAGCCACCCTCTGAGAGATGTTTCAGCCCTCCTAACAACTGTCACACCAAGATTTACCGTAAATCCAAAAACAATGTTCCAGCCAACATTTTTACCATTCAACCTTCCTGTTGACAATTGACAATCTACCAGAAATACTATACTTGAAAATAAAAGCACAGTTTTAGCGTACAGGAACTAAATCACACTAAATGCAAGACAGAAAATTTCTAGAATAAAAGCCTGACAGAAAATTGTTTTAAGAAGCAATGCCCTCTTCAGAGAAGTTCGGGTCACATGGCTGGTAATATGGCCAAAGAATAAATTTCACAGCTACAAATCTTTCTTTCCTCAGCTTTACTAATAGTGCAGTTTTATTTTAAAGGTTTCCATGAACACTGCAATAACATCCCTTTCATGATATTTTATGGCCATGGTAATCATGATGTGACAGACTAGCAATATGGTGGCAGCCCTGATATATAGTACAGATATATATAGAACACAAAAGTGAATAAAGCCATGAATTTGTCCATCATTATTATTATTAAGTGTTTTTGCTATGTTGAGATACTGTTTGTATAGTTCATGTATTCATATACTGAAGTACATACCTGGCTCTGTATTATGATCGCTGCTTCTCGCTGCTTTTGGAAGTGGTGCTGAAGATTTCGGCTCTTGATCCTTGCTGTCAGCCGTTGGTAGCCCTTCAGAAGCTGGTAGGAGTGAGAGTTGAAACAAGGGACAAGGTCAGCGAAGTTGAGATAATATCCTTACTGTTGTTAAACTAGAGTTTGTTACATCAGCTACAATCTCTGAGTGTGATAAAAGTTAAGAGAGGCTCAGACCTTTCTTGCTGCTTCTTTTTGTTTGTAAGCTCTCCAGTTCTTCTGTAACACCAGCGCTGCCTTCCTCTTCTTCAAGAAAGACTTCCTACAAAATGAAGAAAAGCATGTATGTTCAGTTAAGACATGCTCGGACTTGTTAACATGATGTAAATAAAGATATGGTATTGCACCCATGTCCTCATTATATCACCTGTCTTTGTGTCCCATCATGACCCTCTGGATCACCACAGCTTTCCTGCCGAGTTCCTCTTCTCTAAGTCGCTCCAGGAACGCATCATGAGTGTCCTAAAATGAAGTATCAAAAAGAGACTTAATAAGAGTACATTTTAAATACTAATGTTATGGTCTTAATACAATTTCATATTGCTTGATTGTGATGTTCTGCCATGAAAAACACAAAAATATAAATACAAATATACAATAATTCAGAGTTTCACCTTCAAGAAAACCTTGGTTGTGCCAATTTTCCACTGGTCCTCTCCTTTAATCACCGTCCTGCAGATTGCCTCACAACAAGCTGCAGCTGACGTCTGCCGGGACAAGAAGAGTTTATTTGATGCTGTAAAAGTGCTTATGGCAATTCAAAAAGAAAGACAGTTAATGTTAATGAAATCTGTGGTGACATTTAGTTGCATCGATATCTACAACAGACATCTGCTTTGTTTTGTGAGGTAAAAAATAGACTACACCAGGACTGACAGTTTTGGGATCACAGATGGTGGTCTTCAGCAGCACCCTGTAGCGCGTCAGGAAGTCCTTGAAGGTGTGGCGGATTGGGTATCCCAGCTTACGGATGCGTATGGTGTCCATCATGCCAGAGTATCTCAGCTGACGCATACACAGCTCTCTGTCAAATAACTAGAGGAAAGCAGAGTACAGCAGTTGTTAATATACTAACACTCCGAAGGCAGAGTCACTTTTGTCCTCCTTCTTTAAAACTCCAGTAAAGAGCTCTCTGTTTGTGATGGTTTTTGCCCCCCTGCCTAACAAAGTGATATCACTGGTAGCTTTGCTGATATCATCCTGTGTTAATGTGAGCAGTGATTTCTGACAGAGAAAACTCAATCTCATTCTATTTTCTTTTGACAGTCGATTGTGCCACTCTTTGTCGATATTTGCAGTGGAAATATTTAAAAAATGTTTATTTCACGTGCTGGCAATCATGCAGTCTGACACCTACCCCCACAGCTGTAGTTACACGCTCTAAAAGTCACAGAGTAGAGAGTTTCAGATTATTCCCTGATGGTCATCTGATTTTGTTGGTCATAAAAGGGGCATTACTGTAAATGTCTCACAGCTCACTGTCATGTTTTAGTGAATGCAACAATCAAGAGTTTTTCAAGAAGGGAAAATAAAATCCAATTTGTGCGAAATAACTTACACACTTCAACGGTATGAAAACATTCTACTGCTTTTTATGTATATTATTAACCATGTGTATGATCTGAGTTAAGCAGGTTATAAGTCTAGTATGTGGTAATAAGTCACAAATCACAGAAAGTACAACTGCATGTGATGGGAATTTATTTCCCATGGATATTTGTAAATCAAACAGAGAAACCCTCAAATCAAAATGTTCAAAAGTTTTGTTTTAATTCAGTTTTAACCTTTACCAGTGTCATACTCAACTCCTTCTCACAGTAACCTGTCACTCACTGTCATGTCATTTCCTACTGAGGCATTAGAGCCCAAGACAATGACTTAAAGACAACTACAAAGTTATAAAGATTTATCATCAGGGAACCATGAACCTAGAAGAAGTCATCGTTGAGCCTTTTTTCAGCTGAAGTGAAACTTTGATCTTTCAGCAGCACAATAAGAAACCTCTCAGGATAACCGGGATAGGAGTTGTGGGAAAATTCATCCTCTGGGAATCATGAGTCTCTATATGTCACAATAATCCATCCAATAGCTGTTGAGATATTTCAATCTAGACTGCCAGCACAAACAATATATTAAGCGTGTAAGTAAGCAGGTTATATTTCACAGGAAATTTGCTTGATAACAAACAAAGAGAGGCTGTTGTTATCCTAGATGGTTACGAGGCTCAGAAGCAGATCGGAAAATTAATTTTACTCTTTACTGTTTAACCAAAGGTCCAAAAAACAATGAGAAACATGTATACTTGCTGATCCTGGTTTTCCACAAGCTCACCCTCTCCCTCATTTTATATGTTTATTGCATATAATAACAAATCCAAACTATAGCAACCATTATGTGTGTTACTCTGTTTTATAATTTAGCTGTAGCGGGTGTTGTGTGATTCACCTTGGACTGTTTTTCGTTGTTGGGTTTGAAGCAGCGAATGAAGAAGGGCTGACAGGCAGACAGAGCCTTCATCAGGGAGTCCAGAGACTGACGGAACTGACCGCTCAGCGTCGGCACTTGTTTTCGACCGTCAGTCTGAGCCTGTGCAGTGACAGAGAGAGGAAGTGAAGCAGATCAACTCAGCGTAGTAGTGGAAAGTGTCACAATAGTGTGACTATCAGAGCATGTCCTTAATGTTCCAGAAGGGTAACAAGAAATGTCCATTAAAACAGGGCATGCAATTTAGACATGTATAGGTCTTATGTGTACGGAAGAGGATTAGGGCCACTGAAAAAAAAAAAAAAAAAAAGAAAAGACTGATATAATTTTTTAAAATCATTATTCTGACATTAAAGTAAGAATTCTGAGAAAAAAAGTACAAACCCTGAGATTAAGACTTTTTTCCTCAAAATAATAATAATATTAATAATAATAATAATATATATATATATATATATATATATATATATATATATATATATATATATATATTTATTAGACCTTCTTTTTCCAGTGGCCCTAATCCTCTAATCCGTATTCATGAGGTATGACATTTTGCGTGATATTTTGCATTAACAAAAAAAAGCAATACTGTCCTCGTCTCTTTGATATTACATTTGAAAATGAGGATTTTTCAGGTATGTTACAGGATGACACTACATGACATATGATGTGACAAGAACTCTGAAGGAAACTCTAAAAATAAAGAAGATTGATATAAATGTATGAATAAAATCCAAAATCTAATGAGACTGTCGCTTCATACCCGCAGGGAGCTCTTCGGTGTCATGATGATCTTTTTGTTGTTGCTGATCTTCACTCCATTTGTCGAGAGCTCAGACTCAAATATCTGACGGAGCACCTTATTGGTGGAGACATCGATCATCTTGATGATATCAGAGCTGACAGCGTCTCTGTTTTTTTCCAGAAATCCTTAATAAAAACAATAAAAACATCACTGAGCTCCTCACAGAAGCAGCAGCAGACTTTGAGCTCGTCATTAGACTTTTCTGTGGTTTACTCCCCTACCTTTGGAGTCGTATAAAACCATGCCAGCAAAGTGGCGGATGCCGAAGTCAGTGTCATACTGGCCTTTGGAGGAGATGTAGGATTTGTTCCCAGTGTGTTGCTGGTTCATCTTGTTCAACATTGTGGAGTCTGTACCCTGTGAGGTATCAAACAATCATTATGTCATAGCATGATACCTGTATTGGCAGATAATAGCTTAAAAAGTTAAAAATCATATTAGCAGGTTTAAAATGTCTGCAGATACAACTATTGCTTTTAGTGTGTTGAAATAACACATCAGATGCATTACATTCAGGCTGGTTCAGGCTTCAGCCAATTCTTAGTTGCACTGGATAGGCAGCCTGAGCTACTGACTTTCCCCCCTCTCTAATCTGCCTTTAAATCTTCCTGTCCTGCTCCCATATACAGTCCCTCTGAATCACTGCTGCCAGCTGCTGAGGACCTGCCGGACTCCAGCTGCCGCAGCTAAACCTGTCTAACATATATATTATTAATGTCTATTTGCTATATGTCAATCTTTAACCTGCTTGACCCGAGATGCCATCAATAATATCCCTCCTACCTCTATTATCATCCTCATGATCATAAATGCTCATATAAGTCCTATTTACTTTAAGTGTCGTTAAAGTCAATCTATCATTATTACTTCACTGTAAATAGGGCGTATACTTAAACCATCACTCTTTGCTCTGTTACCTTAAGTCTGCATGAACTGCTGGTGTTGTTTGTCCCTATATCTTGCTCTTGTAATACAATATTTTGAGACAACAACTATTTTGAATTGGCTTTACATAATGATTGATTGAGTCACTGAATTGGAGGAAAATCAACATATCATAGCTCCGACACCTTTGGAAAATGGCTTTCCTCATCAATCAGAGCCAGCAGGTTACAGGGCTGTCCAGCCAGCAGGTCCAGGATGTTCTGATTATCGCTGAACTTGATGTTTCTCCACACAATGTCCTCCTTCTGGTACTCCTTCTGCTCCAGCTTGAAGATGTGAGCCACAAAGAACTGCTGCAGCTTCTCATTGGCGAAGTTTATGCACAGCTGCTCGAAGCTGTGAGGACAAAGTATTTTATTGTATATATTTATCAATATTATATGAATACATCATAATTGTGTTTTAGTGGTTAAACATGTAAGAAAACCTCCTGACCTGTTGATGTAGAAGTTCTCAAAGCCAAAGATGTCGAGCAGGCCGATGGACAGGAAGGAGGATTTGGGGCTTTTGATCAACCTCTTATGGATTACGCTGTTTATTTTCTCAACAATCCAGATGAACAGCTTGTTGTAAATTGCCTGAAAATTTAATGCAAAGAAGTTTCTGAATATACAAAAGCAAAATAAGAAAGGAAAGACTTTTTTACAACTTATCTTCTATGAATTCATCTTTGAATATGACTGATCCATTATAATGATCTTTTTTATTGTTTCAGCTCAAATAAAAACTGATGTAATCTATCATATTTCATAACCCTAATAAATGACAGTTTTGAGATTTATTACATGGTATTCAAAATAGTTGACTACATAAAAGAGTTAAGCCTTTTCTGTCAGGGCTCCTCGACTTTAGAACGCCCTGCCCCAGGAGATAAGGCAGGCTGAATCAGTTACATCTTTTAAATCACATCTTAAAACTCACTTTGCTTTTACATGATGTCTTTACATAAAGTATAATTTATTTATTTTACTGCCTGCATACCTTTTGTTTAACATTGTCAATCATTTATATTATCATTATTATTAATTTTAGTCCTGTTTTTAACATTTTCTGATGTTTTAATATACTACCTCCCTTTTCACAATTGCTCTTATTTTACCTTATCTTATTTTGTTATCTATGTATTTATTTGTTTTCCTCTTTTATCTGTCCTCTATCCACCTTCTTCCTTTTCACCTTCCTGATGTGACGCCATCAACCACCAACCGCCAATCTTTAACTGTCAATTTTCCTTTGTCTGTTTCGGCCTTTGTTTGCTTCTTCTGTTAAAGCACTTTGTAAACATCTGTTTTTAAAGGTGTAAAACTAAAAGCTTTTCATAAAAGTTTTATGAAACTTTTTATTAGGATTATGCTGAATTTTCATTTTTCTCAGGTTTATACTTTTTATTTTGTTTTTGATCAAACTGTAGGGAACCCAAATAAGCACAAACTAAATTCATGTAATAACACTGTAACAAGTAAAGGAGTCCAGGGAGGGTTTGTTTCTTAAAAAAATCACTGTACATGTACAGAAAAAGGTATAAAATCCCCTTATGCTGAATTAAAGGCACACGCTTCCTTATAAAGTGGTAAACAGCATTTATAGAGTTAGGCTCCTTTAATCCTGGGCCGATATCTAATAAGGAAGTACAGTCTGACTTACTGGCAACCAAGTAAAACATTGTTACCTTGACAAAAGCGTCCCTACAGTCAGACGCCTGCTCAGAGCTCAGAGGTTTGATCATCCTCTCACTGTTTGTCATGATGGAGCGATGGGTCAGACTCGCAGCTAGAGATGACATCTCGACCTGCAAATTAAGACAAAACCATCATAGTTTAATGCTAAAAAAAGATAAGGATTTCATAACATGAAGTAATGAATGACACAGTAAATATTCACAGAAACAGTTAGAAAACTTACCTGCAGCAGTGAGGCTGCAATGCTGAAGTGCTCTGATTTGCTGACGTCGCTGGATTCCAGGTTGTTTTGAGTGTTTGCTGGTTGTAACAAACAATCAGGTGTAATAAGAGCAACAACAACACAGTCATTTATTCATTGTGATACAAAGCAGTCAGGGAAAAATTCAGTAGATTTCTTTTAGAAAAAAATACTTAAATACTTCGCTAGTTTAAACACTATTTCAAATTAGGCAAAAGGCAGGAAAGAGATCACAATATTGAATATGAAAATGTAAAAAGAACACACAAAAACAGAAAACATTACATTATTTGTACTAAATAGATCCTACAACGTAGAATAAATTATACTTAAAATTGAACATTTACATATATTTCATTTCCTGCAATTTAAAAGTAGTTCTGAATTTTTACATTGTGACACTGCTACCTTGATATTGCTGACTGCATTTTCAACTAGACTATAATTTTATTTTAAGTTTTTTTTTTTCTTTGGTTTGCAGCTGGTACTTAAACACAGGAAATACATAAAGCCCTGGACACTGTTAAACAACTAAACCAAAACACAAAAGTATTGGACTCAAAAAATGCTGATAAAACAAAGTCACCAGAACAGTATACAGTTGAGTTAAATTACATTATAAGCAGCGTCAGCATCAGTGTTTAGTCCAAAGCTGGGTGTGTTATCAATAATCCTTCCCAATAGTTATCAGTGATGAGACACAATCTCAACATCCTCATGCTAAATGACAGTTTGGGCTATGATTATCATATCTTTAGACACATTGATGACGCAGGTAAGAATCTTTGCACTTGCAGATTTACGGGTCAAAAACCAAAGACATGATCATCGAGCCCACAGCCCACTGTCAGCCAAATTATAACCTTATAAACAGTAAAGTCAGGAAATGCTTGTTATTATATTTATTGCACTATTTCAGCTACATGTTAAGATCCTTTCCCTTGCCTTGAAAGCAAATGCAATCATTGTATGAGAGAACTACTGAGGTTTTAAACGTTCAGATATTCTTTGACAGAGCACACTCACCCTCGAAGCAAACGTTCCCCAGGTGTAAGATTGCCGCCAGCAGCTTGAGGATTTCCTGACACTGGCCTTCGGAAAAGTTCAGGATTTTCATAGCAGAACGGATTCGCTTGTAGTCTTTAGCATCATTCCTGCTGTCACAGATGATACACCCACCCTGTAGCACATAGGAGGGAGGGTTTTGTTCATACACTTAATGGTTGTTTAAAGTGACTAATTGGGCGGTGGAAAAGATAACAATACCTGGGTCAGGAATCTGTATTCCTCAGCTTTTCCAAGGCTCAAAGTTTTCTTCTCTTCTTCTGAGACTCCAGCCAGTAGGCAGTAAAACATGTGGTAGTTCCTCTCCTCTGGGGACTGAGGGTGGAGAGCAAAAATGAACTGATGATGTGACAAAAATCAACTGACGGTGTAACGTCTTCATCAGTATAGAGAGAGGGCTGACGTAAGCCCCGCTAAAGACAGAGACCTGCTGTGCTTTTATAGGTTTATTTAACATACAGTATCTGCCATCTGTGAAAGATAAGAGGAGGTGAGATAGTTTGGATAAGCTCTTCACCTGATGGCAGACGCGAGATTTCTCCAGCAGATACTGCTCCACCCGAGCTCCTTCAATCACGCCATCCTTGTTGAAAAAGATCTCCAGATATTTCCCAAAGCGGCTGGAGTTATCATTTCGGACTGTTTTAGCATTTCCAAATGCTGTGAAGTAGACATAGAGGATATTTTTCAAACACTTATTCTAGATACATGTGTGTCATGACGAACGAGCAGTGAATGGGAAAAGGCACAAAAGTTATTCTTGCGAGTTCTTGTGGCTTGAATATTGAAACTGGTATATTTTCATCAAGATTTCACAAGGGAGTTTGTGACTTTGATTTGTAAGATAATATTCAGGGCATAATTTAGTAAATCTATTCAAATTTTTGTCAAAATTTGTCACTTAAAAGTCAGCGAACCCAATTTTTCTTCTTTAAGTGTCTCCCTTCTTTGACTTGTTAGTTTCATTTGCCATTATATGACATCATGTCCATCAGAAAACCCAGAGAGGGCGCGAAAAAAGGGCTTTGTTTAAGGAGACCAGATCTTGTCACTATGATGGAGTATCAAGGTCACATTTAAGAAGAAAAAAGGGGTTTTAAAGAAATATTTAAAATGTCATTTTTTTTACACGAATTAATCCATTATAAAACCATATTCTTCCAATAACATAAAATCCTGGAAAAGTCATAATATTACAAGAATAAAGACAAAAGAAAATCGAGTTGTAATGTTACAACATTAAAGAACAACATTATAAGACTTTGGTCATGATAAACTCTTTTTGGTTTAGAGCAGGCAGCAGCTGCCTGTGCCAAAATGAAATTGCTAAATTGTTCAGACACCTCAGCACCACACTGTCCTGAGTGTACGCTTTAACAGTGAAGTCAATTTACAAATTTGTAAATTATTTAAATTAACTTATTTAATTGTAACATATTTAAATTAAGGTTAAAAATATGTTCACAACATGTGTACAGTGAATTATTTACATTAAAAAAGTTATAAAAGTTATTTAAATTGTTTTGTCAATTTTCAATGTCAAAATATACTTTCTACAGCATCTTATAGTTGTGACCAAGTATGTTGAATGTTTTAATGATTTTTCATTTTTTTCTTTGCATAAAAAATCTATAAAATCTTTTAATTAAAAGTATTTTATGTGACCCCTATACTCCATCGTACATCACCTTTTTGTTTAACTTATCAATATTTATTTTAGGCAAGCTGAGCCACTTGTCAAAAGGTAGTTCTTCCCTCTCTACTGAGTGTAAGTGTTTGTGTTAAAGCAGTAGAGCTGAGTTCATGTCTTACCTTCCAGTATGGGGTTTGACTCCAGGATCTGTTTTTCGATCTGCTGCTCAGAGAGTTCACCACTGACCGCTGCCAAATACTGAAGGATCAGTTTGGTGCTCTCTGTCTTCCCAGCTCCTGACTCCCCACTGTGGCATAAATAAAGGGGTCATCCATGTGGTCGACATATATCATAGTCATCACCTGGCCTGCTAAATCTGCCTCTGCTTTTACATCTTTCATTCCAACCTGATAATGCAGCACTGGTTCCTGTAGTGACGTTTCATGTTACTGTGGCAGCTTTCAGCGATGCCAAAGATGTGTGGAGGAAGTTCTCCGAGCTTTCGGCCCTGATACAACCTCACCTGAAGAAAACAAACAATAAATTTACTGTGGTGTATGAGGAAGCGATTCCAACTTATTCAGGGCAAGAGTTAAATTTTATGGGCGATATGGTGAGTAACGGGAGACGTCTTTGATGTATGTTAGGACCTGCCTCACCTGCTCTGCTGAATATATGGGATAATCCATGTACGGGTTCACAGCGACCAGCACAGAACCTGTGTACGTCTAGAGATAGAAAAGATACATTTAGGATTATCTGCTGCAAATGGTGGAGTTTTTGTAATGGTCCTAAAAGGATACCGTCAACAAAATCACACAAAAAACATTTCCTGCTTGAGGTTTTAAAATGCAAGCCCCTGAATTTGAGTCCTCCTCAAACTGTTTTTAGCACACCGTATAGTAAAAGAGCCTGTTAAACTCAGATATGTAAAGATCTACAGCAGGTGCTGCCTACACCCTCTGACTCGTGTTTCTTTCCATTAACTATGTTTTACAGGACCTGACTACAGTCTGACAAACCAAAGACCATGAAATAAAGACAACACAGGATAAGTACAATGTACAGTCAAGTATTTCTACTTGCAGGCCTACAGTTAAACGATACCACAACTACAAGACGATTCAGCAGTGCTTAACAGGGATGGCAGTACAGAGCAGAAAACAGGATCAGAGTTGTAGAAAAATAAGTGTCAAAGCAAGAAAATTATATTTCCTTGACTGAAAAAAAATCACAGCTCAATCCATCGTCCATTATTTCTAAATTTTACAGTTACCTGCTTTAAATCATCTCAGTCCACCTTCAATACATATCAATCATATCCTTTTAAAAGTCTAATTCAGCTGAGTGGCAGGTTGTTTGTGTGCCTTACATAGATCTTTCCTTGTTTGTGTCGCAGCAGCAGGTTCCTGAGGACGCCGGCCTCGTTCATGTCTCCCAGTTTGATCATGTCCTCCACACCCTCCACTGACGTGGGATGCATGATCTTGAGAGAGGCCTCCATTTCTGGGGCCAGACTGTATTCCTGGGATCGAAACGAGAAAATAAAAAACACTTTCAGGTAAACGCAGCATGGATAATGCGACTCACATGAACATCATGCTTCATTGTTCTCATTTCTCTCTGGCAGAAATGAATGTTTACCTGTCCTTCATCATCCAACAGTAGCCTCTGGCCTGATGGGGTGACTTTTACCTTGGCTCCGATGGGTATCCCTATGACTGAGTCAACCCAAACCCACTCCCCCTTCAATACAGAGCATGGAGAACATGTTAATATATCCACCAAGGAACTGTCAAACTGCATCCAAGAAAAACTGAGTGATATAAATACTTAGGATCTATTCTTATCAATAAAATCCACACTCAAAAATCCACTCAGAGGAATAAGCAAACCTTTCTCAGCATCACCAGTTTGTAGCTTTTCTTCTCCCTAAACAAAGAAATCCAAAAGATGTCACAAAATTCAACAAAAGGAAACTCTCTCCTTCATGTGGTCAGCATTTTAAACAGATATCATAAAAATTTTCTCTACACCGTTCGGTAGATTGTTCAGAAAGAAAACTCACACCACTGAATAAGAGTCTGTACCCAGACAAATATAAAGACGGATAAATGTTACTTACACAAAATACTCGAGAGGTCTTCCTCAGAATTTCTCAGGGATGGTCTTCATTAAATCCCGCTATGGCAGCCAGCTGTAAAGTTGCTGTTTGCCCCGATGGCCTCTTCAGTCTGTCTTGTTGGAAGAGGAGGAGTAGGAAACACGGCTGTTCTGCTCTCAGGCCACTGACAAACTGTTTTTTATGGCACTTTGACTTTGAACCCAGTGTAATAGAAAGTAGGAGGAAAAGAAACTAATCACTTACACCGAGGTGTGTATCTATGTCGTCATGGAAAGGTGACATCCCGGCTTAGATGATCCCATTTGTTTCACCCCACTGTTGGGAAAACCTTTGAATATGTTTCTATGCTAAAGCAATAACAGCTAAATCAAACACAATGAAGGGCCTCTATATTAAAACAGAGTGGCCTTGATGAAGAAGGCTTCCCAGTATGTGTTGTAATGAATTTATGTGCCACCTTTGGACTCTGGTTGTGTAAATCAGAGATGACACTGCTGTGCATCTCTGTCTGTCACTGCAATAAAGATTAGATGCAACATCAGACTTTCATTTCTTTCTATTTAAGCAGTCTAGATTCAGCTATCTGTGCCTTGACAAAGTCACATTATGAGTAAACACTTTAGGGATTCTACGTGTAAATCTTCCAGTAATAACTTGTTAGAAAAAAATGTGCTAAGGGTCAGTGTGATATTAGGTACTGAACTTCAAACCTTTAGGGAAGCCTTCCTCTAATCAGGATATATTAGCTATCTAAACTACTGTATACTCAAAGTGGATTTAATCAAAACTCATGACTAGTATGGGAGTCTCTGCTTGTAAACTGCTGGCGTCAGTGTGTTCAGCTCTGATAAGGCATTCTCTGAAAGGAAGTCGCAGAGCTGGAATAAAAGCTCCCATAAACAGTGCACATGTGCAGCTGGGTTATGTTCCAAAGGTAAATCAGCTCCTAAACTCCAGACTATAGGCTACAGACTATAATACATGACTGTTCATGATGTTAGCACTGGTCTCACGCATTTACCTGATCTTTGACCACATTTTTTGATAGTGTTATGAAACCACTTCTCAAGCCTGGCATGATGGTAGCAGTTGTTTTATTTTTGAGTTTTTCTACATAGACACTGAATTATGTTTTTTTTTAATTCTAAAAACAAGAAAAGAAGATAATAAAAAGGCTATATTCTCTATTTTCTTTTCTTTTTTAAGAAAAGGGGGTTAATGGGTCCTATAGTGGTCAGTTATGCTAAGTAGCATGTGAGCCGTGGCTAATGTTTACAGCCATGAAATTCAGGCTTTTATATTCTTACTAATATTTCACTAAAATGATAATATGCTCTTTTTTCAAGAGCACAACAAAGGTCAGGACTAAAAGGCAGCATTATTTTTGCTTCTTTTTAACCACTATTTATTTTTAAAAAAATTTACACAAATTAAGATTAAAAACTGGATTTCTTTACTTTTTACCAATTAAATTTGATTTTAAGGAAATAAAAACCCTGTTTTCATTTATCTCCTCAACACATGAGGATTACCAAAGTCTTTGTGGTCTGATATATGAGGGCTAGCTTGTGTTGGCTAACGCTGGTAGTGACTTTCAGCTCAGATGAAGCAGCTAAGGTATGAAATTTTCTGTGTTTATAAAAAGGATTCCCACCATGGGCTCTTAAAACAAACTAATAATATAAAAAGAAAAAAAATAGTGGCAACATATTAAAATTAACTCAACAAGAAACTTAGAATTTGTGGAGATTTGTTAAGATTACTTAAAGGGTTTTTAAGGGTGCCTTGCAGTGAAAAATGGACCCTTGGTAGCCAGCTTCATGTTAGCTAACTTACGTGTTGGCTATGCAGTGTACAAGTGTACAGTTAGTTTGTCTTAAGTGAAATTGTACCCTGCAATGAGATAGCATTAGCAGTGAACGAAAGCAAAGATGTGTACCTTTCAACTTCAACTGTGAACAGAAAGAGGTTTGAAAGCTTATCATAGTTTACAGGATGATTTTCTTTCCTGTGTGCACTAATGCGACAGTTTCAGAAAAGTAGACAGAAGAAACTCCAAGATTCAAAATGTGGTGCGTAACACTTAAGAGTCCTCATCATGAAATCTGAGTTTTCATTCTTGACGAGAAAAGCTTATTTACCTGAAGTTATGATAAAAGGTGTGACTTTACAGTAACTGTCCTTAAACAGGTTGATATTCTTCTGACGTTTAACCTAATCTCATACTCTATAACACTACCTCTGATGTAACTCTGACGCAGTTGGCTTGATAGATAAATTATAGGCACTCCCTGATCACGGAGGCTGTGACTTACTGCCTGCATGTAATAAAAGCCTAACAAGTTATAAGGAACACTTTTGTTTATAAATGATGACAGGACTGATACCAAATGAGGAAAGAATAAAATTTACATCATTTAGTTTTATCTGTTTATTTTCCTATGGGCAAAGATGGGTATATATTGTTCAATGTGTTGGTTAGCAGAGTACATACGTCTTCTGAACACTGACCAGAATCAAAGTTATGATGTCACAGCATAACTTTGTAAAAGAAAAACACACTCAAGATGAATTTTCTTCTGGTTTGACTGCATCTGCAGTACGTCAAAGAGGGTAACTTGTTTTTCATAGTCTCTATCACAGACCAACATTCACCAGTGACAGCACAGCTGTTTTTCCTCTAGCTCTAGCACTTGACTTATTGGTTGAAATTACATTTGAAGCTCATTGCTAAGTAAAGCAAATAAAACCAGACCTCAAAATTCAAACTAATTTTCAGAATTTGACAAAAATCCTACAATTTGTCAAATAAATAGAGGTGATATCCAAAAGCAACTAAAAATGTCTTTTTGCAGATGTAACTGCCCATCTGTATGACTAAACACGGCACGGCTGGACTAACATCTGAATGAATAAGACATATAAAGAAGACAAACTCCATTAAAGCAAGAAGGAAGCCAACACATAGTTTAAATGTGCAGCTGCACTTATAATTTGTTTTCTCTTCACTTGACTAAATTAAGGCTGAGTTCACAGTTAATATCAATGAGGTCCATAAAGTATTTGTGCGGCACAAATCAAGTTTGAGCATCAAAACACAGTTGGAAGCACTTCATAGATAAGCAAAAATAAAACACACTAAGATCGAAGGCCACTAACTCTTTTCAGCAGCAATTCACATTCAAGTCATTCCCATGTTTTGTAGTAAAAACAATAAAAATGTACTGATATATTATCAAATTATTTCCTGACAGGCATGCCTACAAAAGAAAATGTTCCACACTTAATAGTAGAGCACTGCCTTAAAGCAATGAGACTCACTTCCTAAGAATTTAAACCAAATGGAAAAAAAAGCCTTTAAGTTATCCTCCATCACTGTGGCATTAAGAGCCTCAGAGACAATCCCCCTGAATTAAAAACAATATAAATACAGACAGCAATATAAAAAAAGTTATGGCTGGCATGTAGAAGATGTTATTTTGCTTCCATGTCAATGTGAAAATACCCTGTTAAAAATATATTTTAACCGTTTTCTGATTCATGTAACAGCACTCTCTTCAAAAGTAATATGTGACGTCTACCAACAGCCAGTGAAAGAACTCCACATAATCCTACATCAGGAAAGAAGTGAGCGATATGAAACTAAAAAACAATTAAAAGTTCATTTTCACATCCAAACTGTCCTCACAGGTGAAGCTTTTTTTTTCCTATCAGTTACACCAGAGTCAGAATTCATTTTTGAAATCCATAAAAAATAAAAGCCTTGCTTCTTAGCTCACCTACTGGGGTGTAAATTGAGTCAAGAGTAGCCACAGATTTCAAACCCACTTACTTAAAGTCATATTAATGCAGACAACCATTTTATAAAGCACATCTAAGTTGGATTTTAACCTCAAGATGTTCATTATTTCTATTGGTTCCCGGAGAATAAACATCTTCATGCTTTCTATGCCGGCTACGTGTTCCAGTTAAATCTAAAAATTCCCACAAATGTTGACTTACACCAAAATAAAATGTTCAAAATGAAACCTGCTCACAGCAGGATTTTTAACTGCCGAACGCAATTACAAGGCAGACCGAAACAGTGTGCCACGTGAGCAGGAAGGTTAACATATAAAACAAACGCTGCAACTAGTCTCAGATTCAAGACTGAAACTTTGTGAGAATTCAAACTTGGAATCTAACTCTGACCTGTTAGTGATTTCCTACCTTTTTTCCTTCACCTCAGTAATACTGAGCTCTAAAAGCATGTCATTTCTACCAGTCAGTTAAAGAAAATGTGCAATGTTACAAATGTCCTTCAAAAGGTGTCTGTTTGCTCTGTGGCACATTTATTTAGGATCCGTTCCCCTCCTCAGGCCTCTTCAGCATGGCGCTGTACTTCATGGGCGCAGTGTCTGCCTTGAGCTGCACCTCCACTAATGTGAAGATTGAAATGACCTGGAAATGAAAACAAACAGAAAAAACATGAAGAAACTTTACACACCGTCTTCTTGCTCTGTTAAAACTCTAGCTTACCATCTTAATATCAGCTAACAATGCCAGAGTACCTGAGCTTTGTGGATACAAATCAACCAAAATATACCATTTTGTTGGACATTTCTTTTGGTCTTGTGACTACTGCATACACTAATCTAGTAAGTACACTAATATGATATTCCCCTCATGAGCAGGGTGTAACATTTCTCAAGTTAACTTCAGTGGGGTTGGTTCTTACCTGCTCCACAGCAGGTCTTTCTTGGTCCTCTGGTGTCCAGACTAAAGTCAGCTCAGATTTTTTCCCCACCTTACGATGGTGAAATGAGTCCAGGCCAGTAATAGACTGAAGATGGAGACAAATGGTTTCTGTTTCAGATCATAGATCGTACATCTGAGACCACCTGTTAGACTGTTCCTGTTTTGATCTGTCACAACATCCCTCTATGAGCCTTCCTGTCTTTCCCTCCCTGAACAATCTTTGTTTCAGACTAAATTTAAGTGAGATAGAACAGTTTCAAACACATTTTTATACCGACTTACAAGAATAGAATTTTGTAATATGGTCAAAAACCCATATGACAGATGACCCCAAACTCAACTACACAGCCGGTGTTTGTACAAATCTACATATGCAGGATAAACTCCTCCCTGTTAAGCGGAGTGTCTATGAACTGACCTTGCAGTATATGCGTTTCTGTACTCCATATTGAAGAACCAGCACATCAAAAGACTGATCCAGAACGCCCATCACCATGGCCTGAGAGTCCAGAGGGCCGCACTCCTGTGAACACATGGAGCCAAACATTATTTCATACTTAATAGAGCAGCATGTATTCAACAAAACATCATGTGACTAGCTTGTTTCACAATTAAAACTCTTCTTTCTTTCTATTTGATGGGGATACCGGTTGAAGTCCAGCAGGAACGTTTGTACGTTATAATACATAAAAGGAAAAAGTAACTGGGACATAAAATGTAGTTCTGTTTTCTCTGTTTGGGGATAGGATTTTTTTAAATTCAGTTTAAGTATAAGACGCAGAGCATAATAAACAAAACTAGGCCACTCTGACAAAGAGGACTGAAAACTGTCAGCAGCTTGCATAACTTCATGAATATTTTTCTGTTCTTCTACTTGTTGGCTGCTTGTTGAAACGCCTACCTTTACAAAGACTCCAAAGAAAAGCTCAGAGCTCAGCTCCTGGACCCGCTTTGACAGAGTTTTCTTGTCATTACAGTGCGAGGCTTGTTTGTGGACCTCTTCTGTAGACAGCCCCAAATGAGGCCCACACTCTGCAAGAAGACACACGCTTTATGAGTTCAATGACAACAGGCTCAGACATACTAAACAGAGAGACACAGAAAGAAGAAGAAGGAGCAGGCAGAAACAATGCAAAGAGCAGCAGCACAAACAACATGTCAACTCAGCTTGAGATCTGAGGCTGCTTTGTTCTCCGTGCAGAATCAACAGCAGCACTGTTTGCAGCAAAGAGAGCAGTCTGTTGTTTGTGTTTGTTTTGGTGACTTTTAGAGGAAAGGTGCTCACTCAGGGAAGAAGCCAGCAGACGGTGAACTATGATGTCAGCGTAGCGCCTGATGGGTGACGTGAAGTGAGTGTAGAGAGGAACGTTGAGGGCGTAGTGCTTGAACAACAGCTCGTTTTTTAGTTCACCTGAACAGAAGTACACCGCCATCTGGAAAACAGCGAAAACACGCATGATCACAAACATTTTCAAGTTACAAAGTCTTTGGTGCACAACAGTGTATATGATCTATGCAAGCTTAAGAAACTGAAAAAAAGTTAAATAAGAAAAAAACAGAGGCAGTAACAGAGCTCTGACCTGCATGGGTCTGGAGCACATGTGGGTCAGGACTTCTTTTCTGGCAGCTGTGTACTCATCGTCACCGAGAGCAGTGTTGAGGGTTTTCTGCATTTTGAAAAGGTAGAACATGTCAGAGATTTAAAACATTAATGTCATTTTGTATCCTTCTAATGTCCCTGTTATCAGAGCATGATTTTATATGGTTTAATATGACCTACAAAACATCTACATTCCTACACTAAAAGAATCTGATCCTCGCGTTGGTAATCTGCTGATCTAGTCGAAAACTGTTCTGACTCTCCAATTTTCTTAGCCACATCATCTTCATCACTGACATGTAGTGCTCCTGCAGAGGACAGATCAATTTGGATGCCCAGCTGATCACACAGCTCCTGCAGCTCATCCACCATCTTTGCTTTGGGTGGAGGGTGTCGTCTGAGCATGGCCAGCTCAGGGAACTTGCCGTAGATGTGGTTTGCTGTCGCGATGTTAGCAAGTAACATGAACTCCTCCACCAACCTGCAGAAGACAAATACAGATGGAAGTTTAAAGACTAAAGGAGAAACAGGGACAAAGGTGGACTCACATCAAAGTATGTATGATACAATTTCAGACTCATCAATGAATAGAAACCAACAGAATTCAGAAATGTGTCGTATTGAGTACAAGTTCAGTTTGAAAAGAAACATAAAAGACAAACTAGAGAAATCTTTTGAAGGGTTTTTCACTCACTTGTTGCTGTCTCTGTACTGGTAAATGTAGCAGCCTTGAGGCATCATGGTCTCTTTGTCCAGAGTAAAAGACATTTTTAGCTAAAACAAACAAAACAAAAGTAAACACAAAGAAATTATTATTAGATTGACTAATTAATCTGACTCTTTCTTCAGTTTGGTTGATTCAGATTTTGTTAGCTCATGTTGTGCTCAACAAATCTCTTTCAGCTCATTCAGAGTGATCAAATATCACATTTCAAACCCCAAAATATGAGTAGAACGTTGAATTTTACAATTAAGAGCTGCAAAAACTTTTTCCATTGTCACTCATTAAGCCATGAAAGAGTATGTTACAGGAAATACACATTTATGCTCCTTCTGATAAAGCTGATTTTGGATCCCTGTATCTATAGTTTCTTTGCTAATTTTGTCCTGAACATCATCTATCTTAAATCCTGAGGTTTTTTTTAATCAAACAAACGTAGAACTCACTGAAAATCTTTGTAAGGAAAATAAAACAGCTCCTACTGCACTGTTTATTTCTATAGCAGGTACCTACTCATCTCTAGCCGTGTCAGAAATTAAAAATAGCCACACAGAGATGATTGACCTTTCTACTGATATTTACTTTTTTTAGCCCATGTATAAGCATCAGTGTGGATTTCAGTCTGTTTAACAACCAACTCCTCCCAGGGCCTTTAATAGAAATGATACTAGATTCTTATTGTTTCTTGGCAGTGGTCTGGTGTAGACAAAAAGCAGACCAAAGCTAAGACCTTTGACAGAGATGTGGCCCTAACCACAGACTCAGGAGGAACAGTGCACAGTAAGGATTCCCACTAAGTCGACACAGGTCTGTTTAGTGCGGGGGGAAAAAAAAACGGCAAAAGAGGTAAGGACAGTGAATAAAGTGAAGACTTGACAGAAAATGATAGGAGCTGAGGCTCAGGGCTGACAAATGGACAAAAAAAAGGCACAGAAAAAAACTATGACAAGAAACCTACAACAGTAGCGGTGCCATTGTGTGATCCTCTTGTTTCACTTCACTATCAATTGAAATGTGCAGTTTCAGGTGAGTGATAGCAGCTAAATCAGCTGATTTTAGGAAGACTACAGATGTTATTGTGACTACTGACATGGCTTCAGCTTTGAGTATGACAGGCAGTTTTAAAAATTAAAAAATATGACACGATTCTAAGTCGATACAACCATATCAAAAACAGTATTTGGTTCAAGACTATTGGTTTTTAAGGAACTAGATGTATAACACCCTATTGAGAAAATCTGTAATGGCTTGGTTGCCATAGCAGAGGAGCTTCGGGTCAACATATCAGTGTTTCAGTCAGTTATAGTGATCCACCCATTATGCATCATCCTTCATATTTTAACCTGCAACTCACTAATAAGATAAGACTTTTATTATCATTGTAGTTGGTTATATAAGAAAACGTTGTGAGGTAGATTTCAAAGACCAGCAGCAATAAAAACTAAAGAGACAGTAAAAGATGATCATGATGTAAGTCCAAACACGACTTAAATGTCAAACATGTTCGTTTTTAGTCTCCTCTACAGCTCTAACTAACTAAGAGAATTACAAACGGTGACTATGTCTAAGTCCAGACTATTTTATTAATTCACTTAAAATGTTATATTTGCATCTGGATTGTAGATTTTCTGGTTCCTTTTTGCTATCAAACTGATAACTATGTTTGCTCCTCTTTATAGCTGCTCAAAATGATCAAAACCTTTTCACTATAAACCTAAATCAGTGGGTGAGGTGAAGAATTTCAGAACCTGCTACCTTATCAGAGGCTTTTGTCATGCTCTATTAAACTGAGTGTGGATTAAAACTTTAAATAGAACAAGGATAAGGCAGACAGGGCTAACCTGATCCAGTCTGAGAGCTCCCCCTGAGAAGCGCTGAGCCCTCAGGTTCTTAGCGATGGAGTGCAGATTGAGCACAGCCTGATGGATCTCATCAATGGGGTGTTTAGGGTCCACAGGGGGCAGCTCCTCAGCTGAGAACATCTTCTCGGGTGCTTCAATCATGCTCTGAGCGTGATCGTAACTCAGCTTTACACAGGAGCAAATGACTGAGCGACCAAACCACTCGCTCAGAATCTGACGGAAGGAAAGAAGTTGAGAGAAAGGTCAGAGAAACACAAAGTATCCACAACAAATTGAGTCAACCCTACAGCCAGGGTGGACTTACAACTTCTGCTTCAACAGTTTAAACACTTTAGAGCTCGACAGTGCGACTGTTTCATTCGCATTTGCCACTAAAAATAGAAGTGTGCGAATTGTAAAATTTATTTAGGGGCACATGTGCGCATAAAAAAAAAAAAAAATCAGCCGAGGCAACAAATTTTTTTTCATGTAAATACTGCGGTGAAGTTAGTTTCAGGTTGGATATCTGACGGACATTCACTGCAGATCTACCGGTGTCTTCTCACCCTCCATAACCGGGAATAGTAACAGCAGCGCAGTTAAATCTACTCGGCACCCTCACTGTCAACGTCGGGTGTTGAATAAGGGACCATCAATAAATTACCAGTTGATGTTCTCAAAAAAGGCTGTTTTCCTTCAATAGCTTCCATGTCATGTGACCAATTGACCTAAAATTGATTTCAAATAATAGTACTAATAATAACAGGACAATAGGACACGGATTATTTGATCAATTTTCATGGTGTCCCTAAAGTTCTTAGTGTGCTCTTTACTTTTTCAACTTAGGAGCACATGTGCTCCTTGTGAAAAAGGTTAGTGTCAAGCCCTGACTATTTTCTGCCAATAGTATTATCCTTACATGACACCAGCTGTATTCCCTTTCTCATTAGTATCTTTCTTCACATCATGCTCACAATTATCTGCATTTTAGGTTTGTTTTTTCTTTGTCCTTCAGTCCCATTGAGTAAACTAGTGATTGAACGTACTCAATAAAATGCCGTTGTCGTTTCACGGTTTGGATGCAGTCCTAAAGGGGTGTGAATTATCCATACCTTTCCCTCCGGTGTGATTTTCCAAATGACAGAGAAGGTGAGTCTGTCAGTGAGAGGGTTTAGACTGCACAGCTCCTCACACAGCAGCCTGGGCAACATGGGGATCACCTGGTGAGGGTTAAAGCACATCAACACACTGATCAGTCGTGTAAATGATTGCACACTATATAATTGGGAACACAACATTCTAAAAAAGGCATCAAAACTGGTCTCTGCTATCAATAGTGGAAGCACATCATGATTTGAGTCAGCTAATGAGCACTTACCTTTTGAACCAGGTACACACTAGTTGCTCTTTGACTCGCAATGGCATCCAGAGCATTGTCCTCCTCTACAAAATAGCTCACATCAGCAATGTGGACTCCCACCTCAAAGTTACCTGTGTGGAAGAACGGTCAAAACCTCAGATTCAGTATCTAATACCAGATTCAATCTCCATATTCATCAGTGAGATCTACAGGATGGGTCACTTACCATCAGGGAGTTGTTTACAGGACAGAGCATCGTCCAAGTCTCTGGCTGTGGACGGGTCAATCGTGAAGATACACTCTGTCCTACACACACGATTAAATAATGCATTTTAAGTCATTTTACTGTACAAACCAATACAAGACAGTACACCTGTTAATTGTAGATGGATGAGTACTTAAATTAGTGGTACCTCAATGGCAGGTTGCTGCAGTGATTTTTGTTTTGTCTCAGACACTCAAACAGTAAACAGCATACTTATAACAGGAAATTCGGACTCTAATGGCCAGTACCAACTTCCTAGTCTTACCTCAGGTCTCTCCTCTTTCTCATCTCCTCAGGTGGGATGGTCCACGGCAGATTTGTGGGCAGGCAGTCTAACACCTCCTCTGAAAACTCAGATGAATCCACATCGTACTCGGTCAGGATGCCCTCAGTCTCCGGCTCGATCTCTCCAGCTTGACCCAGCGTTTTAGCGAGTCGCCTGTAGGAAATACCAGGAGTCAGATTGGTGGTAAAATGGTGAAATGCTTCCTGGTGTAAATCTTTGAATAGTCACATTCACCCTTCTGCAAAGTTGCTGTCAGCTGGCCAGTCTGTGATCCGACATATGAACAAGGTGTTAGTGTAGTCGCCGGGGCGGGAGGTAAAGTTTTCAGGACAGTCAGCGAGAGGGACGTTGATACGTGGCACCCGGTGGTCAACAGGGGAGAACATGGCAAAGGGCTTGTCGGGTAGAAATTTCAGGAAGCCTGTGACAGCTCTGGAGTGTTTCTTTTCGACTATGTACACCACCTAGTAGACAAATGAGAGGAAAAGTGAAGTGAAGACTCTGAAAGGAGCAACATGAGGCTTTTTCCCCTAGCGCACACACTAGAAATATGATAAAAAATACTCCAGAGAAATATGGAAAAACAAACTAAAACTTTGTGATCTTGGCTTTAAGTTTCTGCAAACTAGTATCTTTTCACAGGGAAAACTCTTGAATCATTATCAACTTCTAGTTTTGTCATGAACTTGTTGACTAAATTTCTAAGTGAAAACTTAGGAAAACTTAAGTTCTACAAAAGAAAGGAAAACAACACGCATTTAGCTTGTTATCTAACTGTCTGTTCAAATGGGTATATTCCACAAATCAAAAGTAATGTAGATGCAAAGAACATTTTCATTGTAGCTTGGCAGGAAAAAGTGATATATTGTGATGTTTTTGTCCATAAAATGCTTATAAAAAATGACAAGGATGGGCTCAGTACAAACTGTAGCATAACAAATAAGTGAGGAGCTTACTCTAGCGGTCTTTTGGAGTATTTCCCCATTGGATCTTGTGGTTGAGGGGTCTTCCTGAGGTTCCCCTATTTCCATTAGATGAGAGAACAGATTCACACATGTAAGATGAACTAGTGCTCTTTCATATTTTAAAACTGTTTTTGTAAAAACATATTAAGACATTTTGACTGAGCATTTTTAAACACTAGGAATTTTTTTGATATTTTTAACCAGAGTTTCAGTGTTATAAATGCAAGTGTAGCACATTACCTGGATCAGCCAGAGTGGTACTCTGAATCTTTCTGACGAGTTCCTCCTGGTCGCTGTATTGGTTTTCTACAATGACATCAGGGATGGAGGCTTGTTGGGTTTTCTTCTTCTGCGCTGTGCCATCTCTCTGGGTTTCTAAATCACTGGTGCCCTCACAGTCAGTATCTGACCTCACAACCTAGACAGAAACATGCAGCATATTCATTTTCTGCTGAAATACTGTCCTGCTGAAAAATCGCTATATTTTCTGTGGTACCTTCATGGTAATAAAACTCTAAACAAATGGTATCAAAGTTGAAAAGTGAGGCAGTAAGTGCAGTCTACCTTCCACTGGTCTTGAGGAAGGATTTGCACTACCACAATGTCTCCATTCAGCGCTCTGTTACGGAGCACAATCCCATCCAGAAATATATCCCGGGTGTCATCCTGTAAACATAAAACTGTTATTTGTTGATACTGTTGATTTACAACATTGAGCTCTTTTTGGTGTGACTGTAAAAGCAAATACAATAAAATTGCATGTTCAGTAGGGACGTCGAGTATTGGACTTTTGCTAATGATTAATACTAATATGTGCACCCCAATTTTTCCACTTAACAGACCCTCAAGTCTCTCCTGTAGTAGAGTTTGCCAGTTATTCTTATTGAGAGTCTATTCGTTTTGGAAACAGACATACAACAAGACAAACAAACTTTAAATCTATTGTAAAGGATGATGTGTGTTCTTCAGCAAATATTGAAATCAGTAATGTGTCTGCAGTCTGTTTCTGACACTCCTCCAGCTGACATGTCGAGGCTTGTTACTCATTCATAAGCTGCCTCTGCATGGACATAACAGATCTTCATGGTGATTTACTTTTAATGTGCAATCTGCCAGTACTAATATTAATTAGTACTAATATTATGCAAATAGAAATGTGCATTCCTAATGTGAACATACATGTATTGTTCAACTTAAGAAGTATAAGTGAAAGGGTGATGTGCTGGCCCCAAGAAAATATGACATTGAGACAAAAAATATATCTGATGCACTCTGAGTTGTACTTACAGGAGATGGGATAAAAGCTTCATGGTATTTCTTGGGGTTGATTCTTAATTGACCCTGCAGAGAAAATGTGCAGTCTTTAAAAAATTATCCAGCACTATACTTTGTGTTTTAGTTACATCATACAATATACATATCATTGTACAAGTTGTGTGGGTGCTGTTTGATTTCAGGTCTTGATTGATGAAAAGGGCCTTAAACTATGTTTTACTTCAAGTATGCAGTTTAAAAAAAACGTTTTTATTGGGGGATCAAAATCAAGATATCCTGTCATAAAATAACTAATAAATCCCTACATAAATCAGTCTTCATATACCTGTAAGTGTGGCCACAACAAGTTACTTTAAGGGTTGTAAAAAAACTACAGTCTAAGAGGCTGTAACTTTTTTTTTTTTTTACCTGAATGAGCTCTCCTCTTTTCAAGCCATGGGACACCTCCTCAAGCATCATGTAAGGCTCGAACACTTGTTTCTTTGATCCTCTGCCTCCTTTGTTCTTATTCTTTTCAGCAGGAGAATTGGCACCGCAGGCTGAAATAGATTTCACATAATAATTTATTTAATAATAATCCTCCGAAAGTATGAAAAATCACTATCACAGCATAGACAGCGATTACACCTCACCTCCTGACAGCAGAGGTTTTTTGTCCTTGCCGTAAGGGGACTTGGGCCTTGACATCTGAGTGTCGACACCAGATTTTGATGCTCCTTCTTGGTGCTTTGGCTGGCTTTTCTTCTTTGACTTCAGCCCCTTCTCCTGCTCCTGGCCACTGACACTGGTTTTCTTTGGGGACTGGGGGTTTCCGACCAAAAAATCACCTTCTTTAGAGTCTTTATTTTTCTTCTGCTGCTTCTGGTGTTTCTTTGACTCATTGGATTTAAAAGAGCCTAGTTCCTCACCGGATTCAATGTCCCCATCTTGACTGGTGGTTGTGTCCCTTCTCTGTCCCCGGCGCTGTCTGTCAGAGACACCCTGCTTCCTCTCACAGTCCTGCGTAGCGTTGCAGGTGCTCAGTTTCTCCTTGTACAGAGACAGTGAACTCTCTTCTCCTTTGATTTTCATGGATGAAGGGGAGAAGTCACTTGAATCAGAGAAATCAAAAGCTGCTTGGTCCCTCTTTTGCTGTGGTATATTCAGTCTGTCACTCCGGACTTGTGCGCCTGGACCATTTCCCTCTCTTTGAAACAGTGTGTCCTTTGCATATTGCTCCATATACAGACTGAATTTGCTGCTGCTGTGCTGGCTGAGGAGCCTAGCATAGGCATCCTTCTGACGAGGAGTGGATGGCAGATTCTGGCTACGTTTTGGTTCTCGATTCAAGTTAGCATTCTTTGTATGCCTTGGAGACTCCATGAGGAAATCTGTGGAGATGCTGAAATGACAAAACAACATTCAATACATAGGAGTTACCATTGCAGATGAGTCAACAAACATGCCTTTTAGGCAAGTCAGCTTGAAGCAGACATGTTTTCATATCACTACACCTTTGAAAACACAGGAACTGTGTTAAGCTGTTGCCACCTGTGAGTGAATGAAAAACAGCCGACCATTCCACTTTCTCTGGCGCAACACCTTACGACAAAGCGTTGAAGAGACACAAAGACCTCACAGATACAGAAGCTTATTGTACTGTAAAAGACATGCTACTAATAAACACTATCAAATTTCATGTAAGAGTATCAGGGGACATTTAAATTTGACATGTAATTTTTGTATATCGTGATACATATGGCTATCGACTGATATGAAAAAAATATATTGTGATAAACTTTCTCCCATATCGCCCAGCCCTATCACTTCCCAAGACTTTCCGTATTGGAAAAGGTAAAGATCAAGTGTGTCAGTAAAAATGAATCACCTGAGGTTTCCTAATTTAAAAACAACTATAAAGAAATATTCCTTCTTCTTGTTGGTGCTCTTGTTTGCCTTTTTAGGCCATAAAACGGTATCAATATCAACTCTAGTCTGTCCGATGACCTGCTATAGTCCACCTTACTTACATCATCTGGTTTAGTAATAATGAGGCAGACATGCGCTGTAATTATTTAATGTTTCAATCTTTTTGTTAAAGTTAGCTGTTGTACAATGTCGAAAAATGCCGTGTCATCCCCGTGTCTTTGACTGCTAAGTCTTAACAAGCTCAGAAAGTCTGTTAATACAACACTATCCTTGCTAACAGCTGAAAGTTAACGTTACCTAAGGTTAGCTTACAGTTATTAGCACGACTGTCTAGCATCAGCTGCTTGCCAAGGCGGCTGTTGTCAAAGCGTCGACTGACCAACGTTTACTGTTAATGTATCGTTAGTAAATGACAATATTGTCAGAGTTAAAATCTTAATCATTACCTTTATCACTGCGTGCGGCTTGTTGCTACTGTTGAAGACAAACTGCTCACTGACACACTTCCTCCGTCGTCATGTATGGTTACAACCGTGCTACATTTGCGTGCAGTAGGAAATATTGATGCTAGCCGTCCACGCTGAAACGCCGCTTCTAATAAAATCAGCTCATCTCTGAATATTGTGATATTCATTGATACGATATTTGAATCTGTACTATAAAATACATTTTTCACATTTTAAATCCCAATACAATCGAATATTTAAGGGGGATGACAGGGTGGAAAAAGTGCAGACCTTTATAAGCAGCGCTGTTATTACAGGGACTTGTCTTGTGAAACACTTTGTTGGTGCAACTTGACTGTGCTGACCCAGAGGAGGTTTATAGAAACTGAACAGGTAAGTGACACGTAAAATTAAGAAAACTTGGCGCAAGATATCCCAGTATTCAACGTGCATATACATTAGTTTTCTGAAAAACCACCGGCTGTGTCTGGCAGCAAACCTAACTTTGGCACAAGGAGCCTCAAGAGGGCAGCAAAGACATGAGAAGATGGTAGAGAGAGTCACTGGAAATCATTTATCCAAGGCGAAGAAATAAAACTCATCTGACATTTTATCCAGAGCGAAGAAATGAAACTTATCACTATTTTAGAAACAGGTGTGTGTGTCAGGCTAAATTGAAGTGAATGTAATTATGTGTAAATTAACAGTAAGGGTGTTGTGTTGCATATTTGCTAAATTGTAAATCATAATGTATGAATGTTTACCGTCATAAGGTAGATTCTTACAAGAGAAGGCTTTGTATAATAATAATTTAACCTGTTTATTAATATATTGGCACATGTTGATGAGGTCATCATTAGTTTCGGCAGTGCACAGGCTGCCTTGCTGGTACGGATCCAACAGGTTTTAAATTTGTACTTTAAGAAGGTTGAAGCTTTTTTATTGTCTTTACTTTGGGTGTCAGTGACATTAACTATTATCATGATTCAGTTTTAGGCTACATAAATGTGGGAACATGGCCTCTGCTAACAGGACGCCTGTTCTACTATTAGTGTAGCAGATAAGTGACATAATTGTTCAGTTGGTGATACAAGCATGAAAAGTGGCATGAGCATTCTCCGTGGGTCACTTCAAGATGGCGGCAATTTTTCAAAATGGCAGCTGACTAGGTGGAACAATTAGGTGATTTCCTTGTTAAGTTGGTAATATAGGCATGAAAATTGGTATGAACAGTTTTCATGAGTCACTCAACTAGAAAATGCCCCAAGTTGGTTGAAATTTCAAGATGGCCGCCATTTTAAAGATGGCCGCCATCTCATTAGAGCAGTTAAATATTGTAAAGTTGGTGATATTTTAAACATGAAAATTGGTAAGACCATTCCCAATGAGTAACTTAATAAGAAAATGCCCCAAGCTGCTTGAAATTTCAAGATGGAGACCATTTTAAAGATTTCTTTTGAATATTTTGTGTTTCTTTTAATTCAAACTTATGTTTGTTGAGGAGCCCCTAAAGGGATAAGGAGAAAAAAAAAAAAACACAAATGTTTTGCATGCACACGCTAAAGGGGCGGGTTGTTCTCCTCTTGGAGTGGGGATACCACAGGTGTATCCCCACCGGAGAACAATGATTGGAGCGGGAATACGTCCCATGGTATCTCCGTTACAACAGGAGAACAACGCACCCCTTTAGTGTGCGCACATGAATGTTTCGCGTGTGCACACAAGTTTTTTTTTTTTTGTATGTGTGTCTTTTTCTCCATGTCCCTTTATGGGCTCTGCAGTTTATAATCTTTTCATATTGAATGTTTTGTATTTTTACTGCTTAGCACTTTTAGATCATTGACTTGATGAAAAGCACTATGAAGCGAACTTAAAGTGGAATCCTGGTAGAGTAAATCAACTATGTGATTCAAAACATTGTAAAATTAAATAAAAACCACATAATAATAGAGTATAAAGTTAACATTAAAACATCATCATCTAGTTTCTCTCGTTGTCTAGTCTAGTTGTCCAGTCTTTAACACTTTTGCAAAACTCAAAAATGCCCCTCTGCAATTGATGTGAGCGACCTGCAAGCGTTGAAGAGATTTGTTGTGGTGATGTATGATAGATCCAGTGATGTCACAACTGTCGATGAGGCTAGGCTTGATCTTTTTGCAAGAAAGCAAAGACTATATGACCTGATCCACCAACTCAAGCAGCACTAAAAGAGCATGCCAAATGTGCAGCTTATGAGGCTGGATATATGTGTGGAGGGTGGCGGACCCCGCGCAGTGGTATTTTAATCTGGCGGAGCCCGGCATACAGCCAGTTTGGTATTTAGACTGAAGCGCACCTAGGTCCGCCAAGCTGGGCATGGTGGCATGGCAGAGGGAGGTGTTGACAGAACCAGCTGCCACATTGACATTTTTGTGCTCTCCGGTGGCGTTTTAAGTGCGCTGAAAGCTCGCCGATTCAAACCTAGTCAGCTTTCAGTGCAGGCGGAGCGCAGCTGGTCTTTTTGGTATTTATGGTATTTTGGTAGGCCGGCGGTGTATTGGCATATGTCACTGATGCCTCACCAGCAGGTTTCCACAGTGTCAGGCACATTTCAGTGCAATAAATAATCATCAACAACTAATAATCTGAGTCAGCACATACATTCAGATCTATTGATGTATTCTGATCTATATCTGGTCTGATGAGTGCGTTTGGCACGCGTTTGGACACACAACCTGACCGAATCAACACAGCTGAAACTGCATTAAATTAAATATCTAGTAAATAGACACACATGATGAAGTCAACAAGATGTTTAATTTGTCTCCCTCCCTTTGTTTCTTCCTCTTCCTCTTATTTCTCACGCAGCTCGACCTGGACATGTCTCTGTGTCCCCTCCCCGTCCTGCTGAGGCTGCTGCTGCGGCGGCTGAACAGATGATTTATTTTAGTGATCAGATGAGTTATTTACTTAAAGCCTATACACGAATATGATAATATTCAGTTTTGTGAGCCAAATATATTTTATATGCCAACATCTATGAAAGAAAGAGACAGGCCACGGAGCGCGATGCGTCATTACTCACAGATGGTTCTGATTTTATCGGAACGCCTTGTCGGCGCGGCGGACCTGCATGCTGTGCATGCGCTGCATCGCCGGCAAGGCTCGAAAATAGGGCCCAGAATCTTTTGGACTCCTCTTCCTCTTGTGGTAGAGAGTTTTGGGACTTGACCAAATGAGGGTGCACCAAGAAATGTACTGGGCGATGCATGTGCTTCAAACATGGACTCACTTGCACATGTCTATGTAGTTGTCTCTGTTAGAATCTATGGGCTCTATTTTCGTGCTTCACCGGAGACATGGCGCGGCGTAAGTCAGGTCCGCCGCGCTGACAAGGTGTTCCCCAGCACAATTTGGTATTTTGGTGAGCAGCGCAGCCCGGCGTAAGTATCCCCCCTCCCTAACTCAGCTCCTCCCAGCGGTGTAAGTCGTAGCGAGGGAGGAAAGAGGGCGTGGAGTGAGTTTAACACAGCCAAGACCTGTATTGACCAATAATATCAGCTCCTCTCCTTGCCTTTAAATCCACCACTGGCGAGGCGTATTACTATTTTCATGAAGTAGTCAAAGAGATGTCTGAAGACAGTAATGCCACACGATGGCAACAGAAGGCAGCCCCTCAACAGGTGTCACTGTAAGTGCTGCAGAGGGAGTCCTTCACTCTCTCTCATATGAGCACAGATGGAGTCTGTCACTCACATCAAGTTGCACATACTCAAACCTCACGTGACAAAGGTGGGTTATGTGCAGAGATCACAACATAAATTCCAAAAATGGCATTAAAATTGGAACCATCTGTGCGTAAATGACGCATCGCGCTCCGTGGCCTGGCTCTTTCTTTCATAGATGTTGGCATATAAAATAAATTTGGCTCACAAAACTGAATATTATAATATTCGTATGTAGGCTTGAAGTAAAAAACTCATCTGATCACTGAAACAAATCATCTGTTCAGCCGCCGCAGCAGCAGCTGCAGCAGGACAGGGAGAGGACACAGAGACATGTCCAGGTCGAGCTGCGCAAAAAATAAGAGGAAGAGGAAGAAAGAAAAGGAGGGAGACGAATTAAATATCTTGTTGACTTCATCATGTGTGTCTATTTACTAGATATTTAATTTAATGCAGTTTCCGCTGTGTTGATTCGGTCAGGTTGTGTGTCCAAACGCGTGCCAAACGTGCTCATCAGATTAGATATAGATCAGAATATGTCTATGTAAGGTAGATACTGAGTCGCGCCACTAGGTGTCGCTATAACACCACATTAAAACAAGAGTTTACTATTGAGAATTGCCTTTTGTCCCTCTGACACACCGTAGGGGTTGATATCGCGGGTGTAATGAGCATTTCCTTTAGATTTCTGATATCAACCTTGTAGACCCCTGTGTTGTGAATAAACCAACGGTATTGCCACGATCCCGAACCCATCTGTGTCCGTGTGCATCTCCTTACCGGCTGCCGCTGCACCCCCCGCCAGAGGTCCATTTCACACTTAAGCAGACACAACGCCGAGTAGCCTAGCTGTGGAGGTGTTGGAGAGCCGGCAGGCGCGCGCGAGAGACAGAGAGAGGGCTACAACTTTGGTGCCGTGACCCGGATCGTGGTGTTGCCTTACCGAAGAGGGAATTCTACAACCAGGCTTGTATTGAACATTGAACTGTGAACTTTTCCTGGAGCTGACGGACATTTGCAACTTTTTTTCATGGTTCTGAAGCAACGTTACCGTCCCAGCTATATCCTTTAAAGACTGTTGTGAATACGAATTACTACTGCTATTGCATTTTGAATATTTTTCTAATGGGTAAACTGAATTTTGAGTGGAAATTAATGGTAAACTGAAGCTATTTAAAGCTATTTGATATTCGAGGATATTTTTCTGTTTGTTTCAAGACTCATTTAAGCTTGTGTATTCAGCTAACTGATATTTAGTGACATTTTTGAGTTGAACATTTAAGTGAACTGACTAAGTAATTAAGTTTAATGGCCTATTAAGTTAAGTTTTTAGACATAGCTGATATTTTTTGGTTACTCTGGTAATACTGAAAGACATATTACACTGCATTACACACAGACAGTATTGAAATACTTTATTTGCACACAGTAATTGCATATTTCAGACACACACATTGCGTTGTTACGGCAACATTTATTTTGCATTTCACATAAAACATATAGCAAGATGACACAGAATTACACTGATTCAGCACTTGAGCTGCAAAGTCCCTCCACTGTGACGCCCAGCCTCTTACCTCCAGCTGGGCCTGAAGCAAGTGGTTCAATGCCCCCTTTGCAACGACACGCTTTCCCATCCTCCATGTATTCAGCTTATGTGGCTCAGTACATCACGCCAGTCCGTCCAGCCAGACAGCCGGGCTCCGGGGCTTCAGGACAGATACCCCCACTCTGCCTTGACATCAGCCCTGTCACCAACCCAAGCAGCCCGACGGAGACACCGGCGAATGCCTCTGTTCACACCCCCAGCGAGCATGGACCCACAGCCTCCCTGCCTCCACAAAGCACCCCACACAGTGTTAGCGCTCAGAGGCCAGCGGTTCACCGGCTCCCCATGCCCTACCCCAGAGCCACCCCCTATGCTTTCCAGTCTGTTAGACCCAGCCCCCCAGTATACCTAGGCTATGCACACTCCACCCCTGCGACCCAAATGCCCGGGCCACGTTTCCAAATACCGTTAGCAGCAAGCATAGCTAACCAGCCTGCTGCTATGGGGCAGACCCCTCAAGTGCATTTCTCTGAAACATCTAGTAATGTTCTGGGTTCCAGCCATAGTGATTCAGTGCCCCTACCCCCTGCTCATGGGTATGCCCCCAACACCACCCCCTATAGCCCCCCTGTAATGTCTGAGCATACTGCTGCTGATATTCACCCCGATCCTGCAACATTGCCTAGCCTGTACAGTTACCCACAAGCGCCACATTCACAGACCCCTGTTCAAACTAGAGCCAGCGCGAGCCCCCCAGTGTCAGCCTATGGTGGTTTCATGCAAACGCATCAAGTGAAAAATGTTCCAGTCTTCACGGGTAATCCAGACTGCAAGATTTTAGTGGAGAACTGGGTGCGTGACATGCAATATCTCCTGGAAGCGATTGAACTCCCCACGCACCTGCGTTTTTCCACGGTGGTGAGGCACCTGGGCGGTGAAGCCCGGAAGTTAATTCTAGACATACCCATCCATAACCAGAGCCCAGAGAAAGCGTTCGAGGAACTGAGAGCAGAGTATGGCGACGCACGAGGGTCTTTAGACCCATTAGCTGACTTCTATGAGCGGAGCCAAAACCCGGGTGAGTCCGTCTGCTCTTATGCTATAGCGCTGGAGTCGAAACTGCGTGCTGTTGAAGAGAAGCAGAGGGGAGGCAAGCCTTTCCCCGACCGTGACAGCAAACTCACCCGCCAGTTCATGAGAGGGCTCACCGATGAAGAGGTGTATATGAGAATAGCACCCATGACACCTAGACTGCTGAGCTTTCGAGAGCTGCAGAATGAGCTCCGTAACCTGGCAAGAGAAAACAAAAAGTTCCAGTCTCAAAACAAAGTGAAAAAGACTGTTACCCAAGTACATGTTACGCCAGAGGGAGATAGAAATGTGAAACCTGAAAAGGTAAACCCCACTTCTGAATTATCAGAGTTGACTGAGATTGTAAAGAGGCTAGCTCTTAAGCAAGAAGAACAAATGGCCAAGTTGTCCCACCTTGAGCGGAGAATAGCTTCACCACCCCCTACCCCCATCCAAGCAGTTCAGCCCCCACAGGCTAGGGCGGCCCCAAGCACAAGCTTCATCTGTTATCGGTGTGGTAAGCTCGGCCACACCGCCCGAATTTGTAGAGCAGTGCTGCCAGCCCCTGCCCCTGCTGGAACCCCCCAACCAAACGCCCCTGCCGTGGGGCCCACACCCCAATCAGACCAGCCTTTAAACGCTTAAGGCCCATGGTAGCTGGGGCAACCATGGGCATACAGCGAGGCCCCCATCCACCCACAAGAGACATTAGCACTGGAAAAGAGGAGACACCTCTAGTCGGGCCCAGGAAC